TACAAGATACTTCTTCCGCTAGTTAGTTGAGAAGTCCTCTTGTAGACTTATACGTGATAATTCCACAATATCAAGATGTGCCAAAATCAAATATCAGCTAGTTACACTAATAGATGTAGTTACAGATATAAGTACCTAACCTACCTCGGTAAGTACCTACCTATAAAAACATACTACGGGGAAGACTATTGATTTTGCGTAGATACTTGTTCATCTATCACGCTGATATTAATACGATATATGTACGCCTCGTCTGTGGGATGTTGAGAAAATAGACAACGAACCCTGGGCCTTTATCTAAAGTTACCCAGGAGCCTGGACTGCCGAGTGGTCCATATCTGGATCTAGAGATTGAATTGGGGGGCCGTTTTTCGCGTGCCTCCCTTGGAGATTCTCACCAGATTCTGGAAACTGTATCATGTATGGCATGCAGAGCACAGCTGCAGCTAATAAACTGCATCCTGCAAGCTCGGGGAACAGGGGTCAAAACATTACATTACAGTACGTGTTACCTATTGCAAAACGGCTTCGTGACCAGTTTAGCCCCAGCTTCCAAGGCTTCATAATGCAACACAAAAACTACCTGTCACTTTTGTCGCCATACTATGACCATGGATTTCAATAGTCTAACCGGTCGTAGTGCGAATAAATAAGCGCCATACACACACACACATATATATACATATACATACACGTACGGACGCAGATGATCGCTATCCTAGGCGACATTAGCATCAGCGGTGAGCCACCAATCCACTTGCGTAGCCGGGTTTCCTTTTGTGGGCTTTTATGTGCGCATTGTATGTGCAGTGGAAATGTATGTATTATATGGTATATATTATGTAGCACTGGTTATGACTCCCACGGACTCTGACGCTCTTCCTGATATAGGTCTTATCGACACATGGCTAATGTGCCTCATCGCGTTTAGGACAGTACCCCCACAGCTCAGCAGCGTGTACAGAGTACGTACTCCTATAATATCGTCTAGGCATTGTCATATAGGTATTGTCATCAGCGTCAATGCTGATGCAGTGATACGTAGATTGTCGAAGACAATCGCTACATGTACCAAAGCATACATACCGCACGGGGATCTGCCCTTTTTGAGCTATTATTACGAAGCTTCCAAGAGAGCGACATCGATCAACCACGACGACCCCATTCAGCCCGTTGAGCTTGGGCAAGGATTCGGTGGTGTACAGCCAACCATCGTACACAATTACAGAGGTCAAGTGGAGCTCCCTCGCGCGTCATTTATTACCCTCTAGCTTCATAATAGACAGTGCCTACAGTGTAGGTATTGTTTTTCTCTCATCTCCCTCCCCTTGATACTTTCTTTTTAATCCCAGATAGAATGTGGGACTTTGTTCTGGAAGACTCCCTGGAAGAACTTCCCTGGAAGAGACTTACGCGCATCAATCTATGATCATGTGGTTCGTCAATTTGGCGGCTTTGTGGCTTAGCCGCGGAACGGCTCGAATCCAGTTCATGTACAAATTGCGACGGCTTCGTTTATTCTAGTCCGTTCAACTAGAAGGGCCTTGGCCAGATCCATCCAGTCGGCCAACGAGTCCACGTCCCCAGGTCTAGGTTACTGATTTTTACGGACAAGACGTGACCGCTTGACAAGCTCCTGAATGGGGTGCATCTTTCATGCACACGATGCGTCTAACCTAGGAGCTGAGGCTCTCCTGAACAGAACTAGCGGGCTTGCAATGGTCACAAGGAGAGATCCGTTCATTCACGATGTTCTACACCGACAAGTTTCCACTTACATACCTTGCCTCACTTTTCGCTGCACCTATGATGCGTTTCCCCAGTTTCTCTATCTACAACCAAATAGCTTCTTCCACGCCACCTTGCTGTCGTGTATCCACGCTATTCGTAAGAAGCGGTCACCAACCTTCTCTAAATGCAGCAGCTTCTACCTAGTTTCGGATCGTGAACCCGCCCGTCTACAGTCGCTATTTTAGGCAATTGTTCCTTTGTTGGGACCACTTCGCCAAAGCTATGCTAGTAAGTCATTCTACAAATATTCGCGTGGCTGCGTGTCTATTTCCTATTTCGCCCATGAACATTCATGCTTTATTCCCTCGTGCCTTGTTGGCGCAGGGAGGGAAACTCAAGGTGGAAGGATCTCAAATCAGTCAGGTGAACCGGAGAACCGGAGAGTAGTATTGAATTTTCTACTACCTTTCCTAGGTGTAGAATGCCACTTGGACATTTTTATTAATTTATATGCAACTAAGCCAGCTCGAGTGGGATGCGATATGTTCTATATATGAAGTTCTCGCTTGAGAATCATCCCGTCTCATGCTTAGAATAACGTAAGATGGCGTCACGTTCTAGGTATAACACACTGTTATAAGTGATTTAGATGCAGCTATACGTCGCATTCGATAACGGGTCATATCCATCCGTCAAGCGAAGGAAAGGAATGGCCTTGAGAAATAGCCGGCAGGAGATAAATCCAGACTCTTTAGATTGAAGAAAACTTCGGTCTCAATTCACGGCTATCAGGCCCGTATTCCATATTCCGTAGAATGCACGACAGTGTCTAATGTGTTTTTATCATGACGCGCGAAAATAACATTTTATTATTTATTTATTTATTTCCTTTTTACTTGGCCTATTGTTCTCAGAGCCTCGAAAGGTTAAAGTGAAATAATCTTACTCGTTGGATCTTGTAGATGCTGCATGTTACAAGGTGGAAGACTCTACAAACCACTAATAATAGGTTTAAAGCCTAGATCGTCAAAGAACTACATAACATAACCGACTAACCTAACTAACTACCTACCTACCTAAGGACCAAGGTACTTAGTCGAGACATCTGATTCCGAATCCGAGTCCCGCCCTGCCGCTCTAAAGCCTCCACCGTCTCGGCAAGTCAAGTTTAATCCCTTACGTGATATCCGAGACATTGGACATCTACCACGTTTCCCCGGTTAACCAACACGCTGCATTCGCACCATCGATTATTGCGTCAAAGGTCAAAGCGAGCAAACAAACCAGGGGTTTCTTATCTACGCTCCGGGTCCGGGAAACTCAGTAATCCGAAAAAGAAAAGAAAAAGAAAGAAAGAGAGAAAAAAGGAAAAAAGGACGGAGATAGGGAGATTCAACATGTCCGCCGCTGTCGAAGCCAAGCCACAGCCACAGCTACAGCTACAGCGATGGCACGTCACGGAGCCGTACTTACACCTCGGGTGCGGACTAGGCGAAGGCCCGTACTACGAGGAGCAGACTCACAGCCTGCGGTTCGTCGACATCAAGAAGAAGCGGGTGCACGCCGTGGACCTCGCTAAGGTGCCGAGCCCCAACCCGAGCCCCAGCGTGGATCCGAGCTCGGCCCCCGCCGGCGTCGACACCATCCAGCTCGACGTCCCCGTCACCGTCACGGCGGACATCGAGGGCGTCGACCCGCGCGAACGCATCCTCATCGGCGCCAAGTACGGCCTCGCCGTGCTGGACCGCCGCGCCGGCACTTACGAGTACGTGGCGCGGTTCGGCGCCGACAGCGACGGCGACAACGAGCGCCTGCGCAGCAACGACGGCGCTGTCGATCCTCACGGACGCTTCTGGCTGGGCACTATGTCCGATTTTGGCTACGACTTGCAGCCCGAAGGTGAGCTTGGGTTTCGTTGCTCTCGTTCGTGCTATGTATTATTTCTATCTACCTGGTCCCATTGCTTTTCCCCAAGTCCTGCTTTTACTTCTCCTCTTTTCGGCACTCGCCGTCTCGTTGCTTGCACCGGAGAGGGGTAGATGAGGGGAAAGTTCGGTTCGGCCTTGTCTCGTTTCCTGTGCTCCTGTGCCCCGGGGACATCCTCGGGGTCTTGTCCTAAGCCATCCCCGCACGAACTCCTGGAAAGAGAAATCAGCCCTGGCGTTTTCCTATTGTCATTTTCTACTCTTTTCCCGGCAAGCGTCTCTAGTATGCAATGCTGGTGGCCGGAGGTGTCTCCGGCAGCCCGGTTAACCAGCACGGCCGGGGCGATATAAGTCGTGTGATATATGTTGCAATTTGCAGTGCTACGCCATGTATGTATGTATGTATGTATGTATGTACGTGCATGGATACGCGGGCGAAAGAGGGGCGTGCAGAAGGAGGGACAGCAAAAGAGAGAAAAAAAAGAAATTGGGAAGACGGAACGAGTCTAGCCTACAGATGCACGCGCGGAGGTGGTAGTGGCAGTGCTACTTTACTTTACCATTGTTGTAAGATCGACATTGGGATATCAGGCAACACGACGTTTATCTCATGTTATGTGTTATGCGCCACGGCAGGGCAAAACTTGGCAAAACTAACCTAATTCCGTCCCCATCCCAGGCTCTGTGTTCCTCTTCGACGGCACGCGCACGGCGCGGTCCATGCGGCACCCGGTTACCATCCCGAACTCAGTCGGCTGGTCTCCGGACGGCAAGACCTTGTTCTTCACGCACTCGACCGAGCGCACCATCCACGCGTACGACTACGACCAGAGCTCCGGCGAGGTGTCTCGCGAGCGCGCATTCTACTTGCACGACGGTCCCGGCGAGCCTGATGGCTTCCGCGTCGATGTCGAGGGGAACTTGTGGCAGGCTGTTTACGGCGAGAGCCGCGTGCTAAAGATCTCGCCTGAGGGAAAGCTTGTCGGTGAGATTAGACTGCCTACTAAGAACATCACGTGCACCCAGTTCGTCGGCACGGAACTGTTTATTACGACGGCGGGGATGCAGGAGGGCGAGGGAACTCCCGAGGAGGTTGAACTCAGTGGTGCGCTATTTAGGGTTGATGTCGGTGTTAAGGGGGTGGACCCTTTCTTGTTCAAGCTGAGCAAGGCGGTGGATCCGGAGTCTTGAGTTTTGGAAGACGATAGGCCGGTCTATGTTGGAGTTAACGATATAAATAAATGGGCATAGGTAACAAGAAGCACGAGAATTTTTATCACGTTCACATATGTAGCTCTTATATGTGATCGACAAGAAGAAATAAAAAAAAAATTTATACATTACTAAGACTCTATTGCAGTAGGATTATTAAGATTAGGTATTTTACTCGTTTATTAGCTTCATTTCGGCTTCAATGCGTACATGCGCACAGGGTATAGCTCGTGAGGGAACCCGTGCTGTATCTCCGTCTTAACTATGCGTAATCCTGCCTCCTCAAAAATGCGCCTGAATGTCTCGTCTTGTCTATGATATAACAGCGTTTTGTTAGTTACAGTGCTTACATGTACTCTCCCATGGAAAATTAAAAGGATGTAACGAAACAAGACTCTAGATACGCTCACCAGGAAACACTTACCTTGTAACACTGCTGTCTTCCGAGTCAAACAAGTCCTCTTTGGACGCACTCAAGTTCTCCTTTATCACGATAACCCCTTTCGTCTTCCCATCGTCGCCGACACTGAGCACAGCGCTGCACCGTCTTAGGAATTCCTCGAGTTGCTGATCGGTCAGGTGACCGAGACACCACTGGTTCCAGATGAGGTCGTATTCCGCATCATCGTCAGGCCGCCACTCCTCGAGCCCAACGTTGTAGATTCGGCCTACTCCCGGCAGGCCCTCGAGCGCATATGTGAACTTGGCGATAGGCTCGACGATGTCGACTGTCTCTGCAACGTCGAGAAGTAGCCCTTGCGTTATGCGCCCAATCCTGCGACTATTATTAGTTATGTGTTATATATATAAGGTATATATATATATATATACGCCTTGCACCCACGCGTACACCCCGCAGCCCCTCAGATTGCCACATCATTCTTTTTTAAGCTTCTACACATGCGCGCGGCGTAGAGATTGTTATAATACAGGGCGATGGGATTGAAACCGGGGAACAAGAAAATATAGCAAAGTGATAAAAATAGAAAATATCAGAAAAGGGGCCAAGTAAGGGGAGAATATAAGTCAACGTAGGCAGCAAAGGCAGCCAACCAGCAAGTAGAAAAACTTACCCTGCACCGCCCTCCATCGCCCTATTTATAGCCTTGACGCCTTTAGTACGGCCCAGGCCAAGTTTAGCCAGGAAGCTCCGCGAGCCTCTTAAGTCGATGCGCGAGACGGTAGGGTACCCGCCCAGCATGCCGTTGACGTCGGGGTCGATGCCAGACCAATACTTGCGGCCGTCATCAGCGCTGATTAGAGAGTCCGGGGCATCTGCGTTTGTTCCAAAGGGAGCCATATTGTCTATAAGTGCTGCGCTTCTTTGATTTGTTCTTCTAAATATGTAGTTATAAAAAAAGGGGGGTCTAAAAAAGATTTATCTGGAGAAAATTTACAACAGCGGTTATAAGGAAATGTGGGTTCGTGTTATTGACATTCCATGGCGTAATACACGCGTCAGGTAAGAAGAAGGACACAAATCAGGTAGATGATACCCCGTGTAAGTTTGTTTCGCAATACTTGCGTTGCTTCACCAGCAGAGAAAGACCACTGCACAAGAGGGAGGAGTGATGTTCTCCTGGGCATCACGTGGCCAGCGGGTTTATAGTGGGCACTTGTGGTTGCACCTGAACTTACCTAATATACCTCCATACCTACCTAACCTACCTACCGGTAAGGTAGGATACCCACCCCCCTATAGCTTCCCGTGTAGATCTTGTGTAACTCGATGTAATGCGCAACTGCCTAACTCGCCATCCTGAGGTAGTATTTCCTCCCCCTTGCCGCTTCGAAACGAAGAAATGCCTAATGCAGGTACTTATAAGAGATCGTTTTTATACATAGCAACGGGAAAGGGCGCTAGTGGAAATATGACATACATGCCTTTTAGCCGCGAGACTATTTTAATTCATTGTTAAAGTACTTGGTATATGTATTGGAGTATACCTAGGTACGTATTTCAACCTGAATACTGCCTACATAGGTAGGTACTTATATACACAATGTGTGCAAGGTTTAATATGGGTTCAGTTTTTACATGTGAATATGGTGAATTTCATTCCTTTTATATTGTAACTTCCAGTTAATAAGTACAAGTATAGTCATTTCAAGCCCAACATCTATATTCGACAACTTAATATAAATAATTTATACAATTTACCAAGTCACCTCACACTCAATGATCAAAAACAAGTATGTTATAACAGAATAATCAATCAACTTCGGATCTTTTGAGCTAGAAAACCCATTAGAGAAACGAAACGTTATTGTACATATAGTAAAAAAAGGAACCATGACCATGGCATATCCGTCATCAATCATCCCGCCTAATCGTCCTTGATCCCATTGGGTTTTTCCAATTTTCCAAATACCCATAGTCATACACCCGTACACTCGTACACTCATCAACCTAACTTACTCCTTCTTACCACCACCACCACCACCATAGCCACCACCATAGCCACCCTCGTAACCGTGATTGTACTCTCCCTCTCCCTCTTTCTCGCCCTCATTCTTGCCCTCGTTCCTCTTCTCTCCCCAACCACCACCGCGTCCGCCATAGCCGCCGCCATAGCCGCCACCGTATCCACCGTAACCGTAACCTCCCTCTTCTCCATAGTGCTTTTCCCTATGGTGCTCCTCTCCTCGCGGCCACGGCTGAGGGCGGCGGGTATGGTCCTTGGCCTTGCCGTCGACGTCCCCGTGCTCGTGGTGGTGCGGGTGGTGGCTGTGGTCTGGGCCCCAGTGGTGCCCGCCGCGCCACGACGCCTTGTATTTGAGGTCTTTCCCGTCGTCGTCTTCCCCGTGGTAGCCGGGGCCTTCTCTAGCCTCGATGTTGGCTTCGGGCTGCTGGGGAGGGTAAGTGTTAGTACGATTATCTTGTAGTAGCTCAGGGGGGTGGGAAAAGGGGGCTAACCTCGAGGGCAGTGCGCTCATCAAGAGGTACAACCGCCTCGGCGGTAGGTGCGGCTAAGGTGTTGGAGCCGAGGAGCAGGAAGACTGCCAGGAGAGATTTGGTGACCTGCATGTTGACAGTAGTATATGAATGTGTAATATAGTATTGATCTGTTTATTGAAGACTGAGATTGGATATTGAGATGCAGAAATATTATAGGCGAATATGGGAGAGGAAAATGAGCTTCTTATAGCCGTCCTGAAGCTAGGGCATCGAACGCGTAGCGTATAATCCTCTCCCTTGCAATAGTAGATAGAAACATTTTGAGTTCAATATTGACGACACCGATATGCCATCGAAAGGGCGTACGTGTAAGGACCTCTACCACGCCAGCGTACAAAAGACAACCGTACTATGACGCGACTCTACGCAAAGCACACAAAGTTAATCATGGAATGGCCCAATATCTCCAATGGTATCTAGGAGGTTATAATTGGCGTGTGTGGAGAGTCCATATAATAAACATACATTCTTCAGATGTCTAGACTAATCGACCCTGTTGTTCGTCACCATTCTAGTGGCAAGGGCAGCCAAGACATTGTCAGGAACCGCCCAAGACAGCGGTGCCGGGTGTTGAAGATCGGCTCCCACGGGCAAGACATCGGTGGGGACTATTATTAATTATGGATAGTCTTCCGCGACATCCGTCAAAGCTTGTTTGTTAGTTAGAATAAGTATATGAAATCATCACCTGTATAACTTCATTATGGAACAAGGTGACTCCTGGTAACGTAAACTCAAAGCATCGATTTGGAATCTTTGCCCAACTAGACTTGTATCGCACCCAGAGAGTTGGGCTCATACACGGGTCGCTATTCTTTCTGCTGGGTTTGGCCATGACGTGAGTATGAGAACGTTAGATATAGAACTAATGCATAGAAGACTGAAAACTTGAGCAGGAAGTAGAGTCGTCTTTAGTTTCGAAGACGACTCGACCTTGCCGTTCCTAACACCGATGAGGTTCGGTGGGCTAAATATTAACGGTTCCAGTTGAAAATCTTGGCTCTTTAGTGAACCCCAGCCCTGGGTTGTTTCTTGAAATCTCTAGTCTATTACAGTGAATATAATATAGACCCGCTAGTTGGTTGCCGGAATCATGCTGCAATTTGAATTGACACTTGTCGAGTGAGAGTAAGGAACTAAGCTCAGATTAAGAAAGATTCAAACTTTGACCAGGGAACCACTTTTGAATTGAGTCTATATCATTAGTATTTCTAAGCATGAAAAATTCGCCACCAAAGGGTATCAATCCCGGTCTAGGGAAAAGAGCCGTGTATGAAATTTGTTGTGTTAAAGCAGCCCAAAAGATGACGCGAACCAGAATGGCATCCACAACATAAGATAAGCCTGATGCACACTAGTAACTCCGTCGAATCCCATTTGTCGCCAATTTGGTGTGTACAAATTTATGCGTGTGGCCTGTCTATCGAATAAGTAATTAGTCGTTTTGGTGATTAGATGGGCTCGTTGTTTTGTTCGCCTACAGCACATAGCCATTGGCGCTAACACAATTCCACTCGCGGACACCCATCCCCTCCTCGAGTTCAACACACCACCAAAGCACTTCTTTGGCTTTATCCAGCTGTCCGCTATCTTCGTGTGCCCTAGCCAAGGCAAACCATGCGTCGGAGTAATTCCATCCTGTGCCTAATTTAGTGAGTCCCGATAGTAGCCCATAAGCTCTATCTCGAGCAGCAAGTCGATCGACAAGAGGCAAGGAAACAGCTTTGTAAGGAGCCGGAAGCTCCTCTATCGAAGGTCCGTCTGATTCAACGGTAGCTGATTTATCTGACGGTGAGTCTACGATATCAGCCACACAGCCTCCAAGCCCTAGTGGTGTTGATGGAAACGTCGGAATGTCCACTATTGTGTGAGGCTTCCGAGGACCAGGGCCAGTTGATATTAGATTTGTCTCTTGGCCATCTGGTAGGATAATGCTAGGGACAGCAGGAGGCGGCAAAAGCGCTTCGCTGTATATGTCAAGGAGGATATTGGACAATCCAACAATTGCTGAAGGGTGGTCTGGGTAGTACATTAGAGCTTCCTCAAAGTAGTCCCTCGCCACATAAGGGGTGCCTTCGGAAATTGCGAGATAGCCCAACTAAGTTTTGTTAGCGGAAAGAAAAAACCATTTAGGGGTCATTCAATTTCATACCTCGCTGTGAATATCACCCCAGAGCTCCTCAACAGATCTTTTCCCTCCCCAGCCAGGATCCCGTAGGGCCATAGAGCCGCTCGTATCCTTGGCGACCTCACTTTCTAAACCGTCTATCAATTTTCTCGCCTCGCTAATAGCGCCCTTAGCATCCCCATACATTTTAGCACGACGGTAAAATGCACCGATCATCAACCATACTTTTACAAGCATAGTCTGCCTCTGTCGTTTGACTTGTTCTTTCGGAAATTGCACTATGGGTAATGGATTGGGCGATGAAAGTGAATCAAGAACTAAACTATCAGATCCATTTGCAGAGGCCTTGGTTGAAGAAGCCGTAGAATTGAATCGAAGTAGTCCACGACCTTTGGAAAACGACTGTGGCCTGGACACGTCGTTTGAGTTATTCGATGCGAAAAAGTCTACTCGCTCTTGTGTTGCTCCATCCGGCATCGGTGTGTAGAAATCCTCGCCATCTACGACAGTCGGGGCTCGGGGCGGGCCTGAGCTAGTAGAGGAGGCCCGTCGCGGCTGGGCGCTCGGTTCTCGTTTCTTCAGGCTATTTCGCCTTGTTGAATCGCTACGCCCACGGGCGCTCGATGATCTTCTGGACCGTCGACCCTCACTAGCTTCACCATTCTCCTTAGTGACGTGAATGGCGGGAGCGGCGCTGGTGTTGGCGGCGGTATTGGCGGCGGTGACAGTGCTAACGGATGTCTGGATGGTTTGAGGCCTCTCCGGTAAGACAGTAGACGTGCTGCTCTCTGCAGGAGTGATATTTCTAAGATTACGAGATGTTCTCTCAGCCTTATTACCAAAAATGCTACCGCGTATACTTTTGACTGTGCCGGCAGAACTTTTGGGGACTTCCATTGTCGCTTTTTGAGTTGTAGCCGGCGGCCTTGGTTGAAATTCGCCAAACAGTCTTGTGTATAGGACTAATAATTCGTGACTTGCGTTTACTGCGACTTCTGGTCCTTCTAATAATTCTAGAAGGGCGAGTTGTGTCATCTTTACTTCGATCATGCCTTCTTTCTCGAGATCGTCCATTTCATCGACGAGTCCCCTCCCCTCGTTCTTCTCATCGCGAGCTTCCACCTCGTTAAGATGTTCGCTTCGGAACGCACCTTGAAGATTTTGAGAGCCAAATAGGACTGTCGGGTCGTCAAACTGCTCAAAGGCCCCCTCACAAGCCCTGGCAGCCATGATAAAATCCTGTCTAGCACTTAGAAGGAGCGCAAGGAGGTGCCACAAGGGTATCAACGAGCGTTCTCGCCAGTATGATCCAGACCCAGCTGATTGCTCTCCCGCTTTCCCACTGGACATGAGTGCAGCCCTAACAATGTCAATGGCCGCCGTTAGTTCTCGTTGCTCAGCTAGTAATAGACCGAGGGTGAACAAGGTCCTGACGTCTGTTGGATTTCCGTTTTCCGGCGATAAGGACTTCTGAAAGCTTCGTATGGCCTTGGTTTGAGTTTCTGTTCGTACAGATGCATCAAACGTCATTCTAGCCCATTGTGCTTGTGAAATACCGATGGCTTGCCATGAAAAGGCATACACTCGAGAAGATATTCTTGGATGTAATATAACTCCGTTTCCATCCTCCTCGTCTAGCGTTGTGATATTATCCTGCGCCCTAGGAAGCGGTGTTGGCAGCTTATGGATCATTCCTTCTAATTCAACCCCCAACTCATGTGCCTTCGCCGCAGCATCCCTGAACCCATATTTGCAGAGAGCGGTTATCGCCTGGGAAATGGTTTCAAGAACTGTCGCGTCATCGTCAAGACTCGGCTCCGGATGGCCCGTCTTATCGACTCGAGCTTTCCCCTTTTTGACGATATCCAGGTAAGAATCGAAGGCATGGAAGGCAAGATCAAATTCAGCGACTGAAAGGTGGACGGTGAACAGATACCGCAGTATAGCCGTAGAATGGAATGTTTTCGTAGCGGCTCGGTAGAGTATGTCTAATACTCCCCGACTAAGGCCTTCCTTGCCACCAGGTCCGAGATCTTGTTCGTGCCAATCACGCCCGCTTAGTACACTCCAGTTTCTCATCACAACCGCAACGAAGTCTTCCACTTCTTCTCTCTGTTCTTCGGCTCGCGGAAAGGAAGTTTCACTTAGAAGGAGACCTTCATAAGCTACTTCGACTTTCTTCAGTTCCGTTCGAAGTTGATTTCTAGCTGATGCTTCGTTGGTGACGTTTACAGAGCCTGTGGGGAATGGCAAATCTTGTTGTAGAATGCCTGAAATGGCGGCGTAATATTCGTTCCATACTCTTCTTCTAGGTACGGCGCCACGAAAACCATAGCCACCGGCAAGAGCGGTGCCTTGAGCCTTAGCCACCTCCCAGTATTTCGCCCAGGAACGATATGGAGCTAGGGAATTGGCATCTTCGAGGGTTTTCTCGCCTTTTTCCAGGGCCTGAGATTGTAGCATACAGAATTCCGTTAAGAAGAGTTCAGTCCAGAACCGCAACTGCTTCCGTCCTTTCTCTTCCGAAAATACGTGTGATAGGGAAGTTAATGCTGATTCGAAGACGCCCAGTGCCGCAACCCTCTCATCGTTTCGCGCAAGACAATTGGCCTTTAAATATGTAGCCTTGAGGGCACATACCCATGACCATTCCGAGATGCTACTTGGCTGATCGAGCTGGGCTAACTCGCTGTCTAGATCCCCTGGTAACTTCAAAGCGGCAGTGCTATACTCCCCGACGGTCCAATAAAGCCACCCAACACATACTTGGGCTTGGTATCTGTCTTCAAGAGGAGTTGTCTCGACTTCGATCGCATTAATTAATCTAGGCACTAATTGGGCGACATCCAGATCCGCAGCAGAAACGGCGGTAGTAGGCCTCGATTCGGGGTTTTTCTTCTGTGAAGCTTTGATGATAGCATACTCGGTCTCGGCGGTTGTTGTGAGGCCTATAGATATGTCATTACATTAGATGGTTTCGAGAAGGAGTAGGATAGTAGAGTCGTACATAATCTGTCGGTGGCATGTTTGCGGACCTTACGCACAAGCTCTGGTACCTCATCCCATCTCCCCTCGCACCTAGCATCTTCCAATCGTACTACGTATTGGGTTACCTTGGTCGATTTCTATAACACTTTAGATGAGCAACTATGGTTATGGCTGCTGGGAATAGGAGGAAACAGGAGGGGGAGAAGGGAACTAACACTCATCCTGACGATTCGAGGCCTGAGCAAACGCGGTATTGGTTAATAGAACTCTCGCATATCATATCGCCGAGTGTTAATTATAGTGCAATGCCAGCGTTACACGTCTGTAAATATCATATAGCTCGGACTGTTGGTTACAGGTAGGCCCAGGGGGTAAGGATGGATGTAGATGAGCCTAATAAATGAATAAGTTTGCTGCGTCGTCGCGGCCAAGTAAATTAAACATTTCTTGGCACAGTAAGGGGGAATATGTTATGACCCTGTTAAAAGAAAATCGCCCCACTTGATTCGTAAGTGCTTTTGCTCTATGCAATTAAAAGGGATGGTGGGCAGGGCGGGTCACAACCAAACAATTAAGGTGGGCTAGGTGGGATTGATCATGTAGACCCGCTAAAAAGTTTATCGATAAGGATAAAAAGTTCATGGAGCTTTCATATGAAGAAAAGCTTAAGTTGAAATTCCTAATTCCTATCTCGTTATACATCTATTTAACAACCAATGAATTGCTGTTTATTATTATTTAAGCTACGGACTTTATAATATACTTCTCTACCCAATAGGAAGTTTCAATTGTACAGAGCCTGTGTAGTTAGCTCATGCGCCAGAGCCATCTACAGATTCGACTACTAATTAATCTTAAGAATATATGAATCTCAAATCATGGCGTTTTCTGCACTTCCCCCCGAACTGCGCAGTCTCTGTCGGAGATTAACGGCGACAAAGGTAGAGCAGCTTCCAGCTCTGCTACCCTCTCTACTTAGGGACTTATTGCGTTGCAAAGAACCACTGTCAAGGCCACATGAGGCGAAGGCGTCTGATAGTTCTTCTGAATCGACAGTGCTCGTACATAAGCTAAAGACTCAGATATCTACACTTCTCAATAGTAGAACCTCTCAGGGCCGCTTCGTAGGAGTGGCGCTAGTAAAAGCGGTGGTAGAAACTGGTGGTTGGGAATGCCTTCGAACATCCGAACCATGGGTCCGGGGACTTCTATCTATTCTTCAAGTAAGTTTTTATACCTCACAATATCAGCAAAACCACTCACAATAAAATAGAGAAAAGATCCAGCAGTCATTAAGGATCTATGTGTTGTGACCCTGGTGAAGATATACACTCTAATGCATGCCTATCCCACGTTGATACGGGAGATCGTTACACCTACCCTTCCTACATTTGGAACGGCCTGCCTCCAGATTTTGAAGCCTCCCACAACTAGCAAGGTTGCTAAAGCACCTAATAGCCTCGTCGAGACAATATTTGAAGGTTTCTCGGTTATAACCCCACTATACCCTACTACACTACGCCAGTTTGCGTCTAAGCTTAGGGTCGAGACGCGATTGTATATTGCTCCAACCGTCTCGGACGGTACAATAGTTCCAGCCTCACTACAGGCATGCAGCAGACGTCTTGTTATCAGGTTACATATGACAGCTATAAAGGGTGGGGACTCAACTGAATGGACGAAACATCTAGATGGTATAATCACTACATTCCACTCTACAGCCGATCAGGTGTTCCGGGCAATCCAAGAAAACTGGGAGTCGGTGTCGGGTCACCCGTCAGAATCTACGCCGCAACGGGTAGATTTCGATAAAGATCCCCAGGGCGGTAGTGACAGCCCAGATCAATTGCCCCCTTGGACTGGCATTTATGCGGGCAGCGAAAGAATGCTCGGTCTACTCGATTTTATCTGTGAATATCTGCGGTGCTTTACAAAAACGACAGTTACCATTCCGGTTAGCGCAATGGTCGATATCGTTACGAGGATATCCTCAATCACGCCATCAATTCCAGGGAAGGAGAAATCTGCATCAATTCAGATGAACCCAGCTGTTGGTAGAGAGGAGAAAGACGAATTATGGACAGTATTTCCAGATATTCAACTTGCTGCAATGAAATTGCTATTTGTTATGACGCAGCGGCTGCGAAGGAGTTTCCTACCACTAGCTCAAATATCACTTGAACAACTCTTGCGAATGTTTGAGTCTAGCTATCGTCTACCTGAAATCCGGATAATAGCCTTCCTCCTAACCAAAGAGATTCTTCAGCTTTGCGGGCCAACAATGGAGAAACTTACCGTTGAGGGATTAAGCCTCGTCATCAAGGCATGCTGTCGCGACCTTTTAGGATATGGTGGTCATCTCAAACATCCTAAGCAATCAGCTGTTTCTACTCAAAGTAATCTGAAATCTAAATCTTCCAGTCAGAATGCTGACGCTTTTCTCGGCAACAGCGCCGAAGACGAATCCATATCTGTCTCGTTAAGTCCAGAGCACGTCTCTGCAGCAACAGCATTCTTGACTGCTCTCTTTAGTCATGTACCTCAACAGCTTCTTCCCTCTTCACTTCGGGCTCATATGCTCAAAACAGCTATATTATGCCAGATTAAGGATGCGCAGGTAGCAAGCGTATTACATCCCGTGCGAGACAAGAGCGGTAGGACGCCAGCAGTCATACTGCCTTATCTTACACAACGGTTCCCGCACGACGAAAGTGTAGAAGTATTGCGCTTCAACTTTCGCCCCGTGGCGACAGGACCCAGGAATGACGCTATGGACATCGATAAGACGCCAATTGAAGACGCCTCAGAAGACGATTCTTCGATGAATGGACTTTCATTCGATCAACCACTTGAGACTTCTGTTCCTAGTCCCACAAATCATACCCGTGCCGAAGCCGTTGAGACCTCAGCCAAAGCTCAGGACCTATTTCTCCCCAAGAGACCGCTGGAGACAGTTCTCAGATCTGAAGAGGAAGGTACCACTGTTGCGCGACCACCGCCGACAAACTTACTCAAGCGGAAGAGCGAAGAGGCTGAAATTGCCATTTCTAAACGGGTTGAGATCGACACGACGGCAACAACGGTAATCAGCGCCCCAATACCAGTATCTACCAATCTGCCGAGCCAGGCTCCCAAGACTGGCAGCGTAGGAGCTCCAGACGAGGAAGACAGCAGCGATAACGAGAGTGTACACCTGAATATGGAGCTCGACGCGGACGACGATGACGATGACGACGACGACGGAGCAGAAGAAAATTAGCACGCGGCGAATAGGAATCTGTTCCGATTACTCGTCATCTGGAACGTCGCACTCGGTAACTTGGCGAGCATGCCGCCTGGTTCCGGATAAAAAGATCCCACATGGCCCTGTACACAACATACCTACATAGGGACTTGGGCGACGATGGAGCAGGCCATATTTATATAGTAGAGATTAATTACCTTATCGCGCAGACGCAAGGCACGCGGGTCGCTTGGTCACGGATAGAGACCGCGTAATCTTGTAAAGTCAAGTCGCTTGTTTTTCGTGGGGGTTGGCAGGTGTTGCGCATGCGAGCTAGTACCAGAGTCGTCAGTCTATTGTATATTTCGAGATAGGCACATCCTCAAGAGGGATGCCGTTCTATATAAAAGTCTTGAGTAGTAGTTGGTATGATATTATTAGATTACCTATGTCCCTAGTCATCTATGATAGACATCCTGGTAACTTAGGATAATTTATGCCTTGGAGATCTTCGGAAGCTAGATTTCTACTTGGAGGCTCTATTCGTAGAGTCGTTTTACTCCGCAAACGAAATAGGAATATGGAGGACACCAACGTAGAGAGATACTACATATAATAGACTGGCCGTACGATATAATCCGAAACGGAACGGACAGTTTTGGAAGTTTACGGCAAATAGAGACAGCTAATGGGTTTCAGAAACGGACTACGATAGGCGGTATACTCGGCGTATTTATATTAGCAGAGACATGTGTAGGAGCACTGGTAGGAAGCTTAGTTCGTGCAATATAAGCGGCGAGGCTAGAGCGTACATAGTACATAGTACGTGCCGAAGTAATTTATCATTTGGGGGTATATATTCCGAAAGCTTAAGGGAAAATGCGACAAGAGGTACCGAAACTGGCCCAGTAGGTTCATTGTCCAAGCGCGTCAGGGCCGCTTGATCCAGAACAAACTAGGTGACGATACCTCTTTTTAGACAATGCAATGCAAACAATCCTCATCCCGAATATGCAACGCAACACGGCCTCTAACAGGCCATCTGCTTCCACGCGACCCCTATACGTAAACCGTATGCACCAACGCCGTGTATGTGACCTCGACCTCGATGCACCATGCAGGTATCCGCCCCTCCCTCCTCCTCCCCAATATACCTACCTAGTTCCCCAGGTAGCATAGCAAGCCACGTGGCTCTTCTTAGTCTCTCAGCCACGCCCGTCGCTTCTCTTCCTTCCTCGCGCGGCGCTTTTCTTTGAACTGCTTGAGCTCGGCTTTAGTCGGCTTCTTGCCGGACCGCTCCGCTTTTAGACTCCGTCCGTCATGCGAGTTGGCAGCCGCGTCGACGTCAAAGAACGCGTTCATTTGTCGCCGAGACTTGGCCTCGTCGTTGTGGTTATCGGGGTTCTGGTCGCCGCCTTGCCAGCGCCCGGTGAAGCGATTGAATGTACCCATAGCCGCGTAGGCGGCCGACGCGTCTACTGATGGATCCTGCCCCGGTGCATTCTCCGCGCCTTGCTTGGCGTACCAGGCGTTCGGATCGTAGTCGCCGTGGATCGCCGGATTATAGCCTCCAGCTGGGGGCCGTTCATTTTTCGGCAGCTCAGGAGCGACAGCGACAGCGACAGGGCTAGACGCGATTTCCTGCGCCTGCAGCGTCGAGCTCGCGGCCGAGCCTTTATTGGCCAGCCGAGGGTTTTCCCAAGTGGTTTCGTGGGTGAATCGATTGTAAAAGAAATAGGCCTGACTTGTTGCATCCCAATGGAAGTCCCAGCCGTCGTCTTCGGTCGCGGGTGGCGGTTCGTTCGGCAAGGGAGGAGCGCTTTCTTCAGCGACAGGCGAAGCCTCGCCAGATTCTCGCGATTGAGGCGATGCTATAGATGATTCGGGTGTAAAGCTGCTTCTTTGCTCAGGAGATTCGGATGGTATAGGATCGTCATGACTTGCGTCCTGAGATTTCGGTTGAGCACCGGGCAGGGGTTCATGCGACGCGGTGGTATCCTTGGGCTGATCAGCAGCCACTTCGGAAGAACCAAGTGACGTAGGCGAAGCTGACATGTTTTGCGGCCTTGACATATATAAAATTTTCTTCAATTATTCCCTTTCTATTGAAATGTTATTATAAGCTGCTACGACTTAGTCGATGAAGAGAAGTCGAAAAGGATACATTCTGACTAAGGAGTCACGACAATTGCGGCTTTGCAAGGGGGGTTACCGTAATTGAGTCGATTCTGAGACGAGGCCAAGCAGTACAAAATGGGTGATGAAGTTGATGCGTCGGCATCGTCGAAGCTCCTTGGACGCGAGCCTTCTGGGATTCTCTTATCGGATATCGGCAAGGGGGAATCTTCGGATGAACGGTACATTTAGGTAGTCACTTCCGCACCTAGGTAGGATCCACCGATGGAAAAAAGGTACAGAAGGGTACTTCTTACATTAGGTAAGGATTTGTATTGTACATAGATAGGTACATACCTCTCTTATGTCCATAACTCTTAATCCCAGTCTTTATGTGCATCCACATACCCGGCCAGCGATCATTTTTCAATGTTATCTCAGATCTATCCGACATCTGTGCAAAATACATAATTAAAAAACAATTATAAAAAATACTCAAAATCAAAGTGTTACATCAGACAACTTATCAAGAGTCTTTACATAAACATAACAGGTACCTAACATATATAAACTACCATGCGCTATGTTTTATTGACGAGTATTGGCAAATACCTAAGCAAGAAAAGCCACGATGCTAATACCTAAACTATCTTTCAGCTCGCCTTCAATTTCTGTATACGGCAGAGACAAATGTGGCTTGAAAGGCTCATACGACAGGCCCGGTTAATTACCCATGTATGCTGTACAACACACACATACGTCCCTCACATGAGAATAGGGCCTCCCACTCCACTCTCTCGACGCTCCAGACCCTCTAAATCTGACGAACGAAGACGTCGCCCCCAATGAGTGGCCTGTTCGTCTGTTCGTTTAGAACTTAAGACGAATCTTCAGTGGTCCTTCGTCCTTAACTCTGGATTGACCAAATGCTACGCCTAAGGACTGCGAATATCGTCGGTAGCTCACCGCAATGTAACTGATACCCTATAATACTACCTCAACACCAGGTAAACTTGACTCGTCGTATGCAGATCCACGACCAGTACAGCGCTTGCGCGTTTCTTCTTTTTTAAGTTTCTAGCTTTTTTTTTCTCCCCGTATCCTCAAACGTCTCGACGCGAGACTACCAAAGTTGTTTATCTTCTATCATAGGTACCTATGGTCAAAGTTGATTTCACTTGGAGTTTAATACCTATAAACACAGTTTCGGCTTATCCGTCTTGTAGCCCAGGTGCCATGGGTACAAGTATATTTCCGAACATATCTCAGCTAACCTAGTGGCTTCTTGTATCTTATATCGTGGCTTAACGTTGACTTTACAATAATAGCCTTCTCCAATACACACATCCGCAGCGTTACATTCGCACCTTTTATCCATTATCCAACGGTGGGATCCAACGGATATTATCCAAACATACATAGGCTGGAATAAATCTAGCCACAAGTATCGACGTTTCAAGTGTTGCATTGATCGCGTATGTCGCTGATCCAGCATTCCTCCCCCCCCCAATCTGGTACTGCCACCCTAGGACCGTTTTCATACCATCGATCAGGGCACCGTTTTAACGGGATCGTCTTCCGCACCAGGGCCTTACCATAGCCTCATATTCGGGCCTAGGACCACACTCGAAAACCTTGGGTGATATCATCCTTGTGTCCGTGTCTCGGTGTGTGCTTTCGGGGATGCTCAAGCCAATTATTATTTCTATATTGCGTCCCCTTCTCCTTCAACCCGAAATTTCGTGCCTCTCTGGTTGTTAGTAGCGAATCGGCTCTGTGATGCATATCCCCTCCGATATACGACATTTTAATTATACGTGATCTTGAAAGCCCTCAATAACAAGTCGAAGTTAGCTTTTCTGAAGCCGGCACAGGCCCACGCGAATTTGGGCATCGTTGCGCTGGGCAGGTTGGATAAGTCACGGCTGGGTTATAGGCGGATATAAGACAAGGACGTCGTGATGGTTCACTCAAGGCTCTTACGGCCACTCGTGGTCGTCTCTGGCTTGACTTCGTTATCCCTCGCCGCTTTCCAACAAGTTAGCAACGACCAATGCAACTGCTTCCTCACAAATGGAAGCAGGGCAGATTACTTCACGAGCCATAAATTCTTTGACTATCGGGAGAAATCTGAGTATGCTACAGTACCAGCCCTCATCGGTGATCCCGATGATAGTAGCGAAGCCGACCCAGCTAGCGACTATTTCTCCTCCAATGAATGGATTGATAATTGGACTTTACAAAATTGGGATAACAAAGCTTCACTATCCAACGGTGTGAGCGATGCGACGACCCTAATGGTTAATTCACCCAACAATGTCTATCTTGAGAAGAATAACGATCCGGATGCCGACTCAAGTACATTCCTAACAATGAGAACAGCGCGCTTAGAAGACTTTCAGACGGCATCCGAGTTTGAGTCCACGGTTCGAAACTATCATTTCTTGTCGGCCAGAATGTATGCGAGGACGATTGGTGCGCCAGGTGCGGTAACCGCAATATTTACCTACAGAGATATGGCCAACACTACCGATCCCACCAAGGTCCAGGAATCAGATCTAGAAATCCGAACAATCGATCCTCCTGATCATGTCCAATACACAAACCAGCCGTCATATACTTCTATGGGCCTCGATGTACAGGAAGCCACCCGGAACGTTACGATCCCGAAGAAGAGAGACTGGACAAACTGGGCGGTGTATCGGATGGATTGGAGCCCGGGAGCTACGACTTGGTACATTAACGGTGACGAAGTCGCCTCGATCTCCTTCCAGGCACCCCGCGATCCTAGTCTTCTCATTCTTAACTCGTGGTCAGAGTACGTATTTTAAAAGATTATTCTCGCTTGTACTTTTTTGAATGTAGTTCCGTTTTTGCCCCTGAGACCGACTTGTCGTTTGGCTTTTCACGGATCAGGGTCCCGACTTATAATCGGGGGTGTACGAATGTTGTTACAAGAAAGTGGTATACTAACGCTACACAGCGGCGGATCCTGGTCAGGAAATATGAGTGTGGGGAAGGAGGCTTACCTTCAGATCCAATGGATTGAACTCGTCTACAACGCGACCGGTCCTTCAACATCGAAGAGAGACGACCAGTCCTGTGTTAACATCTGCAGCATCGACGAGACGGAAAAGATAGGTGCCCCAGTGCTACTACAAGGCAGTGCTTCAAGCCTCCTGGGGCAGATGGGAAGTTTTGCCGGTCTGGTCTCGTGGGTCTCTGTATTATCTACGGTTATAGCTTTCTGGTAGATGTCATCTGGAATAGGGGGTTAAAAAAAAACATCGGGCCTTGAGAATGTCTCTATTAGTATACTGGAGATATCATTCGCTCTTAAAGTATAGAACTCTAATGACTTATTACTCGTCAAAATACACAGCGAATGTTCACAGCTCTCCTCTCGGAACGGCAATTCCTAAATAATCTAAGATCCTAATTTCCTGGAGTCCCATGCTTATACGAAGTGACGAGCCTTTTGGGCGTCTACTACATGGCACATCGACGTGACTTACAAGTATTTAGGTTGCTCAGAATGACACGCGCCTTTGAAACGGGGGTTTGCGCAAGCAAGTCTCCGCCATTTCCCGACGGGAGCTTCCTTAGGAGGCGTGGCTGGGGACGATGATAGGTGACATGTGCCATATTCTAAGTTCATTAATATTTAGGGCTCGAGAGGCCCAAGGTGTCGATTTTAGCGTTAATTAATAGTACCTGTCTATTTCTCGGGCCCTGGAATTAAGTTATCCTATTGCTGGCTCACCGAGAGTCTAGGGGCCTGTTCGGGACGTTGTTAGATATCTAGATTTTGTGAGTATTTGCCTTGTGTCGCATATAATAAGTAATGACATTTTATGACATTACAAGTTACCTTTTGGTCAAGTGGATAATCTGACACCTTGCTTGGTCGTCCAAGCGTTCATGCGAGGCTTCAAGCATGTGGTTATCAGCAGCTTTACCTGGAGGCGTTAGAATAAGAAACAGTTGCTCGGGCTTCTCGTGGCGTAAGTGGTTGCTCTCGTGGATTTAATATGAATAAGTCGTAGGAGTGCGTAGTCAAATTGTGGTATTACTCTACGCCGTATATATATTCGAGGCTGGGAGTTTACTATTACGGACCCTATAGTGAAAGCTACTAAAAGACATTTCCAATATACCAAACTATTCTCGTCTCAGTCAGCTCTAGTTATTGAGTATAGGTATAGACAACTCAGTTAATTAACAGCCAAGCATTGGCAAGGTATCATTCTACTGTATATGTGCGTATCTGAAACCGGGAAATCCACCCCACACAGCGTGGTCTTTGACGAGGACGGGGCCGGCACACTATACAAACAGCAAGGGGAAATCCTTGCTGGTTTATTATTCTGCATACCAATGATAAATTGTCAATAGGCATATTTATTTATGTGATTGCTACGCTATGATTCATACGGGGCGTGTTATAGACAATATCGTGAACCTGCTGGAACCCATATGTAAGAAGCGAAGGCATTGAGAGCCCTGCAACATGTAAAGTAGTAATGCGACTGTCATGAGTATGTACATGTCATGATATGCATGACGATCCACCGATCTGCCCCTTGCAGGGTTGTGCGTTTCGCAGATATACATAACAACCCCTAGATTTGGCTCCCAATATATTGCCTATTCCGGAATCGCGATGCTTCGATCGAATGGTCGCCTCATCATGACATCCGGGTAAAACACGACAAGCCGTGGTCACAGCAAGGTGTCCGCCCCGTCGTGGGCGCTACTGTAATGCGTGCCTATATATAAACTTGCTGCTATGCCTTTCTTTCCTGCATTTGCACTCCATTGTACTATTTCGCTGCTCGAAACCAGAACTAACTGTCTTAAGAAGGAAGATCAACATGAAAGTCTCAACCCCCCTGCTTTTCCTATCCGGGGCCCTCGCCGCCCCGTCCGGCAACTTCGAAGCCCGCCAGTCCTGCGCTAAGTTGCACGTTATCGCCGCGCGCGAGACCACCGCCCCCCCGGGCTTCGGCACTGCGCAGGGCATGATCCAGCTGATCCAGGGGGCATTCCCCGGGACGACGTCCGAGGCCATCGTTTGTATGTCCCCTTTCCCCCTTCCCCCCAGAGCCATCCAATCTAGCAATACCGATACTGATACATATACCTACACGCCCAGACCCCGCAGCAGGCGGCGACTCCTATGGGTCCTCCGTGACGGCGGGGATCAAAGCGGTCGTAGACCAGGTCTCGGCCTTCACCGCGAAGTGCCCGGACACGACCGTCGTGATGGTGGGCTACTCGCAGGGCTCGCAGATCATGGACGACGCGTTCTGCGGCGGGCCCGACGGCAGCAGCCTGAGCGAAACGGCCGCGCCGCTGCCCGCCGACGTCGGCACGCACGTCAAGGCCATCATCTTCATGGGCGACCCGCGCAACGTGCCGGGCCTGAGCTACAACGTCGGGACGGCCAAGGCTGGCGGTGTAAGTCTGCCGTTCCTCTTTTTCTTTCCGTGGCCATCCATCAGATACCATCTCCGTTTTTCGTTGCTGCCCCTGAGTGAGCACCTAGTCTGTCTGTCTAACCTATGTGTCTGTCGTCCAGTTCGCCGCTCGACCCTCGGGCTTCCAATGTCCCGTCTACGAGGATAGCATCCAGTCGTACTGCGACGCCGAGGACCCATTCTGCTCCAACGGCAACAGCGCGCAGCACCACCAGGAGTATGTCCAGATTTACGGCCAGCAGGCTCTGGCCTTCGTTCAGCAGAAGGTCGGCTCCATATGAGAAAGCGTTACTATACCGACGTGTGTGTATCTAAGTAAATCAGTCCATGGATGAGGACTGGGGAAAGGAGGATAAAAATTTTAATTCTATATAGTTCAAGCGGTGCTAGATATATAGATTCATCAATTCAAAAATCCACGAGTATATGTTATCTACAACCCGTTAAAATACGAGTTCGTGGCTATAAAATCGCCCAGGTTAGTTGCTGGTGGAAATTATGATATCTGAAGATATGCCCAAGGTTTACCTTGGGATATTGTGTCCAATGCGAGTAAAGATTTCCTATCTAAGATATGTGCCTTGCTACCTTGTGCGAGTTTTTCTTGCCTTACAAGAAGCAATAAGAGAAAGAGGTGAATGAAAGAAATAATAAAAGAGCTGGAGTTTTGTTAAGGTATAAGTGGCTTAGGGGTATATTTAGGAGTAAATTTAGGGGTAAATCTACTAAAATTAGGCAGTTCATTATATACATATTTTAACATTCACTTTATATATAATATATAACTTAGATATAATAATTAAAATATTGTTTATAGAAATATGGTGCGGTGTAAACCTTAGGCTTTTGTGTTACCCGAAGGGTGACCTCTTGTTATGTTATACGATGAATAGTAGCCCAACCTAGGTAGTGATTGGGAAATGAGTTCATACAGCAAAGTTATTGATTTTTCTTCGTTTAAGTTCATTTAATTCGTTTCCATATCTTAGGAGATTCGTAATACTTATCAGTTAGGCGTTGCTAAAGGCACAATGAACAAGCAAATGCTAATAATATAGTCATAATATAGTCTATCAGTACTTCCGTGTCAACATTACAGGCTTTATAGTTACAGTGTCTCTTGCTCTCAGCTTTTCTATTCATAAAACAAGTCTGCCTGGCTCTACTTCCAGCACCGTCTTAACTCTTTGCAGGAATTCCTTGGCTCTCTTCTCCTCAGCCTCCGGAACAGAGAGACCGAATATATTGGTGCCGGTGGATATTCCGGCTTGTGAGCTAGTCTTTCGTGGCTTTGGCGCAGACGCCTTCGCTGAGCCTGCTAGGAAGTCGATAATGTCAACTTGCTTTTTGGGCTTGGGTGCAACGCCGGTGAAGGACGGCGAAGGAAGAGCGGAAATTTGAGGAATATAATGACCGCGAGAACCCTTCGAGCTAGCCTTGTCCAGACCCAACACCTGATTAAACAATTCATCGGCGGTTGGCTTATAGTTCGATGGCAAAGGCAGCTCATCATTGGCTACTTCCGTAGCCCTCGCCACGAATGTCGATAACGGTATGAAAGTGCCGATAGTATCCTCGATTTTCTTCTGAACCTCTATCACTGTCGCAAGCGATATCGGCAACGTTACTATTGAGACCTTGGGAACAGGGATCTCTGATGCAATCTTCTCAGCCTTCTTCGGGGCCTCCTTAGGAGCAGCGATCTTGATGTTGGAGAGATCAAGGTGTGAGTTGTGGTCAAATCGTGCTTTAATCTCTCCAGGTCTACTAGAAGGTGCGCTACCGAGATATGCGAGGACGTCACCCTTGAGAAGGCGTCCAGCAGGGCCCGTTGGCGTTATCTCGCTAATAGCAGACTCGTCCAGCTTGTGCTCCTTTACTAGGTGCTCGACTGATGGGTAAAGAGGGTATTTCTGGGGCGGTGCCTTCTCGCCAGTCCTCTTCGGTCCGCTAGCTTGTTTCTCTGAAGCAGCGCTCCGAGACTCTTGTTTGCGCTCCGGTTCCTCTTTCTTGGCTTCCTTCTGCGCAGGCTGTTCGTCGGTAGGAATCTCCAGTGATTTGATGTCGTCGCCGGATTCTGCAACAACACCGATTCGGGTGCCAACCTGAATGTTCTTACTGCCATCACCCTGAGTGATTTTTACGAGGATCCCGTCGTCTTGCGCCTCAACATCCATGGTCGCCTTGTCTGTTTCGATCTCGAGCAAGACATCGCCCGCGGAAAAGGAATCGCCCTCCTTGAGCTTCCAGTTTGCGATGTTGCCTTCCGTCATAGTGGGCGACAGGGCCGGCATGGTGAAGTTTTGTGCGGCGAGCGAGGCAGCGGACGTGCGAAAGCCTATGCGGACCTAATTAGCCATACACGCGCGCGAGAGCTACTAACGGATTAAAATACCTCGACTTGCGGCATCTTGGGCGACCCGTCGGCTTATAAGCCGTGTTGTTAGGCGGGTTGCTGTCGCAAAAGATGCCATTGTCGGCTTCTTAAGAAGAAAAGGTGAAGCTCAATTGAGCCTTTTTCTTTTTTTTCTTCCCTCTCGTTAAAACGGGATCTCGATTCGGAGCTTATGAATAATGAATAAATGCTATGGTTGAGCTTGTTGGGGATTCTCCGGCCTCAACCGAATAATTATCGGAATTGGAAGGGACGCTATAAAGTTTTACCGTTTCCTATCCCTCAGAACCCTGTACATAGTGTACATAGGTACCTATATAGGGCTCCCGACGTTGAGGTTATGGAAGGGTTCCACTAATTAAGCCTTAGTGAACAGGGGCTGATATATACCTAGGTACCTATGTACTTGGGTACTTAATATTAGGGTCACCTTGCAGTAGTTATCGATAAAGAATAATTAAGAAATTCAGTCCCACTGAAGCTTTATCAAATCTATAACCCATCATCCCACCATCCCACCATCTAAGTCGAAATTATACGATTACCATATTATCGTCCTTTACTTAGTCATGTCAATTGAATTACTTGCCTTATAATACGCAGATGACGGTGCCTATATCCGCTTGCCGGGGTTGTACCCGCCCTATATTTATACTCCATAACTCACTCAGATCACATATCCGAATCACCAGAGTCCCGCTATGGCTCCAGCCAACTTCCGCTCGAACGTGCGGCCGATCGTTCGCGACGACGGGCCTTAGATTCGCATCTCCAAAGCAAAAACCAACAATCCCTTTAAATCCTACAGCCTTGCCTCCGGCAAAGATCGCACCATCTCCACTACTAAGTTTTGCGCAGAAGCTCGCAGACAAGTCTTCTCCGACGATCTTATACGAAGCAGGTCCCCAGGGAGTCTTCCTATTCTCAAGTTACACGGCTGGTATCTTCTTCATAGGAGCCGCCACTACCAACATCGTTTTAAACGTCTACAATCTACCGGAAGGACTCCATTGGATCGTTAGTGTTGGGTTTGGTATGATGGGCTTACTTCTAGCCGCTTGCGGGACCAGGTTTGCACTGATGCCCGCCGGTATGATACGTTCTATCAAGGTACTACCAGCCCGGTCAGTCAAGGCGCTGAACCCAGCCGCGAAGACGGCTACAGCGGAAAATCTACCGGTGCGGCTTGAAATCGAAGCTCGACGCACTGTGCCCTTCCCAGGTGTACCGCTACGTCGCATACAAGTTGATCCAAATGACGTGGTCATGAAGGCGCCGCTGTATAATCGCAAAGCGCCCCCTTCGGACTACGAGAAGATGCTTATGAAGAAGCAGGAAGAGGTCCGGCGTAAGCAGGAGCGCGAATACGAGATGAACCACCTAATGACTGCACCGTTCAGGCATGGGAAACAGGTCTTCTCGATGCTCTTCAAGAACTTCCGCCGCGGATTAACAGGGGAGGGATTTGCCCCAATTATGATCAACGGGATTAAGTACAAACTCGACATCACGTCAGCATATGTACTGGAGGAAGGACGAGCTTTGGATAGGATCGTGAAGATTGATAAATAATGTCGCCTTGCCTTTTTGAGGTAATAACACGTCGTGGGTTGTGGGATACGACATTGTACGATTATCATGATATACCTGAGTGCATTACTACCTGCTAGAGCATTGTACAGAGAGTGGGAGCTTCAAACTCGATACGTTCGAGTGGATTGCCTATCTAAGTACCTAGCCGATGTACCCAATGGAATATCGCCCTCAAGGCTCGGGGACACGTATGCCCCGTGGGTTGTGCAGCCTTGTTCGACGTCTTGTATGGTTACTAAGTCCAGTATATCTAAGAGAAGATGCAAGCCGGATGATTCCGGGATGGGGATCAGGTGGAGTCGATCTGAGTTGACTTCGTCTATCGAAACAAGAAGTCTCATATCGATTTGTATATACAGTCACAAGGCGCCCAACGTATGAACAAAAAAGATATATAATCTCCCCCTTATCTTATTCTTCGATTCTTCTTTGGCGATTATAGAATGGAAGTCTTTGTTTAAGAATATTCAAAAGTTGAAGACATTTCCTCTTAAACATGTCTCAAAAACTGAGGCTCTAGGTTAAAAGGGAGAGAATTATTGCTCCCGAGACATGTCTAAACATCCAAACTTATTGCTTAAAAAAGCAATTACTGACTCATGTATCAGATTATTCGACACGAGGACATGACAGATCTTTACTGGTTCCTAGCTAACTACATAGGTATGAACAGCCGCGTACTTAGAGACATCTCTTTGACACGACGCATAGAGGACGCACCGCTATCGGACTAGCAGCCAAAAAACACTTAAAGGATGTGCCAGGCGAGTTCTTGGGGAAGAGTATGGGGTATAATTTAAGCACTGGGACGCTACTCGTTATCGTTCAACAAGTTAGATGAAACAGCACTTGCTACTACTTACTCCATTATCGTCAAGGCCTTTGATCTTCTAGTCCTATCATCATTATTAATTAGGTACCTAGTTAATCGATATGTAAGTACCCAAGACTTGGACCCAAGGCGTTCTTTTTTAGTGTATCAGGTACCTTATATGATTATAGTGTAAGAGGTCAACACTAGAAGTATAGATGAGCCCGCTTATGCAACTTTGAAAACAGAACCATAAACTTCATTTTTATGATTTAGTGAAAGACTTTTGGTTTTAATTTATTGCACTTGCTTAACACTGCTCAATTCACGAATCTTCATGTAAGATAATTATCACCAAATACCTGAGACTTACACGTGAAGAGTTACCCGTAATTCCTTGTTTTTACCCCTTTTACATTGGACACTATACTTAGGACAACACGTTCTGCGTAGAGAATTTAATATGAGGGATATATTGAGTACCTAACATAGATCGGTGGCTAACCTAGAGCTCTACAATCGCTTTAACTTTCGGGTAGTCAAGATATGGGGGTTCTCCCAAGTATATGTTACTACGGTATCTAAACTCATCACCGTTATAAATCAATATCTTCCGCGCTGTCGGATCATCCTTTGAATAAATGATAGATGTCGTCTAAACCAGCGCTCTGCCGGGATATGATGAGACTAGCAAACATGCCTACACGAGGCCGGATGAACGGCCGGCTCGACATCTTGCTAGTATATGACGTGATATTCCTCGCCTGTTTTCCATGATATACTTCCTAGATATGTCCTCTAAAACTGTCGTTATTGATAACACACCCTGGGGCTATTAACGGCTCATAGAGCATGCTAATAAAGTAAAGATAAGTCCATAGCAGCAAATATAGCCATGCATAGCACTGCCCCCAACCGGAGCTAGGTCCGTTCTGAATCATGATTTCAGGCCGACGGACAGCCCGATCTATTTCACAAACGGCCGTTTCCGTTGGTCAATTCGGGGTGTGGCGCAAACGTCCCGTCCTTGGTCCAGCTTCACGGCAGCTTGGCATCTGCGCCCAGCCCGCCCGCCGTGGTACAGGGGGGGAAAGATCGCCCAGCTGACTCGTCGCCCGGCAGTGACGGCAAACAAGGCTTGCCGTTATCAGATAATGGTCAAGTTTCGCCGGAAGCACAAAGTGCGTGCATACCTGCGTGGCCTCAGGAGTAACCACCACAGCGGAACGGTCGAAACTCCACTCCCACTCGTCGGCTGCTCCAACTCCGGCAAACGCCAGCTACCCGACACTGGGGATAGTGATACTGGTGTCGATCTGAAAACAACCTTGAAGAGCACGTGTATGTGGAGTCGAAACATGGGCATATCAGGGGGCTCTGATCGCCTGAGAACTGCTACTACCTAAGGTAGCACATAATGTCCATGGTATCTGTGGCATCTGTCATATAGACGTTTCTGTACATAGGGTATAGACGCCTGTGATACCGAAATGTCGACGATTTCTTCAATACGGATAAGCCCAGCCAATCTTGTGTCACTTAGCCCCCAAAGCGTTCATCGACAAGGCGATCGCCGATGACTTTTATAATGCTTGTTCCACTATAATTGCACCGAGATCACGCGCCAGCATCGTACACTAGTCCCTGCGGGCTATAATACGAGCATCACAGAGAACCGAGATATTTGGATAAAATCCAGTAAAATGTCTTTTGCGACTTGGCAGGTCATACTTCGCCGTTGACCGGTCCTATCAAAATCGACATGTTCCTTTACCAAGGCGGTAACCCACAGCAAAAGGTTACTAGTGTAAATAATTTAAGGGGTTGTTGTACAGTATCCTTGCGCGGCCGCTTGCTGACAGCGGCTTCGTGCGAGTTGTCCAACGGTCGACGACCGCCGCTGGGACGCCACGCTTCGGTCCGCAGCAATTAACTTGTGTCAGATCTAAATGTTTCAAGTATTGTCTTCGGAGTAATAAGAAATCCACTTATCTTGATAGATAACTATCCGGCTCCAGCATACGAAACTTGAAGATGTATAAGATGTATAAGATGTATACTTCAGCTAGCTTGGTATCTTAACTCGGGTCTAATTAGACCATAACAGGATTATGAGTTATCTTGAAGCGCATTGGAGCAAACTAGAATAAAACAATGATAAGAGAGGGAATCGACTAAAAAGAGGAAATTATCCAAGATCCTTAGCGTTTACTAGAGCCGTTGAAGAATCGTTGGACTTGGTAGCAATCATCATGTTGTATAACGGCTAACAGACCACGGAGTTGTGTGTTTCCATGGCACCGCATTGTCTTCCGTGTCACGGTTGATTTGTAGATGAAGTTTAGTCGAGGCTGCGTATACAAACCTATGATCGCGGTCAGCCGTGCATGTTAGTGCCGGTCAGTGAGTGGTCAGACGATTCCCCACGCGATCGAAGTTCAGATCCGAGCTCAAATCCTTGTCGCCCCTCACTTGCCATGGCTTTTTGAGGCTTGCCTCATTAGCCGATATGTACCTATGTATGAAGCGATTGGAGGGACTATCGCCTATCGCTACGAACAGGGTACGAACAGGGATGTGGGAGAGCATAGTGATATTCTGTGAAGTGACGCTTCTCTGCAATGCGACACACAGCTTACCAACATCAATGGCAGGTAGTTTAAAGCGTTAGTAAACATCTTCTCACCGCAAGATATATACCTGCAGCGGTACGGCGAAGAGGGAGATATAGACGAAAGAAACAGACGGAACACGGGTGCGTATCGATCTCTCTCGTCGAGTCTGTGGCATATTGATCCCGTCGTGCTGCATAAGGAGGGCGCGTAGGGGTGGCGGAATGCAGTGAATGGCACGCACAGGACATGGATTATGCAAGGTTGCGAGCTGCGTGAAAGTCTTGTTCTCAACCGAGGGGACGGCGAGGCGGTGAGTGTCGAATTGGCGTATAGTTGTGCGAAACGACTAGAAGCAACATTGCCTGGAATGCTGAAGCGCCAGCCTACGAGGCAAGGCGGGCCATAGTATTCTACATTATACATACAGGCAACCCACGAGCAAGTCCATGGCAGGTCATCCGTTTGGTCGTCAGGGTTCCAATCCAGTATCGGATACGGGTTGAGGGTTAGATGAATTGGATCGGTGTCTCTTATTACTGGTCAGATGATTCTACTGCATAGGTACCTACCTAGGTAGGTACATAATATCCTTCTTCTCGTGCTGGCTCGTGCTGGTCGTGGTGCTCGTGGGAGGTGGCAGGGTGGGTGCAAGGTGGGGGAGGGGAAAATCTTGGAAAGGTATTTGGGTATTCGGGTATTTGGGTATTCGAGGGGGAGGGGTTTGAAAAGAGATCGTCCTTTTTTCGAGTGATCTCCAGTTTACTAGGATTTCTATTTTAGTGCTTGGCCAGTGCTTTAGTGTGGTTTAACGACGTAAGGGTGCAGGTCACTAGCGGCTTTAGAAGGTACATGCTTATAGGTAATTGGTCCGTGCGGATTTGCAATGCAGAACAATTGCTGCACAACCGCAGATAGCGCCGTAGATAATAGATAAGGATAAGAAATCCCCAAAATCCCCAAAATCTTAAGAAATTTGAATGCATTTAAATGCACGATGATAGACATCATCGATCAAGTACGTCTTTCCGATTACACGGCCCTGCAATAATGGCTATACTACAACCAACTGGCCGAATGCTCATTTCTAGAACATTGAACCTGTGACTAACTAAACCACCTTGACTGACTGACTACCTTGCCCATTTCAATGCTACGTACCATCAACTCTTAAGACGTCAGATTTCGCAGTGACAACTCGCTTGCAGTTTATGAAGCTATTACGGCAACGCGCTCGATGCGATGTAGTTCGACTGCATGCGTTCGGCACAAGACCGATGAGGTTGCTTCTTAATGTGTCTAGAACCTCTTCCCCCCCTTCCTGGAGTATCTTCACGTTTTGTCAGAAAGAAAAATCTTCTCGATATGCGGAGGATAATCTTTGAGACTTGCAGATGCAGTCGTAATAAGGATGGTAACACGGCAGTCTTGTTTAAGAAATGTTACCATCTTAGGCGTTCCGGCACTGAGAGATTCTTCTAGGGGGGGTGGGCTGGCCAATAAGAAGCCATCGTCTTCCAGTCTTGGCCGACACTATCTTGCTTTACTTCCTAATCCTCAGGCAAGCCACAGTGATCTTTAAGGTCGCTGTATCTTGCCTGTGATAGGTAGAACGATTGCGTCGGCCACCGCTTTCTCGCACTTTCTTTTCGTCCATCTCTAAAGTCGATGTTCCTGCAGCACACCCGATTTAGTGAAAATAGGTAGGATAGAGACGACTTGACCTTTTCTTCTCTGAAGCTTTACTACTCTTGCCAAGCTAGCGGGGTTTATAGGAACCAAGCGTGATGGGTTCTCGTGATGACGGAGATTGTCGAAACTTGAGGCTGGAGACCTGGAATAGTCAGTACCTAATCATATCATCCCAACACGCTAAATATGGCGCCGACAGCACGGTCAAAAGCGGTGTGAGATGACTACCAAGTGGAAGAGGAGGGGGAATTCGTAGTCAACCTCGAGAGAAATGAACAAGCGATGTTGCGAAGCGGTGTGACAAGTGTTAGGTGCTGTGCAATACTCTTTAATTTTTTTTTTTGACTTGAGGTTGCCGAAATATGTAGGAGGTAAGGAAGTACAGTACATTATGCCTAGCTAACGTAGCACATATAGTAGTGCAATCGCAGGGTTCTATACAATTTAGGGTCTTTAGGGTCTTTAGGGTCGGTTGATGGGCTCTTGACGGGAAATATGGATGCACATCACACTCGATGCCGAACATACGTTCCATCAGTAGAATTACAAGACTTGTTCCATAATGACTTAGTTAATCTTGTCATACTGCCAACGGCGGAGCGGCACGGCAGGTCATTACCAAACGTGTACTTCTAGGGTTCAGGTGTTGAGCATCATTGCCACGAGGGAATAAGTTGATAGACAGACGGATAGACAGACGGGGCCGTTCTAGTGTCTATCTTTCATATTGGCAATCTAGTCTTCCGGCTTTACCCCTCTCGTCAACTTCACCCCAGCCATATCTACATATGTCCTAGTCTTCAACTAACCATGCCAGAGACATTGGGTAGCACGCCATCAATGAGCTCTGGTGCCGTTCACATTATCTGAAACATATGCAAGAAAGCAGCTGCGCGTTTGTGGTGATCATATTCGTACAGAGTAGAGATGACAGAATAGAGAATAGAGTAGTGGGTCGTCAGCTACGTCGTGAGGTCAGGTTGAAAGCAAGATGACATTGCTTTCACCGGCTGAACCTATAAGCGGCCCGCGATGTTACTGACGGACCCCGGCTTATATCGTAGCAGTTATTTTCGTGTGCTGTCTATGACATAATCCCTCCCCACGTTCGGGAAGAACCTCGAAGTTGTCAAGAGGGGACCTCGGGACTTAGATATCTAGCCTTGCCGGATTTGACGTATGATGGGTAGCCAACCTGCACTAGTATTGGGTGTAATGCAAGGCTTAGGCGACAGCCAATCAGCGAAAGAGTGTACCGTAATGGAAATCTATAGATGAAAGAGATCGTCTTAATCTACTAACGGCAACGAAACACGCCGAGAGCAGGACTGGGAGATGAACAAGTGAGTAAGCGGGCGAGCCAGTGAATGGATACATTATATGGAGCGATAGCTAAGATCAGCACATTACCAGCTAGGAGATGGGTGGATCAGAACAAAACTACGAATGTAAGTCGTCTCAAAGCTAGTAATATTATGAAATAAAATATCCGGCGTTTAGATGGTGTGTGCCATTAAATGGAGTATAAATGATTAGACCTGAGGCTATTCAGACCCGCTTGTTCCAATAGATCATGGGATTCAAGCAGTGGATGCTAGATTATACGAGATAGGTAGGTGAGATAATAGGTTAAGTTTATTTAGATTTAGGGGGGGGGGGGGGAGTGCACAGACAATATCCTTTGTACAAGTACAGAGCAGCGGGCGGGACATATTATGACGATCAGATACGAAGGATGCGAGATGAAGGAATAGACCGGGGACCCATGAAAGGACCCTGATATACGCTATGTATCTGAAAGTGGGCAAAATTTACGTGGGACTTTATTAGCTAAGCTGCTAAGCTGCTAACTGCTAACTGCTAAGCTCGCCCAGAGACCCTGGAGAGAATGGCGCTATGGCTCTTGGGGGCTGGCGGCGCGGCGCTTTAAAACTGATAATTAACTGCGAAGGATAACCCTGATAATAAAGCAAAGTGTAATGTCCGGCGTACAAGGAGGTGACCTATTGAAGAAATTTGTAAACATAATGCAAGTAAATAAAAGCTGAAGAACAAGGAAAACAGCGCCCTTGATATAATAGATTCGACATATAGCGGCGTATATGTATGTAAGTCTAGAAGGTTCAAAAAGGAAGAAAAAAAAGAGAGAGAGAGAAAGACAGAAAAGGGGTGAGCTGCTGTGCTACGTAGTAAGGGGGTATATGTGAGACCTTTAGCCATTATATGCAGTGTATTCCGCGTATAGGAGCCAAGTTGAAACATGAAGAGATATCTAGAATCTGAAATGTCAACAACAAAAAGTGTCCGATAAAAAGCATATTAGGTACATGTATCTTACGATCAATCTTGCATTCAACCTTAATAGTAGACCCCCGGATGGCTACAGAAGCTCGAATGTAATTTCCTGCATTGCATATATTATCAGATGTTTTTTCAAAGGGAAAAAGGTGATATCTCAAGTTGTAAATTGATGCCGGTTGAGGGCTGAGGGGTCGTGAATCCATATTCAAGTCCCCATTGATATTGACATGGGGTCGTGATCATACCTACCCAGTTCATAGTAATTAGCATCCGCAGTCTCGAGCATGTTCTTTGCATGGGGGCACATCCTGGTTGGTTCGTTGATACGCTTTGGCCTTGGTTGCTGGGCAAGCAGCAAAGCAAGTCGGGCAAAAGCTGGGCACCGATAAATTCAAACAAATTTCTTCTGCACTTTTCTACGAACCTCATTTCAAATCGTAGGGGGGTTTTTTTTCTTCTTTTCCATCTTATACTTGTCCGACGGGAACTATCCGATGCGATACCATTTGCTCGGATCGAAACTAGGTCTCTTTCCAAGGCCAGCGCTCCTTGAGAGATGATTGATTGATGTTAGCCTATTAGGTTATTAGGTTGTTAGGTATTATGAAGGAGTAAAATAGACCATGCATGATTGTCTCGCCGTGCTGATCGATATCCTAGCTAGGACGGCCAGTGAAGCGGACATTCCCCAGGTGGTTAGACTGCGACGACCAAGCAAGCCGGATTTACATTTCATTATATGCCATTTCATTATATGCCCGGGTGGACATAGTGTAGCGTAGATGGCGTAGAACATTGAAGGAATGGCAATTTGCACAAAAAAATAAAAACGAAAATGGCCTTGTTATATCATGTATGGCTGCTTGTGGCCTATCTGTATGTATTGAGACTTTGCATATAATACTGTTGCGAAAGCGCCCGTAAAGGCAATGCAGCTGTCAAACAGACAAGACGAAAACTTTGTTATTGGTTACAGTTTATGGCTGATCAGATCAAGTGCGACCTATCGAGTGGTCAAATGTGTATGGGTCCTTCTAATGAGCCCATGCCCATCTGACGCTCTGGCGCCAAATCTACCTGAGCCTCGTCCACTGCCCACTTATGAGAAGTTGCGGAACTTTTTGGTTCTAAAAGCTTGTAGGCGGCTCTAGAGACAATGGCGGGGTGTTAGGCCTGTGTAAGGTTGCTCAAGACCGCTGTAAGTCACTATCAGATATTAGAAACAAGCACTAAAATTCCCACGGTGGGTGCAAGCCGAGTACCGGTACCAGGCACGTAATTTTGCCCCAATTCGCTTGTCCAGGTGGACACCGGTATCCACACTAGACCGAGAACACCCCAGCAGTCGCTACCCACCACACCAATTTTATGTGGGCTTGGCATTTTGCATGTGGGCTTTTGTGGACGCTGTGGACAAGTCGGCCGACCCATTGACCAATTTTATTATTTGGTATATCTCTTTGCACCTCCCCAACCGCCGCGCAACCTCCTCTCCGTCCTCCTAGCACTTTGTTCGACACCCTTTTCGTCCTGGGTGCAGTGCCGAAAAAGTTGAGGGTAGGAGATATCTCGTCGTTGCTATTCGACATTTGCAGTTGGACATTCTTGCAGAATCCTACTCTCCTTTTTTTATCTATCCGTCTGCTCTCTCTGGGCTTGGATCCTCCCTCCCTTTAATAATAATCATAGTGCTTGTTGCACATTCCCGAGACGACCTGATATTCGTTTCGAAGAGGGAACTTTTTTTTTTCTTAACGACCAAGAGGTATGTATAATATCACCTACAATCATCTCACATTTATTCCTCGAGCCCAGATCTCCCCCGAAGCACAAAATTGCCTGGTCTAGACCTCTGCTTCTTTGTATGCTTGCCTGGGCTGTGATGCACCTGTCTTCCTGGTCAAAGTCATCTAGTCTATCTCTGATCTCTGATCTCTGCTCTCTGATTTCTGATATCTGCTTGTCCGTGTTGTGTTATGGTTCGTGAACGAATGCGCGACTCTTTGCTCTAAAGGTCTCTCCACGTGGGTGTATATATCCAAGATGACTAGTCAATAGCCTAGACTTCCCTCGAGTCATGGACACTACTATTCCCCTTACACTACCTGTTTCATGGCTGGCTAGTTGTTTCTTTTGTGGGAAATGTAGATAATCTATTCCAACGGCAATGGCCAACCCAAGTTTCAACTACCAACACTAACACCATTCTTTACAATTTAGGCACGTCTTCGGACCAAACAGGCAACCAGACAAGGTCTTTTCCAACTAGAGGAACTGGGCACCTTTAATCATCGGAAGAGTTTGAGTAGTCTCCCGAGATACATAAATTCAACTTGCCACGCAGACATTATCTTCAACTACTCCCCATGTCTCCCCAACGATAGGCAAAGATGGATTCAGAAGACGGGGAGCTGTATATCAAGGTATGACGATTTCTGGCATACATTTTTAGATGAGGCTAGGACTGACCTTTAGAAGCGTTTGGCTGCCTATGTGCGAACGAACGAGAAGGCATTAGCCAATGCCTTACAGTTCCGGAGGCAACCCGCCCGGCATGGCGCCAGCCAGAGTGTTTCCTCTATTCAGACTCCAAGGTCGCCAGCTTTGCCCGAACGTCCCTCAACCTCCGCCTCAGCATCTAGTCCCCTTGCGACGGCATTGTCCTTTGGGTCATTGAGCTTAACATCTAATACTGTCAAATCGGCAAGACTGAGCCTTACACCTCACCACTTATTCTACTTACTGTCTCGCTTCGAAGAGCTAGGAATACATGTCGGACCCATGAAAGTGCGTCTAGAAAGTCTACATGATACCTCAGCCTCGGCCAACTACGTGTCATTCTTGAGCTCTTCTCAACGTACTAAGAGCCGCGGCTCCGATGTGGTATCAATCCGTTCTGTATCGAGTATCCGAAGCGTCATGACCGGGATGTCGGCCATATGGAATAGTATTGGAATTGGGTCGAGTATATCCGCCGCCCGAATGGAAAGGCAAAAAGCCGCCCTGCAAGCGGATATGAAGTATCTCTACTCCGCATTCACCAAGATACCATGCCTCCGACTGGCACCTGACTGGCAAACGAAGTTGATTAAAGGATACGAGGAGTTCCCCTTCGATTCGGCAGTTCCTCTCTACGTATTCAAGAATCTACAGTCATTAGAAGTCAACGGTGTGGACTATAGACAGTTCTTTGGTTGGGACCGCGTGGCGGACCAGATTCGATCTCTTACTCTCAAGCGTGCCAATATCGAGGATCCCGCAGATATACTCATTGATATCGTATTGGATGACATGGATAAGAGGCGGCGTCGGTCTTCGAAGGCACAATCGTCCCCTACGGGTGCATATGCGCATGCTTCGAACCCGAGACGGAGCCCTACCATTTCATATTCGGATTCTCATAAATCCACCATCGTGCCAGAAATTCCAGAGCGTCGATATTCGGTAGCTGACATACATGTAGGATCGGCTAGCACCGATTCAACTGACAGCATATTAGCTCAGGACTCTCGCCGTCCTTCAGTCTCCAGGATGGAAACCGACGAGCCGAGATCTAATAAGTCGTCACGGCCCAGAAGCCACTCTCCCAACCGCCCCGCTACTTCTCGTCACCCCATCACAAACCCAAGAGGCTCTCATAAAGTCAGGCGTTCGGGCTCTGGCAGCTCACATTCGAGCCTGTCGGATTCGTGGCATAACCCAAGAAATAGTGCTTCTAACTTATTAGCCATGGGTATTCTCCCAGCGTCCAAGTGGCGAGTTCTGAAGCATCTAAGCTTGGCAGACAACTCCTTAACAGTGATACCTGCGGCCAGTCTTGCTCCATTGGCGAACACCCTTAACTCCTTAGACCTGTCAACAAACCTTTTCACGCAGATACCCGATAGTCTAGCGACTCTTACAGCCCTTCGGGCCCTTAACCTCTCACATTGCATGATCGACTCCTTGCATTCTTTACTCCGTAACCCTCTCCCGGCTATCAGCGCCTTGAACCTTCGTGCAAACCGTCTTCACTCAATCGCGGGGATTGAGAAACTATATCCACTAGAAAGACTGGACCTAAGAGATAACCGTTTGACCGATCCAACGGAATTGGCTCGCTTAACCGGAATTCCTGACATCCGCGAGATTTATGTTGAGGGTAATCCTTTCGTGCGCACCCATCGAGACTACCGAATCACGATTTTCAATCTTTTCCGCAACACCCCGGGGTACACGGAGGATATAATTATTGATGGTTCAGGCCCGAGCCTTTCGGAGAGGAGGTATCTTGTGGAACGTGTTGCTATGCCCGCTGCCGTCCCCGTAGTGAAGCCTCCTGTTCCAGAAATACCCGCCGTGGACGTGAGCAAGCCGGCAATCATCCACGAAACACCGAAGGAGCCTAATGTCTTGCGTAAGGAACGACCGTCCCGTCCTACCCCCAAAGCCGTAGCTAGCGAGATCAACACAAACTCCACCAGACGCCGACGTACCCCGAAACGTAGGATTGTCGATCTTGCTACAAATGATCGTGTTAGTGATACCACGCAGCAGCGAACCAGTGTTGACGAGCCTAGCTCTGCCACTCCTGGTTCGCCTGATGCAACCGTGGAGTCGGAAAATAACTACCGCGTCTCTCATCCTCCTGAGACGCAAGACCTACTATCGAAAGTACACTCAGAAACAAGGCCATCTGATATTGGAAATGCGCCAGAGGTGCCACGCATTAATACTACTGCTGTCTTTGAACAGCCGGTATCATTCCTGAATAAAGATACCTCAGAATTGTGGAAGGATGCTCAAGATTGGAATGCCAGTGGTGAAATCTACCGGCAAAAAATCGAAGCGTTAAGAGACAAAGTTGGCAATGGTTATCTAAGTGTTCTTAACGAGGAAAGCTGGGAGCCATCTCGACCGGCGTTTGCGGCTGATGACTTTAGTCCCGCATCAACAATACGACCCGGCTCTGCTACTCGTACCTCTAGTGCGCAAGCAATCACTACTGGTGGCAGTTTGGTCTGATCAGGCTCTTCATCCTCATAGTCCCGCTCTTCTCTCTGCCCTGAAGCGGCGCTCTTTACGTTATCACATACCCTATCCCGCCGTCGTGGTTTTCGATATACCATCACCCGATTGCATTGTGTTACTCTAGTTACGTCTAATGTTTTATGGAGCATAGCGTTCCGGCGTTCAATGGAAAGGGATTATAGTCTTTTGCATTTTTAAGATTTGCAGTACTACTGCAGATCCGGTGTTCGTTTTTGGTACGAGTTGGTAGGAGAGTTACGAAGAGTTATGTCTCTTAAGTCTAGTTGGTACACAGGAAGAGGGACGAAAGTTCACTTGCGAAGAAGGAAATTTCTCGCATCGAAATTTTAGACCAAAAACCCAGGTTGGAACGGACAAGAGAGCATGCGGTTGTGTTTTGGTTGGTTCACCCTTTATATCCCAGTTTGCGATAGGCGTTTGAGGTCATGGAAGACCCGATTGTTGGTGGTCGTTTTTGTTGATCGTTTCATGTTTTCCGATACCTCTCTTCCCCTGGCATTTTGTGAGCATGAGAATTGCGCCTGTTCCGCATTCGAAAATTAGGGGATCAAGGCCGCAGCGGCGGTCACCACTAGAAGAAAGAAAGGCTTCCCTGGCGGAGGGGTGGTTAATGGAAAATGCATGTCTCGCTGCGTTCTTAAAATTATTGACTTCTCGATTACCTTGTGACTGTTATGTACCTACCTAAGATGTTAGGTTTTCTCAAGTGTGACTGTTAAGGACTTGTATATGAGATGCCCCCCCCTCCTTCTTCTCTCTCTGCCCTAATGGGCCAAGTTATCCCACCTGACTAGCGGTATGGAGGCCCAGGCCCTTTCATATATCAAAATAGTATTTTGATACATCAATCTAGCTGTTCAAGTTTTATCTTAGATATACTCTTTTAGAAGCTTGATGATCTACGTAAAAAACCCCCCCCAAAAAAACAATCATATTAATTATTTAACTAGTTGATTAGGGGATAGGGGTTATGAGTTATGTAGATGATATAGCTTGATGGGGTCTTATCTACCCAACAAGTGTATCACAGACATAATATTGCTGTATATTACGTATGACTTCCATACCATTTCGAACAACAGTCTTTCGTTTCATCTTTTTAATAATGATAGAGAAAAGTGAGGTGAATAGATCGATATATCAGGAAGCGTTGATTCTTAGTAATAAGATGGATGGTGAATGGTATTTTCGCATCAAGTCACTAATAAGCAACACCGACTCGCACCGTGGCTCATACAGCGGAAGTGAAATCTTTATAGCTACGAGACCAAGATGTTGCAATTGAAATAATGTGGGCATGGGTTTTGTAGGACTTAATCTTGGGATACGGTGGAGGGTTTCAAGGGATGACTATGTGGGGGATATGATCACAATCCCGACGGGAAATACCCCATGGTAAATTATCACAAGAGAAATCTTTATAGTAGGTTACTACAGTATTTCTCCGACAACGTCAACAGATGGTATAGCTTGATAGGAACGGCTCTTCAGTAGAAAACCCGTGCATATCCGTGGGGAAGTGAGAGTGCGATACGCTGTTGAGTAAAATACAAAAAGGAAATAGTAGACTGTTGAGGTTGAATAAGGAATATACTAGGTTATATATTACATATGGGTCCCACGATACTTGGTGAGGATCTGTGCTACTAGGGTTACTATAGGTGTCGTCACGGCTTATCATTAGAGACGAAGACTTGAATGAACAAAGCAAATCCTATCATAGTCTCTAGAAGAACGGCCAACCTGACCTAAGTGAGAATTTCTTCATGTTTCACGAAATAAGTCTGTCTCCGTTTGTTTCTAGGCTCTGATGTGTAGGTATTCTGGGTCTAGCTATTATGCACCTCGGCTCGGGAACTACGGGAACATGCCTTAAGGTAAGCTAATGGATATGTCTACTTAGTCCTATGCAATATTTGCGTTTATGTATCGTCAGGTCAATGCAGATAGACGTGATGAATCGGTGTAGAACTTAATAGGTACTGTACCATACTGTGATGAGATACAACAGGAGGTACTTAAGCATTGATGCTCACTCCTTGGCTATGTAAGTAGCCATGTGGGTTTACCTTATAATAGTGGTGGTAAGAAGTTGATGATCGGTGAGAGCGTATGATGACCACTGGATTGTGAACTAGTGTAGGATGCGATCCAAGTGACCGGAAGATGCTTGGTCATAAGGACACTGTAGCTTGGTTTTTTTTCTTTCGGTGTAAGGCGTAAACCATCAGGATGTGGGGGCTGACACTGAATATGAAAAAAGCATTGTCCTTACTACTAGGTTAAATCCATGCATATCCCATGCCTGTGCGATCCACGAGTTGTTGATCGGGTATCCAGGGGCATGGTAAGCCGAAGGGTCTCTTCATAGCAGAGCTCTCAGATGCTAATAAGATATCATTATGAACCGATGCATGAGCGATCAATGATGTAAGTATCGCGCTAGATTAGTTATGCTGCTGGAAGTCTGTCAATAGGAGTACGTATATCGAAGCCTACATGCCACTTTGAATAACCGTGCAAACGCGAGGACTTTTAGATGGGTGTCACTTCAAGCTAATGCTCACCTCCAATCTTGATAGCCAACATTTTTTACCTTCTCTTTATTTATGATCGGTTTGTACCGATTTCTAATAACCATTTTCGAGCTGGCTTTATGGCTTATTAGCCGAGCCTGCAAAGATAGGCACTGTTACCTATACCCAAGGCTCAGTAAGACTATGCATGTATCTTGACGTGGCTGCATTTTACTTACATCCGCTATCGAATAGGAGAAGGATAAATTAGTCTATGTAGAATTTGATTCGATGTAAGGATAGTTGATCGTTGGGGAGCTTTTTTCTAAGGACTCCACCTTCGGGGTTGTCGCAAGATCCCGTCGACAAGGTCACTGTGATGAATTCATCTGCGCAAACCTCGACGAGCCATGAATTCGTCGGAATGCAGGAGATAAAGAATATTCCATCTCGGAGAACACCGTAGTATACATAGGTACCTATATATATATAAGTTAGATAAATATATTGTATTTACAAGTTTCCAGAGGAAGATTATAGCCTATGTATGGAAAGGGGAACTTACCTAGTGCGGATCCCGGGTTGCTTTGACGTAGCCAAGGTTTGCTTTTCGCTAATGAGGTAGAAGCCCCTTATTTCTATTATTTGTTATGTCTGTGAGCGAGGGACATGGCTGGGTTCTCATTGTTCAGTCCTAGCTTTTTGCCATCTGTCTATTGGCGCGAAATAGATACCCCCTCCGCATTGCACGACGCAAGCTGTAGGTGTTTGGCGTATGGTCTGCATGGGTTATAAGTACCTAGCTATGCGAATAGCATGCTAGCGAAATATTGATAACTAAGGGAAATAAAACGCATCGCAACCTTATATAGTACCTTATGTAGTAGGTGGTATGCAGCGTGGGCCGTAAACCCAACATGGCCGATGTCTTCGAGGCCGACATCAGACCCAATCTATCGAACACCAACCAATGTCCCTGTCGGAGTTCGGGAGAGCACAAAGATAATCCAATGATAATTCCCGAGGGCTATTAGGCTTACTGGCCAGCGGTTCCTTAGATAATGATAACCTCTGGGGCAATTCTAGTAGCTGGTTGATTTGAGATGACCCGTAGGCGGCTACGAGCAGATGGATGTAGAGAATAACCAGGTATGTAGGTAATCAGATATGTACCTGGGTATCCAAACAGCGAAGACACGCATAAGATAATCAGGATCCCAGCCGAGGCGCAGATTGAATTAGCTTGATTGTGTCATTCCGAGAAATAGACAAGGGGGGGAAAGCCAAGCTGCCACGAGGGTCGCGGGAAGTGGCGTGCAGACCCGGTATGACGGCATTTGGGTACCTACCTAAGGTAGATGATGGGTAATGTTTGATCGGGTTGATCGGGTTGATCGGGTTGATCGGTTTGGTGGAAAGAAGGGTCTAACCTAGAGAAAGGTCTAGATCGTCAGGAACCAGTTGCGAGACAAGGGCACTACGGAATTAGCACATGGTCATGACTGGCAACTGCAAGTTGAGCCCTGCTGCCCGGTAGGGCTGAATCTAGAAATGGAAGCTACACTCGGGGTTCTTGGTCCAATATGTAAGACCCCACCCCTTTTTGGATGTGTGTTTAAGTTTGATTGGTGCGCAGAATTATAGATGGTTCTTTTCGAGGAGGACAATACTTGAACTAACCTAGGTAGTAGTCTGGTAGTTTGTCGAACACAGCGGTATCTTACTTTTTGCTAAACATTTACTACGCGAATTGGACAAACTATAAAAAATAAAGAAACAACGACCAAGTATATGAGTCACATCCTCGCCATTGCACGGGATTCGCAAGTTAATCTTTCGCAATATTTCCTTTGACAAGTACAATTGAAGCTGCGGTCGAAATATCTACACATGACATAGGGTTCGTCCGAATAGCGATATCAGTGGAGAAGATCTACAAAGCAAGTGGCTGACCCATAGATTCGGAGAGTTGCAGACGTGAAATTGTCCGGGGTGGAGAGGGGCTGCTTATCGCTTACATAACTGTGGCGCGTTGAACTTTTCCCTTAGGGGCTAGACCCAACACCTCCAGCCGACTTCACCAGCGCGTCCTGACTACTTTTCGCCGTTTCTTGACGACATCTCCTCAACTTCGACTTCTATACTCGACCTTTTCGCCCAACAAACACCCCCCGAAATTTCTTATCGTTACTATACAAAATTCTCCATATCCGAGTGATCCTTCTCAAATGCCTGTTTGCCGACTTCGACCGCATCATAGCCCCCCTCGCCTCCTCTTTGCGACGCGCTGATTAGGGCACCATTATCATCACTAAATTTATATCAAGAAACGATATAGATCCCTTAGAAACGATGGCACCTAGCCCGAGAACACCACGGCAGTCCGCTCTTTCGCGCCCCCGTGGTCGTCCTAAGGGCTCTATCAACACAGTGCGACGCGTTAGGGACGGTAGCATTGTAGCTGCTACTGAACCCCCTTCAAAGCGTAGACGATACACTGCTAGTGCTTCTGGTAGTGCTAGTAGATTTACGGACCAAGCCGGCAACGAACAAGTCGGCACACCCGTTGCGACTACTAGTCGTTCGAGAGCACGGCACAGTTTGCAAAACGGTGCGGCGTCCCCCGCTATCTACCCCAGGCGTGAACGTAGTACTCGTACCCGTACCGCAACTCGAGTCGAGGCAGACGATGAGATGCAAATAAGTTCTGCAGCAGCAGTGGCTGCTGCTGTTGTGCAGAGTGAAGGTTATAAACCTAGAGAGGAGCGCGGCTGGGAGGAGTTTCACCCGAATCTCGATATAGATGCCACGTTTATGCTATTTCACGCCGAAGATGTCGACGGAACTGCGAAACTAATACCGGAGACACCATCAGCGAAGATTATTGGCATGGATTATAATGACACCAGTAGCCCGTCGAAGGACCCAAATGCGGCATCTACATCTCTCCTAAATACGCAAAATGTCACGAATAATACTACACCTGTCGGTGCCCTTTTAGTAACCCCATCTAGAAGGCGTGGCAGTCGACTACCTCGCGGAGACTCACTTTATGCTACTCGTGGGGATCAGCAAGTGGCGCCGAACACACCCACGCCTCTGCCTATTCACGGTCAGAATACTAAGGAGAAGCTTGACCTGAAACAACCTTCATATCGTAAAACTGACCGCATATTGCTTTTTGAGAGCAAAAAGTTCGGCCAGGCTCGATATGTTGACAAGGCAATGATGAACGTCGGGTACCAGGAGAGCGACAACTTCATTCGGCCTGATAGAAAACTAATTAAAGCAAGCGATGCTAATATTGAGGATGAAGCCGAACAGGCTGCTGTTGTTAAGGCTGATGGAGAATCGGCGCTTCAGCCGACCAATGTGCTAGGTCGCGTCGAATATGACATGGACGAACAAGACGATATGTGGTTGGAGTCGTACAATGCACATAGAAAGTCGCAGGGCTGGAACCCGGTCACTCGTGAAGTCTTCGAAATCACCATCACCAAAATTGAAAAAGAGTGGCACGCCTTAGAGAAGAGGATCCCGAAGCCTAATCCTAAGCCGCCGCAAACTCACAGGCCTCGTTCCAGCTCCGCTGCAGCCGTAAATGGCGAGCCGCAGGCCGGGGAAGAGCAGGACAGTAAGTGCGCGATTTGCGACGATGGGGATTGCGAGAATACGAACGCAATTGTTTTTTGTGACGGTTGCGATCTCGCAGTCCACCAGGAGTGCTATGGTGTTCCATTTATTCCGGAGGGCCAATGGTTATGTCGTAAATGCCAGCTTATTGGTCGTGGGATCCCGGTTAGTTTCCCTTAGTCCCGCTCTGCTCCAAGCCCCATACTAATAAGCAAATCTAGACATGTATATTCTGTCCCAACTCTGATGGTGCCTTCAAGCAGACGAATTCCTCTAAGTGGGCGCATCTGCTCTGCGCTATGTGGATTCCAGAGGTGACACTGGGCAACCACACCTTCATGGAACCCGTCATGGACGTGGATAAGGTGCCTAAGAGCCGCTGGAAGTTGACCTGTTACATCTGCAACCAGCAGATGGGTGCCTGCATACAATGCGGTAACAAGGCATGCTATCAGGCCTTCCATGTGACATGTGCTCGCCGCGCCCGACTATTCTTAAAGATGAAGAATAGTTCAGGAGCTTTAGATGTCCTCGATGGCAGTACAAATCTAAAGGCGCTTTGCGATAAGCACTGTCCTTCTGAGTATGCCAAAGAGAATGACGTAGTTCGCGCTACCAAAAGAGCAAAAAAATACTATAAGAAGACAATGAGCGACCGGATCTGGGCTAATAGTCAAGCTAAAGCTATGTCTATTGCAGCATCACACCGGAATGCAATCACCGAACACCCGCCCGATGAGTCGCAAATGACTGGGGTGAAGCTATCCGCCGTCCTTGGGGATAAGAAGGGACAGACAGGGAAGCCGATATGGAAGCTTCCGTCTGGAGCTCCCGTGATACCACAGGCCGTCTTTGAAATCGTCGAAGCATCGCTACAGCGATTCAATTTCCTCAAGCGTAAGGAGTTTGTGAGCGACGCATGCCGTTATTGGACATTGAAGCGCGAAGCGCGCCGTGGTGCTGCGCTCCTTAAGCGTTTGCAGTTACAGATGGAATCTTTCTCCTCTATGGAGCTCACTCGACGCAACTTTGCAGCTATGGGCCCTTCCGGAATAACTCGCTTGAATAGGCGAATCGAATTTTCGGACACTCTCATTAAAGACTTGGAGCAGCTCAAGGCCCTGTCGGAGGCCGTCGTCCAAAGGGAGCAGAGCAAGCTCGAGGCCGCGGAGATGGAACAGGAATTTGTCGACACCTGTTACTTTCCTATTCACAAGATGCTTCCACCAATTGTAGATAAAGCTATCACGTGAGTTACGCTGTTTAAGTCGATCATCGTGATATTTTAGTATGCTGACAACTTAATGCTTGTTAGGCTTGATAAGAATCTGTTTCACGACGGACTTATTAAGTTGTCCAATAGAATCGATGATAGATTCTATACCACGACGTTGTCATTTACCCACGATCTCTGCGAGGTCATCAACGTCGGCGTGAACACGGAGCCTAAGTTTGAGCCCGAGTCGCAACAAAAAGCTGGACCTGTCACCCCAGCGGTGTCTAAATCCGATTTTTCTGATTACAGGGATAGGAAAAAGCTTGGTAAAAGAATCCTTAAGTCGGTTCAACCACAGCTAGAGACAGCGTTGCGTCTTGAGTCGGAGGCAGCCCATAGACCGTTCGACAGTATGAGGCAGGAGCTAGAAGTCATGATGGAGGCAAGCCTGGAACTGCGACAACAGCCTGTTGGACAAGACAACGTGGAGTCTGAGCGAAGTCAAGATGTCATCATGGTTGATTCGTCAGCTCCAGAGATCACCGTTGGCGGCCAAACAGACGGTTCTACCACTGGAGGGCCCTCGGGCGACGTTCCTATGGCTGAAGCTGGCGTCCAGTATGAGGTCGTCAGCGGCAATGGTAATATTGAAGTCAACACATCCAGCTTCGACGCGAGCGATGAGATGGAAGGTGTTCAACCGACTAGTAATGAAGTGTCAATGGTCGAGCCTAAGCAGGAAGCAATACCGAATGACGGTTTGCAAGCAATAGATACGCCGCCAGCAACTAACGGCTACGTGGGTGCAGGACCTTCGCTACAACCTGCGCCGCCTACTCCACCCCAGTCCAACGGTAGTTTAGGCCGCCAGCCCACTGACCCTCTCACCGACGGTGGTGTTGTGTGGTACTTGCAGGACTTTGAGCCTGAAGGAGCGTCCGCGATCCAAGACCAGTGGCAAGGCAGGGATGCTGCCCGTAGCCTTAGCGAGGAACTTACCGAGATCGACGAAGATGAGCTCAAGGGGCTAGGGGTCGAGATTAACGAAGATAGCATCACGGCATCACCGGCCAATACTACCGAGACAGCAGAACCCGCCGCCGTCAGTGCCCCTAGCCCTACAAAAAAGAGTAACGCCAAGACGAAAAAGCGTAAGACGCCCTACCGACGACGTTAATGCGGGGGTTATTTAATACTGTATCATAGCTGTGCTTTTAGTTCTACCACCCCCTTTTTATATTTTCTTTCTCTTCATTTCTCCCTACACTGTATTTGCAGACTTAAAGTAGCCAGCTCGGACTGGATCGCATCATTATTCATCATCCATCGTCAGTTTCACAGCACGCGCGCGATGAGTTATTTATATCTAGGGAAGGGGAATGAAATGATTCTTAGGAGTTCGAGGGGAGGAGGGCCTCTGGTACATACCAACTTTTATTTCTGCGAAGTTTCTTTTTTTTTTAATGTCTAACAGGCGTTTGAGAAACGGAAACGGACCGGACGGCCGTCTTATGTTGTGCCTGCGAAGGATTTCTTTATGTATTGCTGTCGGGTTTTAGTTTAAGGTCTTCGAGCCTGCGGAGGGACTAACTGCCTGCTGGGTCTGCGACGACGGCGCTACGATTGAGGCAGATGCTAGGCTGAGAAGAGACCGAGGCTTAGTCCCGTATATTCTTGCAATTGAGTGTTTATCTTATTAACTCCTCATCTTGAGTCAGAATGAAAGTGGATTGGTTCCTTGGGAGGCGTAGGTAATGTTCATGTTTACCTGGACATGTTTGGTAGCATTATAGCGAAGGACGTTGACGTTGCGCGCTCTGAAATTGGTAATATCAAATATGTAGAGACCAAGCCACGCATTACTTTACTTTATACGTTGTTGGAATTTGAAGACGGTTTCGTCTTGTTAAGTCACTAGTGAACGTATGACGACGATATTCAAGGTAATATCATTTAGTCAAGTCGTATTAATACTTGTATTAATACTTGCTCGTTGAGTGGAGCGGGAGTCCATGTTCTAGCCGTCTTCTAAGACTACCTGGGTACAGAAGTTAGACCGCTCTCTGCTAATTAATACTAGAGTTCCGATGCCTGTCATAAATTGAACGAGCGGTTCTTTTAAAACGGGGGTGATGCTGCTGTAGGAACTGGTTTATGAAAGGCTAAGTCTACAGATGAGGCTATTATAATCCTCTCGCACTTTATCTGTATCTCCGAAGACAACTATATCGGACAAAAAACTAAAACCAAGGATCGAAACGAAGAAAAGGGGTAAAGGCTCGGTACACTACGGATTACGTATAAAGCTTGGCCTGACCGTAGCCTTCCTAACCACACGTGGACTACATACGTATTTCCGTAGAAATGTTGCTGCAATACGACACTTGCATAGTCGGTCCTCAAATTCGGTTACTTTCCCGACCGGTCGATGATGATAGGTACGTAGATGCGACCTTTAGGGATTAGTAGGTATTTCTTATGTCCCGCACCAGTACATACATACCTTATGTAGACCCCGGCCGAAACATGGGTCAGGGATCGTGTAGATCATCGACCTCCCCAGCCGCGCGGTTAGTCCCAGAGTACCGGAGACTAGGGTAACCAATTAGATTTGAACTTCCTACTTCACTTCACTCCCAACACAATACGCCACCCAACATCTCTTACATAGGACGGCTATTCAAGCTCTACCCAATCACAGCCGGAATGTGGTAAAGGGGTAAGGCTGCTCATAGACAGGTATCCTATATCAAACTAACAGTCAAATACATATATGCTAGATTATCTATAACTAGGCATAACCGGGCTGGACTTTGTTGGTTAACTCCCTGGTTAAGAATATCTCGAGTGGTTAATAATATAGTGATATATTATATTGCGTATAGAAGATCAACTTCAACTTCGAATTATATGTAGACGATATAGGTCAAGATGATCGGCAATGATGGTCTCTGTTCGATGTTCGACATATTTTTCTTCTTCGTTCTGCGTGAGGTCTAAACGAGACTTTATGTGTTGAGGGGTGAAAGTATCAACGCTATAGTTCATAAGGCCATGTTATCCTGTATCGTACTAAATATTACCTTTTACTTTCATCTTGTTGATCTATACTGACTAGTGCTGCTAGTTTTACATAGCTACTTAGGTAGATATATGTTCTACTACTATATTAAGCTAACACAAATCTTCAAACCGTGCAGATTTCTTCGTTGGTCTAGACGATTAAATCCTACTAGACAATATAGAAACATGTGCTTAATTATTATATAGCTGTATCGTGGTATCAAGTTTTCAAAGACCTTATTGTTAGTTTAAAATATTGGATATACCACCTTTGTAAGCCGACAAGATCATAACCAAGCTCTAGCCCCTAGCTTGTGCTGGAGAATAGTACTCTCTTGAAATGCTGATAATCCCTTCCTGTATCGTAGACCACCCTTCTCATCTAGAACTATAGAAAGGCAAGTCATGTTTATTGCTACATTCTTTGAAACGACGATGCCATTATCTAGGATGGCTCGGGATAATTCAAGTGTCTTACCCTGGTTAAGATATTGCCCCTATTTTAGAATTTTTGCCTTCAATTTTAAGGGCGCCTCAACCTCTTATACAACCAATCTTCGAGGGGCTACCAAAGTTGACACCTGCGAATTTACCTCGCCTACTTGTTCCTATTCCGTTCCTCGTCCCTAGCTGGATCTCTATTACAGCGGGAGTGACGCCAATGCCATCGAAATAATCACCGACACATCCGGAATAATATAGTCCAATGAAGGAGAGAGTCGACACCAGGGGCTGTGTGCTGCTCGCCGATAGGGCGGCCCTATCCTCAAGTACCTAGCATCCATGATCATACGACAGCTATCTTGCGACAAATAGAAAATGACAATGTGACGAAGCCGTGCATATAGCCCACTTTCTTATGTACAATACTTTGCGTGTTTTCCAATGACATATAAGCTATTTATTCATAGTGCTATAAGGGGATACGGACTATCAATGAGAATATGTTGTTGGAATTTTACGACTTTCGCCAGAAAGCACTAGGTTAGTTAGATATCTTCCTTGACGAAGTCATAACCATCTGGTGGCACGCTTGTCTACCATTCCATGGGTGCGAATTGGAGAAAGCTTGGGACTCAAATTCGAATTCTCAAGCTGATTATGACATTCGGCAATCAAGTAGAAACTCGGTAGTTGACTCAAGGTTAACCTCCGTCCTGGAGATCAGGATGCGATGTCGCTAAGCTCGATGATTTTTGGAGAGGAACTACCTGTTCGATGATCTCTCCAGGAGCGGGGAAGCCATCCATGGTTGGACTCCCACTTATGCATCTCGAGTGCTGCTAGAAGAGAGGACGTACCTCGGATGGCAGTGTATGCCGCCGATGAAATATGTTTCAGCTGCTTCGGTAACATTACCCCTATTCATTGGTAAGAAATCAAGGAAATATACCCAAAGTTATTTAGGTGTGACTACCTAAGGTAAAGCAGAGCAGGCCTGTTGGCATTATAAGAAAACCATCAGTTAGCAAATTGTATCGCCTACCTACCGGAAGGGGACGAGAAGAAGGAGTGATCGTCGCCTAGGGAGTTTAAACGTAGGTGCAATTCTTATTGGTGATACCTATATTGACACGACGTTCATGCCACGCAATGACAAGACGGGAGACTGTGGGTTGTCGATAGCCGAAATTGCTTCGTCTGCGAGCACTTATTAAATCCCCAAATCCCCAAATGGTAGGGGACCTAAAACGTGTCATCTGCCACAAATAGTACATGTGAACGGCCCCCTAAACTACAGCCTGATAGATTCCAAGGGAATCAAGGGAAGGAAAGTGGGATGAGAATTCAACTCGAGCAACATCCCAATATAAATTCATGTCATTGTAATGACGATATACCTCAAATTTGGGACATGTGGTTAGGTAGTTGAGCCAAATTTCTTGTTACCCGGTCTGCCGGTTGACCGGACCTCGGCTGGAGGCTGATTTACGTGAATTACAACGAGGTCTACTCCATGCTTATGTGCCATTAGGTACCGACGAATAATTGATCAGTAACATTCTGCATTTTGTTCTGTCTACCACCTTTTCGCGTCCTTGTCTAGCATTGCTTTGTCAAGAAGCTGACGTCAATATGGCACTTGTTTTCATATTGGAGACGTCTGCATCCAATGATGGCGAGGTCTTAAATCAAGGCAGTGACCAGTAACCGCAATAGCACGACCAATCAGCAGTACTGTATCGAGCTAGCAATGGCTGTCTGCTCAAGGTTGTAATATGTAATTCGTTGCGTCTGGATCCTAATTAATCATGTGACCTGATGATGAAAAGACTTGTCGAGGCTGTTGCAACGACTTGAATATCGTAGGGCGTAGTGCTGTGACAACTTTCATCGCCCTGAAGCCTAGACATAGTATTCCACGTGCTGCCTACATCGAAAGCCAGACTTTTTACGACCATGAGTTGTTGTACAGGCTGCCGTCTCGCTTATGTATCAGTCTCTTAACGACAATACCGTACCTCGCAAAATGTTCCGATTGTGATCTCGACACCGGAAAAGGCAACTGCCAAGATGTCAGCCGGCCAAGAGATCGAATAAAAAGTTATGGCTGTAATCTCTGGGAATTAAACTCTAGACTCCCTTATCTCTCATAGAGACGAAATGTAGAACTGATGAGCTAGTGCAGTCTAAGGTAGTTGATTTAGCACGACTCGTGCTGAGGGGTCAAGCCGCCGATCCAAGTAGAGTGTTTCTGATTAAATGACCTTCGCTAGTATTAGCATAGTAATAAATTGGAGGTTTGTTAAACCATACCAATTGCCTACCTTCACATTAGGACTGGGCATCTTCTGTCCACCCGCTTATACGAATATATACGTAATTGACTCTTGAGTGAATGCAAGAATCGCCCGGGGGGCCGATCATACTAATTAGGAATTTGAGACTGCAGTGTAAATGTTCCGGCCAGCTTGGGAACCAGAAACAGAAGCGAAAAGCGACTCTTACGCAAGAGTCAATTGGTATCATCAAAGTGCCGTACAGGCGTTGTCCTTGGCAGTTTGAAATTTAGCCAAACCGACAAATCTGGGGGGAAATCATACCTCCGCCAACTATACAGTAACGTTGCGTATTCTTGATGCGTGGGTTCTGATGAGAAGAGAGATAGGACAGGCTTAAACCAGACACCAGTGGAGTAGATCAAACAACTCGTGGGGATATTTCCTGAGCAGGCGAGAGAGACGAATGTGGTGTGCTAAGTTCTAGTTTGCGAGATGTGATAAAGCCGCTTTTTATAACCCCATAATAAACTCCCGACGGGTTGGTAGAAATTTAACATACGCGTGCTTCCCTTTAGAATAGCCACTAGACAGGCGCCTTAGAACCTTAATAAGCTAATAGCTTGTGAGCAATCAAATAGTTTGGTTCGAGGGGGGAGACACGGCAACGTGTACTTAGAGCATACCTATAAATCTCGAGTTTTAGTATTCTTGGCCAATCTTGTGTCTCGAGTTCTCAGAGCGGGTAAGATGTACGGATATGGGGTAAACCAGTCAAACCATGGGGAGGGAGAAACAGGTTAAACATGGCAGTGATGGTCTATTGTCATACGTAGGGTTGAAACACAGGTTGACCTGCGGGACAAAAAAAAAGGTATCATGACTTGAAGTAAACACGAAAAAGATGGTTATTCCGTCACATTGAGATTCGGGCTCTCGGAGTTGCTAAGAGAGACGCGGAACCAGAAAAAAAAAGAAAAAAAGAAAGGAAATTGGGCAATATATACATCCGAGAGACGTTTTAATAAATGATGATGATTCCGGTTTGATGTTGAATGCGTTTACGACATCATTGGAAGTGTATGAGGTAAGTACAACGACTACTTCCTTGAATGTACGAGGCATACGCTTAAAACTGGCAATCGACGTGTACCTAGCTACCTCATACGGTACAATACAATACCTACCTACATGTACAACCTAAAGGTTTATTGCAGTAGGTACATGGATACCTATGTACGCGTATCGTACGTACCTATCGTACAATACTTACTTCAAGCCGGGTACCCGATGTCTGGATATCTGGATATGTCCCTGGCACTTTCCTTGCACTGCCTCAATTCTGCCAATCAGAATCTCATATCTGAAACCCCACCTGCTCACCTGCCCGGTATTTCTCTTCCCCTTAGGCCCAGATACGAAATTTAACCCCCAGACGACCGCTCCTCCCCCCCCCAGCAGGTCTGGCATTGTTCGGTGCCAGACTTGCCAGACGTGCTACCAGAATGCATGCCCAGTACCTAAGCCCAGTAGCCAAGTAGCCCCCAGCTACCTACCCCCCGGTTCTCTCTGAAAAAGTTCAAATGTTTTGGGCAGTGATAGCGAACCACAGGCCTTTAGTTGTAGCTGTGGACTGAACTCCTACATAGGGCCCACTTCTACCGCTCTAACAGGACTTCTTGATAATTGTAGCAAGTCTTGCAGATTTGATTAAGCCGGATTCTTCTGACGTTTCCATCGGCTTTGACCCTTTTTCATCTCCTTCCCTCTTCATTTTTTTCTGCCCAGACCCCGCGACAACGGCGACACATTCCGTACGTAATTTTTTTTTTTCTCGCACCGACGAAATCTTGTTGCCATTTTATCTTTCCAGTGGTTTGCACTGAGTCACAATAACCTGCGAAAAAAAGCCCATTTTACTTGTTGTTTACAACCCCGGGAACCAGTTTGTATTCCCGCATTGTTTTGGCACCTCGTAGTCAAGACACGCTGTTGGCTCAGTTGCCTCATTACCGTACTCTGACAACCGCCTGACATCCGAACCTGAGAATTGCGCGCTTTGTGTAATTGTAACCACAGACGGCAGGCTTGCAGCCATTATTACGACTCCCCTCGAGAATTCCCCGATCGTAACGGACGACGCTCCTATTCCCAACTCACATCTTCTCAACAAACCGCCGCCCCTCTACCATCTTCATCACTGCAATATTTGCTACACCTGGCGAATATCGAGTCCCGAAAACTGGGCCGATTATAATACAAAGTACGAAAAAAAATATTTCTTGATTCACGACTTTTTCTTCTCATCGCACCAGCGACGCTAAGCCGATCTAGCATTATTGCATCCCATTTATTGCACCTTACCGACCGACTTCGATTTTTCCACGAAGCTATCATCGGATCTGGTCGCAGCCTCCTAAAAGCGCATAACAATCAGGAGACGAAGCATTCTCGCTTTTTTATCGAGATTGCAAAATTTTTTTAATGCTAGAGTAAAGAATTGCCGCTAGACTCTGCGTACCTGAATTTAGTAGCGAGCCTTGAGCTTCTTTAGAAAGCTCCGTTACTAGCTGGGATCACTTCATCGTGAGTTTTTTCGTCTCCCTTTTTTTGGGGTGTTGATAATCCACCGGGCCCCTCTTCCCCACTCACCTTGTCGTCACCTCAGATTAAATCTGCCTACCTTTCAGCCAAGATCCTCCCCCTCGAGTACCCCAACTGTCTAATCTTTCCCTCTTTGTTGTTAATAGATCGGTGCCTTGCCCTACTAACATCGCGACCTCCCAGCAGGCCTGAGAAGTGCATCATACATTGATACCGGGCTCCACTATACTCTTCTAGATCCCCGGTCCTCCCCCCCTACAACCCTAGGGCCCTGATCTCAACACACTTCAACTTTCGCGGGCCAACTACCTGGCAGGTCAGGAATCTAAGATGGCGGATCAACACGACGTTGATCTCGACTCTATTATTGACCGCCTCCTCGAGGTGCGCGGTAGCCGTCCTGGCAAGCAGGTACAGCTTCTGGAGACCGAAATTCGATATCTCTGCACAAAGGCCAGGGAGATCTTCATCAGCCAGCCAATCCTACTAGAGCTAGAGGCCCCTATCAAGGTATGCATATGACTTAGTGATAACATCTTCTGTCCTTGTTCGAGTTACTAACATCCCTTTGCTATAGATCTGCGGCGATATTCATGGCCAATACTATGACCTACTGCGCCTCTTCGAATATGGCGGCTTCCCCCCGGAAGCGAATTACCTTTTCCTAGGTGATTATGTAGATCGTGGCAAGCAGTCGCTCGAGACCATCTGCCTCTTGCTCGCATACAAGATCAAGTACCCCGAAAACTTTTTCATCCTAAGGGGTAACCACGAATGTGCGTCCATCAACCGTATCTATGGCTTCTACGACGAGTGCAAGCGCCGTTACAATATTAAGCTATGGAAGACATTCACCGACTGCTTCAACTGCCTGCCGATTGCAGCAATCATTGATGAGAAGATCTTCACGATGCATGGTGGTCTAAGTCCCGACCTCAACTCGATGGAACAGATCCGCCGAGTAATGCGACCAACCGACGTAAGATATCCCATTTCCAAAGCTCTACTGTCATTTGCTCTGCCAGCATTGGCCCGAGTTACCACTAACATACCTTAGATTCCTGACTGCGGTCTGCTGTGCGACCTGCTATGGTCCGATCCGGACAAGGATATCACGGGCTGGAGTGAAAATGACCGTGGCGTTTCATTTACCTTTGGTCCCGATGTTGTCTCTCGGTTCTTGCAAAAACACGATATGGACCTGATCTGCCGTGCCCACCAGGTTGTGGAAGATGGCTACGAATTCTTCTCGAAGCGTCAATTGGTCACTCTGTTCAGTGCACCGAATTACTGCGGAGAGTTCGACAACGCCGGAGCTATGATGAGTGTCGACGAGAGCTTGTTATGTTCCTTCCAAGTTTGTCTTCCTCTACTCTATACATGAATACGAATATATAACTAACGATTGTCCGCGTCTAGATTCTCAAACCTGCTGAGAAGAAACAAAAGTACGTCCATGGCGGCCTCGGAGGCAGCGGTTTCGCATCTCCAAGAAAGCAATCATCCAAGTCTTAAAGAAACAGTATTCATACGAACTTCCTCGTCTTCTAGGTTCGGCCGCTCCCGATAAGTTGCTTCTTAAGCATCCAGCCCGTTTTCGAGTCCCGATACTTGTCCTCGACCAACGATCCCGTTGGTGTCATCCTCGCCCTCCGCCGGTCTCCATAACACATACACACCTCTCCGACCGCAACGGGCGTTTTGATAATGCAGCTTCGAGTACAAATATACGATCCACCTCCGCCGCGAAAACACATGTCCTCATAACCTCACTTTGACCTCAGAACTGACGAAAGAGATGAACGGTGGTTGTTGCTATTACGCGAGAAAAGAAATAAAATCAGGTTTTCATTTGGAATGGTCTCCATGGGTATTCTCAGCCCACTCGCCCTACGTCTGTGAGGCCATGGTGACAAGGGGGAGAAAGTCTAGACAGTTAATTTTGTTTCCCCAAGAAGTGAAACTTACGAATTCATGCAATGATCTGCTTCACGGTTTTACACCTGTTGTTGCCCTTCTCCCCGTTGCCAAGTGATTTTCGTTACTGCTGTCTTGCCTGGTTTTGTGTACTGTTGATTTTCGTGTTGAGCTAGTTACGATGGTTGTGGTACGTAGTCCAAGAGAGCACTCCGTGCTTGTGTCGTGTTGAGTTAATCGGAAATTCTTACCTCTTTTCTGCTAATGATCTAGTTAACCTGACACATGCTATATGCTATGTCTACAATTACCTAATTTTGTACACGCTAATGATCATGATTCCCGAGACATTAACGTCGAGGATAAATGCCATTCACTCTAGGTCATGGTGTATTCACTTAGTTAGGTGCGTAAAAGGGGGGTGGTAGGAATGGCAATGTGATGTAGGATATATTCGGGAGGCGTATGTCACAGCATCCTTTTTTTTGCATTGGCTTTCTTGCGTGCCGCATCGTGCATTACCTCGGCAACTATCTAGGTTAGGTAGGTCAATAATATAGATGATATGTGCCGCTCTGCCGACGTCCAATAATGGTGGCCTGCAGTTACCCCAGATATGTGCCACCCGCGCACCCACCTACCTGGCAGACCTGGCTGGCGTGCTGGTTGGCTTTTTAGATGGTGTCCTCTCCTTTTCTCTCGTCGGTGGTATAGTACAGCGCAATCCACAGGAGATCTAGACGTGGCGGCAGTGAAGGTATGAGGACGGAGGGAGGGTTAGGCGGGAGGTGGGAGGTAAGAGGTAGGAGGTAGGAGGTATGAAGCATGTTTATTTGCAGTCCTCGCACTCGTCCTGCGTGGCGGCGTTCGTCCGCGTGCTCTCGGCCGTCGGCTTGCACGCGGGGCCGCCGATGGTTTCTCCCGGGTGGGTATTTAAGCCGAGGGCATTTTCGTGCTCGGCTTTCGACGGAGCAGCAGCGGGTGCATTTCCGGCTCCGATCCCTCCTTCCCTTGTACCTTGTTGCCCCTGTGCCTGCGCCTGAGCCTGCGCCGCGCCGGTCTTCGCTTTGCTAGACGAGTAGTCCTTGTCGACGTGTCCTAGGTCCCGGCCGGGCTCGATGGCGTCGCGGACTCGCCGCTTCAGTTCCTTGGTCTCGGGGAAACCGCCGTCGGTCTTGCGGTCCCAGAGAACGCGCTGCTGTGTGGTGGGAGGGGAATGGGTGGCGTTGTTGGGCTGCTGGAAGAATATCTCGACGACGAAGGTCCCGCCTGTAGAGGGCTGCAGGGCTACTTCGCCGAGGGAGGTCGAGAAGGTCGAGAGGAGCTCTTGCGCGAACTGTGTGAGGATATTGTTAACGGTGTTGGTACTAGGTGAGATATAATACATTGGGCTTACGTATGCGGCTCTCAACATCCATTTACATTGTGTACAGAATCGAATGGTGATACGAGGTAGTGGAAATGGAGATTGGAGTGGTGATGCGGGGCCTGGAGTCGAAGTCGAGGTTGAGGTGGATGTCTCAGCCATTGTCAAAGTGACTTTATATGAATGATCGTGGGAATTGGTCTGTTTTATATCAACCAATGTCAATGTCTTAAGATGGGTGGGTGGTGGGTATATCCCCTGAGGCTGGTAGTATTCCGAATCGTTACCATGCTAATTACCTATGTAGGTACGCATAGGAAATTCGGATTCCCATGGAAGTTTATAGGTATGTATGTGGGGTGTTATGACGATTCATGGGTGAGAGATCAATGTTGTACCGGAGAGATGTACCTTAGGTATATAAAATGAGCTAAGACCAATTGAAGGTCTAGTCCGCATAAGTACCTAATTAATGTTATTTGCCTGCAAAACTCGCAACTATGTACAATACCTCCGGTAACGAGGGGCTACCGAGTTAACCGTTATTAACGTTGATTGGGCAACATATTCCAACGCGCTGGTTCGAGTGAACTCCACGGGTACGAGGCACCTACCTATTTAGAGTATAATAAGGCTCCATTAATTGTTCTCGAACTAAAATCGCGTTATCTCAAATGCTATTAGTTGATTGTTTTTATTTTTATTTTTATTTTCTTCCTCTTCATCTCCCTCACACGATTCCCACGTAGATCCTTCCTCGATACATGGGAGAGAGTAAGACTGTTAGAACGAGACACCCGCGGATTATAAACCGCGAAAGGCGCGAGGGTTACATTTACGTCTTATACCTTCGGGGCCGAAAATCCATTTGCCGCTCGCTGCGGCACACTCTGGCTGGGCACACGCTAGAGAGAGCCGTAAGCAATCGCGTGCATATTTAGCACCCGGATTTCGTAGACATTCGTATGCATTCGTACGTGAGATATACCGCGTATGAACCCGAGTGTAGGTAAGCAGAGCACTGTCAGACCGCTAGTTTATCTGCATGGCGAGTTGGAGATGATGAACTTATCAGGTGGGATCGATGGGCGCTGGGCGCTGGGCGTGTAGATACCAAAGGTAGGGTCTACAAGTCTACAGTTTTACAGGTCTACAGGTCTGCAGGTCTACAGGGCATATGGTGGATCTTTCGCGGCAGCCTTGTTGCTTGCGATCTATACATAGCTAGGATCGTGGAGAAGGATCTCTTTGTCGATGCATTACGATTGCAATTATACTTCAATATAATATGAAAACATATACAAAGTGTCGGGGGAGTCAACGTTCCCGCTGAATCTAAATGTAACCGCCGTAAACCTGTAGAGTATAGTCATAAACAAGGAAATGCTGTCATTCATCAAGTAGCAACACAGACTTGAACAAAAGAAATAGGAACAATATAGTCATGAACGAACAAATATTACATGTTGGAATTTCTCCCGTACTCTCTTCTCCGTCCCCCAATGATGGAACTGCCCGTCCATCAACCTACCGGCACATGAGAGTACCTAAAACCTAAGTATCGCAGTATGCCGGCTGGCGAATTATCGTAACATGGTCGATAGTCATCGACTCTTGGGTATTGTGTAATAGCCTTTTTATCTTTCTCAGATTATCATCTCCTTTCTCCCTCTTTTATTTGCTGTTTTGCTCCTCCTCCTCCTACTCCTGCTTACTCCTTCTTCCCGGTGATGCGTAAGAAAATTAAGTTTCACGTAGGACACGGCAGACAAAAAGAGGCTCGCTATCGTCGAAAAAAATCTGGCGCCCTAACCTGCGAGCCTCATCGCGACGTAAATCCCACAGAGCACGTTGCATCCCGTGCGTCTTCCTAACTGGAGTTGCTCATGGTATCCCGCTCTACATCACCACACAGCATCCACCGCTTTGAGGAGGCGCGTATGGATCTTCTCCCTTAGGGACGGATCCCCATACCGACGGGACCATGTAATCTCTCGTACTATTGCAATACGCGATGATGCTTCGCATCGTGTTAATAGACAGGCAATTGGTAAAGCGTCAGCATTGACTTCTCACCTCCTAGATGCTTGCGACACGGGAATTCGTTCTCGCTCCAAGTCCTCCCGTAGCCTGCTGTTAAGCTCGGTCAATCGTCGCAATTTCAGGTCGGCCATTGACTGTTTGTTCTTCTTGATTTGCGACGGGTCGCCGACATCTCGGGAGGTATATTGAGGCATGTTGATGGGGGTGGTAGACGGAGGGATGGAATCGGTCCTTGGTCGGGGTTCTAAAGATGGTGGCTGTGTGCTTGAACCACTTGCAGCGCCTCCCGACGTCTGAGAATCGTGAATCTCTATCGACGACATGATCTAGGTCAGTAAAAATATAGCTACTAATGATCATGTCTCATTGCTTATTGAACGTTGGTTCGCGAACCAGTGGAACTGATATTATATTCGCGCTCTTTGCAGCTCTATACCCCTATCGGAAGGGAGGGATGCAAGGAGGAAGCTAGCCAATTTCCAATTCGTCCGTGTCGGATTCGGGCTATTTAATCGAGACAAGTTGTTTATTGGAGAAGGCAAACAAGTACTTACAAATTAAGGCGACCTCAAGACAAAGGACAAGTTTGCAAAGAAGCTTCGGGGCGACGAAGAGGCGCAACGTCAGAACGGGTTGGTCGGGTCGTCGAACAGGAACATGAAGGAGAGACTATGGAAGCTGGGGAAGTAAGGAAGAGTTTGGCTGGCGAGTTAAAGATGGTACAAAAGTACGGCGTAGCACTGGCCTAGAATCCCTGGAGTCCTAGCTGGGTTATTATTGGTTGGGAGGATCTGAATATGGGGCGCTACTCGCAGGCTGGGAAATTGGGGCCCGTTTTGAGGGATAGTTTCGCTAAGGGGGAGTAAATTGAGTAAATTGAGTAAATTGAGTAAATTTAGAGGCACGGGCCATATATGGGTCTGTACCTAAGGATTGAAGGTTGCTCTTGCTCCTTATCACTATATTCCGTACGCGCATTACCTGACGGAAGGACGGAGCCTAGCACGATTTATGCTCCTAATGGTGAATATATCATAGAACCGAACAAATTATGCACAAACGAGGTCCTTACTAAAAGTATTTGCCTGGTTAAGAAATAAAACTTTCCTCCCGGCCATATTTACCATATTTATCAGCGTCTAATTACGTTAATTTCGCATCCATCAGTATTCACCTTCTTAATAACATTTATTCGGATGCGCCCGTAAAGGAGAGCCGTTATACTTCTGCATCATCATTTACCAAGAGATTCGCTATGCATTTAAGAATCGCTTCTCATTTCTAGTTTTCGTCCAGGCTTGGCGTTCTCAAGAGTTACCTAGGCAAATCCACCTCACCCACGGTCATTCCTGGCTGAGCTGCAAAAACCCTTATCAAGTGCTCATAGCTCCTAGCTATCTTCTCTGCCTCGGGTTCACCAAAGAGGTCCTTGCGCAAGAAAAAGTAGTGAGCGCACTCACCATCTGGCTCATCAATGGTGTCAAGGTAAACGTCGTAGGGCACATTTAGATCGAACCCCATCATACGGAGCTCATTGTTCTCACCCCAGGGTATTGTCTCGCGCTGGCCCATGCGGTAATCGGCGAAGACCTGGAAAAAGGGATAATCTTTGGCCTTGCGCTGAAGGCCAAGCCTAAGAACGAATTAGTGGGAGTATGCGGAGGAACCACTAAGGGGACCAGGAGGACTTACTCCTTCACGAGCATCGGATAGGGGAGCTTTGAGTGCGCCATGCCCGCGAGAGTCTTTCTACGCGTAGCTTCCAGCAATTCTTCGAATTTGGTAGATCTGTAACTCAAAAGACGCACGAGAACGAGGTTATATAACGGACCGATGACATCCATGTCTTCGACATTGTGGGTCCTTCCGGACTCAGCTACAGCTATGGTGATATCCTCACCACCGATCGTATACCGTAACAGCAGAGCTCGCAGGGCAGCCAGGTAGAATTGAAAGGGAGTGGCCTGGATACGACGACATATTTGGAAGATTTGTGCCTTCGTGTCTACGCCAATTCTACAACCAGCTCGGATATTCTCATAAGCTTTCAGAACGGGACGTTCATCCACTTTTGCCAATGTCAGGAGAGGTAGTGGAGGCGGAGTCGTGGCGAACTCTTTTCTCCAGTACTGCAACTCGGCCTCGAGCTTTCCTGCTGCGTAAGCCGCATGTTGCTGCTCCGAAGCCTCCGCGAATTGCTTTACCTGACGACTCATATGGGGGTATGTATAGTGAAATGCAAGCCACTTCAATAGGATTTGGATCGATGTTGCATCCATAATAAGAGGGTGTAGACCTGCCACAAGATAGTTGTCTGTTTCCGAGCGAGTGAGTAAGATCAGCCGCAATGTTTCTCCCCGTGCCACATCATATATGTAACCCTTTTGGATAGACATGGCTATCCTTTCTACCTCCTCTTCGCTCTCAATCTCCTGGCGTTCTAGGTGTAGGAGGGTGACCTCCAAGATGTGTTGCAATTGCTTTCCATCTTGGTCGAAGAAAGCCGTCCTCAAGATCTCGTGCTGCTGGCCTAGAGCGCTCACAGCCTTTGTCAGTCTCTCTATATCTATTTTTCCTATAATGCGAGCCCAAGCGGTGTGGTTGAGACCGACCCTATCTTCTAGGAAAAGCCCCGAAGGATAAAACCTCGCTTGTGTAAAAGACACGGGGATCGACTTTTGGATGATCGAACCAGAGCTCATAGTTCTTGGAGAATCTTGAACCAAGTCAAGATTTGAGCCAAACTTTTCCTGAGAGAAAGCAGCTGGCTTATCGACATCTATGTCTAAACCATGGGTTGTCTTCTGGCTGTTGGGGCTGTTGGAGGAGGCTGCAGAGGCGTCATCTTTTACAGAGGACTTATCCAAGCTCAGAAGCAATCGTGAAGGAATAGTCTCGGTTGCAGCGGCGACTAGTTCACCGACAGTACCGCCATTCATAATTTTGAGAACTGGGATGTTGACTTCAAGAGTCGTCATAAACCAACCGCGAATTTCTATTGCTGTGAGAGAATCGATACCCATGTGGTCGAAGCGCGTAGCACTCAGCTCAGTACTATTCATCCTGGTGACGTCGAGCTGGAAATACGAACAAAGCTTACGAGTGAAAGCGTCCCATATAATATTATAAACTTGTTCGCGGCTCTGTGCCTTTTCAAGCAACGCCTTGATCGGGAAATTGGCTCGATTATTAGTTGTGGCCGGATCCTCTACTTCTTTACATCCTTGGACCAAGTGACTCATCCGTGGCCATGATTCCCACACAGGCTGATGTTCTTCTTGCTGGCTGATCATTCGCACTCCCGAAACAAGTTCGATATGGGCAGTAGAGCCAGGACGTCCTGCGATTATAGCCTCTGCAAAGAGTTGATGGAAGTCTCGTTCAGAAGTACGGGCAAATCCTCCTGTTTGGAACGTCACGTTGCCCATGATTGAGCCTTTTGCGACCCGGGCAATATATCCTACCCCAAAGATAGGGCCAATATTTATTATAGAAGCAGCTAAGCCGCGCCTTCTACGGTGTTCCGCAAGGCTGGTCATGAAAGTATTAGCTGCCGCATAGTTCGCCTGCCCATAGTTTCCGATTACAGATGACGACGACGAGAAGAAGATAAAAAAGTCCAGCGTGTTTTGCTGGAAGATCTCGTTCAAGTAGATGCTTCCCTCGACTTTGGGCATCGTGGCAGCCGATAGTTGCTCCAGCGTCATGTCCTTGATGGCTGTGTCCTGGAGGACCATAGCACCCTGTGCAACGCCCGCAATTGGCGGCATAGTCGAGCAAATTTCGGCATAAAGTGCTACTACCTCATGTCTCTGAGTTATGTCACTAGAAGAAAGTTAATGATGGTGAGCTTAAGAGACTTTGATGCTTTATCGAAAGAGATCACTTACCACGCAGCGATTTTGACAGTGACTCCCATTGCGCGCATTTCGTCCAGCCAAGCCATCTCAACATTGGGTTTCCGGCTGCTAATGACAAAATATCGGGCTCCACGCTGTACCATCCATCCACATAGCGATAGACCGAGTCCTCCGGTGAGTCCAACAAGCCAGTAGGTTTTATTGTCGGGAAGTAATATTTGAGAATCAACAGGCTGAACTTTAACGGAGACTTCAGTACTTGCACTCCATTCGACCACAACAAGCGGTGCCAGTCTGTCTCTATCTTCGGTGATGGCATGTATAGGAACGATGGGGATATGCCCCCATACCAACCTAGAAGACCCTGTTGCTACGGAAGAAGCCCATGCAACGGCTTTCGTAAAGCGGTTACAGACCTCTTCCGCGTGTAACTCTGTCGTATCCCAAGCCGCTTTGCCAAACAAGGACTTAAGGCTGTCTTTCCTACAATAGGCCGTCAATGTAGACGCGATACGGTCAACGATTGACTCAACATTCGTAGGATACGTCATATCGACAAAGACAGAAAAGCCAGGACGTACAAGACGTGCTATATCCCGCTTCGGGGTAGCGGGGTGGATTGTCAACCAACTGGAACCTTCTATCTTCAAGGCATCAGCGTTTGTGGTTATGTATGTAATTTGTACGCCAAGAGGTGTCGCTTGTTCAGCTATGATCGAGGCGACCTCATGGCTAGGATTGAGGACTAGTGCTCTATCGCCCTTCGACAAGCCCCTCAGGACAACAGACGCAAGCAAGTGATGGGCTGTCAGCCACAAAAGTCGGGCTTCAGAACCGGGTGATACACTCACGGCGGTCGAAAACGTTCTCTGAGGACAGACAAGAGAGTTATTCTCAGACGATAAAGCAATCGTTGTGTGGTTAGAGATAGTGTTTTTCCCGAGAACCATGAACATACAGCCGAATTCAGCGACCCGGATGGGCGAGAGGAGGGAGTGGGTGGTCTGCAACTGTATGTTCTCGTGGCCTTGAAGGCAAACCGGAGGTTTCAACTCGACATCCCACCCTGAATCAGACACAGATATGCCAATCCTGTGATAATCAAGCTTGAATTGACGACGGATGTCTCGGTGGTTTGAGTTGTAGCGGTCGTTCATCTCTTCGTTCATCACGAGACGAGGTATTAAGAGTCGGCCTGCTTTATCGAGCACGAGCTCATTCTCGACGGTAAGCTTCATATTGTCTCGTTGCCACCACTTAGAAGCAGCTATGTATCGCAACATAGTCTCTGCGATAACACAATGGTCGATTCTATGAGCATCTTCGATATCTAGGAGGAGGTAATCGAGAGTCGGGTCATCGCGCGCTGCACCACGAATAAGGCCCAGCATCATATTCGCATATGGGTTATCGGCAAGCCGGCCCTGAGTGATCCAGATGAGGGTTCTTGGCAGGAGAATTATTTTTTTCAAGGCCCCCCACCCTACACTATTAAGCCGTTTGAAGATTGATGTGTCTAAATCTGTCAAACTCAGGACGACCGTATTAGACGAAATGTCAATACTGTCAAAATCTAGTAACGAGTGAACGTTTCTAATACTGCTGCAATATGGTCGGAGAACATCTGAGAGCTTGCTGGTAAGCTGAGTTGTTTTAAAGCTCTTTCCACTCAGTAGTACCAGGTCTTGGATCATCTTTGTTTCTGGAACTGGCAGTGGAAAGGCGAGCGAAAGGGGGTCCCGAAGAAACGCGATCTTATCGTCCACAGCTTGTGAGATGAAGACATGAAAGGGAATCGAGCTGTCTTCTTCTGGAGTGCTCGAGTCGATCCCCGAGAAGCCGTTATTACGCAGCAAGCTGTCCCACTTCATGGGGGTGACAGCTGGTGACAAGGTCTCTCTTTCTTTAGCACCAACCCACCAGTATGAGAACGTCCCAAAGACCGCGCCAAAGAAAGAACCAAGTGATGGTAGCAGTTCGAGCGCAAGGAAGTGACCACCAGGTCTAAGGAGGCGTCGCAAATTACCCAAGGTCCGATCGATGTTGGGCGTCGTATGTAGGGCGAGAGACGCTATGACTATATCATACGACGCCTCAGCGAATCCTTGATCTCTCAAGTCCTTCGAAGCATCAGATGGCTTAAATATCACCTTGTCCTTGAACATGCCAAGCCTGGCTTTTACTGGATCAAAGGAGTCGGGAGTAACTGTAGTGATGGTGTAAGAGGCAAATTTTAAGCCGATTTCTCGTAATATCGTCTTCGTTGCAGTGCCTATTTCTCCACCAACCTCAAGGATATGCATTCTCGGATATCGATGTACAATCTGCTTGAGTATCTGGGTCAGGTATATCGTGAAAGTCTCTATCCCGAAACCGTTGGTGTACCACTCCTCTATGAGGTTGGCTCGCATGGCGACATCCATAGATGATATGTCACCCTTGACAATATCAACTAGGCTCTTTCCAAAACTCAAGAGAATTTTCATATCAATCTTATCCGCAAATGGCTCACATGCCGCAGTAAGGATTTCCGGAGTGTCCTGCTCCCATTCTGGCTGCCAAAATAGCGATTCCCCAGCGTACGGCAGGGAACCGATATATGATGCAAATTTAAACAGGCCTTTGTAAGGCCCCTCAGCCCTGGATAAGTGATGGAGTGGTATCTCTCGATCTAGAACGCGTAAATAATAACTCGCAACCCTTTCAAGAACCGCTGGTAGCATGAGTTGGTTTGACATCGGAGAGCCATTGCTATCTATAACACGTGCATCTGGGTCTGCAACACCCCATACGACATTAGAAAAGATTTCTTTGTCATTGCTCGCTGTCTGCCGGGAGAATGGCCTGCATTCTAATCCTTGGACTTGAACCATCGCATGATTAAAGTCATCCGGATAGACATCGATATCGCTTACCAGATTGACATGAGGAAACGCTACGGGAATAACCGTGTCAATGGCCCATGATGTCTGCTTGTCTCTGGCTTGCGCGCATAGATCTGGGTTGATAGCGATGCGTGTGATACTCGTAGGGAGGTGCATTGAATTTTGTGCTCCATCATCAGGGGACGCATATGTCAGAAAAATAGATTGCTATGACGCCAATTAGCAGGAAACCATGAACATATTGGGTGTCTTCAACATACGAAAGCGGCATCCAATGCTGCAGGATGAATCAGGAAACTTGATGGCTCGAAAACTGCAACAAACCCTGATGCGGCACCGAGCGATCTTTTCATTCTTTCTAGCGCCTTAAACTGACCACTATACTGGTACTCAAGCTCAGATAGCGACTCATAGAATTTCCCCTCATCAACGGGCAAAAGATTTGGCCGCTGTGGGAGCCGAGGAGGAAGAAGTGTATGACAGGGTTCGCCCAAGTGAATTCGTACACGGCCACTGGCTTTTAACTCGAGCGGGTCAGTACCCTTCCCAGATGTCGCATGGTATTTGAAATCCGCTTCGATTGTTTCTTTGTTACGTCTCGTGATATTCGCCAGGGAAACGATGATCTCTATACTCACATCATCCGGATCAAACACAAGACCTGAGGCGATATTCATATCATGAATCTCAACTAGTTTGGCGGGATTGTCTTCGCAAAGTTTCAGGGCAGCTTCCAGTACACTAACGACATAACCCGTCGCGGGAAAGATAACAACATTTTGTAGCCGATGACCTAGAAGCCACTGGACTTCAGAAAGACGTAGGGTATGGCGCCATCGCATATCTTGCACGGTGCTATCCGGGGTCAAGTGGCCCAGGAGTCCGTGAACTGGACCTGGGCGCATACGCACAGCTCTAGCGTATCTTGTTTCATGCCAGTACTCGTTTTCGTGATCCCACACGTACGTTGGAAGCCCCTTTGCTATTCTGGGGATCGAGTTGCCTGACACAAACCGGTCATAGTTCTGTAAGTCGATGGCTCCTTTCCCAATATGCGACCAGGCCTGGCCAAGACCGTCGGCAAAAGACGTAACGGCCGAGACGCCGCGGTGAAACAAACCAGTATAAGGAACTTCTAATGATAATTGTTTCTGTATGGTCTGAAGAGTAGGGCCTTTGAGTGCCGGATGGGGACCTAGTTCGATAACGAGATCAAGATATCCCATAAAGGTACAAGCGTTATTGACAGCTTCCATAAATAGGACTGGTTTTACCATGTTGTTATCCCAATACGGACCCTTCAGCAGATCATGCTTGCCCATCTCCGAGCCATAAACACTCGAGAACCAAGCAGATCGGCCACCAGGGCCGACCTGTATATCCAGTGTTTCAATAGCATCGAGATACTTAGCAGAACATACCTTCATATGGTGAGAATGATAGGCAGTATCCACCTTAAGAATTCTAGCGAACTTCTTTTCGTCTTTGAAGACGATTCTCAACTCTTCGATAGCATCCTGATCTCCCGAAAGCGTCACACTTGTAGCTGAATTAATGGCGGCCACATAGGCACGACCCTCGAACTCAGGAAAACCAAGGAGATCTCGAGCATCGTCGGCAGATGTTCCTACAGCCATCATAGCGCCCTTTTGTCTATCGTAGCCCCGTGCGAGCTCTGAGTACAGGCCGCGGTAGTAGGCAATACAGATAGCATCTTCGGCCGAAATCAAACCCGCCGCGTAGGCTGCTGCAATCTCGCCGGACGAGTGGCCAACAACAGCGGTAAACTCGAGACCTGCAGAACGTAAAAGATCTACTTGAAGAATCTGTACCGCCGTGCAGAGAGGCTGAGAGAGGGCAGCTTCAGCGATACGTGAGGAGGAAACGTCTTTTTGCAGTTCTTGGAGCAGTGACCATGTAGGACGGTCAGCGGCGGGGAGTCGATCAAGCCGACTTTCAAGGTTTTGTATGATTCGTCTTGAAGCAGCGGAGGACATAATCAAATCCAAGCCCATTTGAGCCCACTGAGCGCCCTGTCCTGTAAAGACTCCTAAAACTCGATGCTTCTTAGTATCATTGGTTTGGCGCCTTACACGAACACCGACGCGTTGCTCGGAATCAACTCCTGCGACTTTCAGCTTTGCCTCGAGTTTTTCACAAAGCTCGCGATGAGTAGATGCTCCGATGGCGATAGCTACGGGAAGACGAGTCCGTCGTGCGTCCAGCGTGAAGGCAATATCCCTCGGATTATAGGCCATCTCATTTTCGCGTAGGTTCTGGCAGATTTCTGCCAAGTAGGATTTGAGGGAGTCTTCCGAGGCTGCAGAGAAGACGAAGGGAATAAATATGGTTGTCATTGACTTGCTTGGTTGCAAGAGCTGGGCTGGTGTCGCATAGCTTTCGAGGATAGCATGAGCATTGGTTCCGCCGAAACCGAAACTAATACGGCAAAGTGTTAACCTAGGAGAAAGGAAGGACTTTATTAATATTATGCAATATCATCTATCATCTTACCTATTTACGCTTACTCGGCGGGAACTGCCCTCTGCTACGGCTGGCCACGGCGTCAGTGATGTTGGGACGCACAAGTTATCATAAAAAGGCTTGATGCGCGGGTTAAGATGGTTGAATAGAAGGTTTGGCGGGATCATGGCGTTCTGAATAGCAAGCGACGCTTTTAACAAGCCTGCAATGCCCGCCGCCCCTTCGGTGTGGCCAATGACAGTCTTAATGCTGCCTACAAAAAGGGGAGCGGGTGAGCCATCTACTCTGTCTCCATTCACTCTCTCGTTGTTCGAAAAGAAGGCAGAACTGATGGCTTCGGCCTCAATTGGATCACCAGCTGGCGTGCCTGTTCCGTGGGCTTCAAAATACTGCGGCCGGTGGGTGGGATTTGTTAAATCCAACCCAGCACGTGTGTAGCAATCTCGGATGAGCTGTGCCTGCGCAGACGCGCTTGGCCTACAAAAGGACGAAGAAGGATGATTAGCCCCTATCATAAGCAACAGCACTTGGGCTTACGCTTACATGGTTTGTCCGGGTGTTTTACCGTCCTGACTAACCGCCGTCTCGCGGATGATGCACTCGATATGGTCTCCATCAGCCTCGGCGGCTTGACGCGTCTTAAGCACCACGGCCGCCACTCCTTCTCCTCGAGCGTAACCGTTCGCTTCTGCGTCCCACATACGCGACCGGCCCTCGGGTGAAAGCATTTGAAGGTTAGTCTCCGCGATGAAGGTGCCGGCGTCAAAAATGAGATTAGAGCCCGCCACGACAGCCACGCGCGAGTGGCCTGAGCGCAGCTGCTGGACGGCGTGGTGCAGAGCAACTAGGCTGGAGCTACACGCCGTATCGATGGTCATGGATGGACCATGCCAGTCGAAGAAGTAGGAGACCCGGTTGGAGAGCATAGTCCGTGACGTACCGGTAGCATGGTATTTGCCGAGGTTATCATGATCCCGGTACATAATAAGCTCGTAGTCATTTACCATCTGGCCGGCATATACCGCCGTGTCGGACCCTCTTAGCTTATCAATGGTCTGGCCACCGGCCTCGAGCGCTTCGTAGACGGTCTCGAGGAGCAAGCGGATCTGCGGGTCCAGTACGTTTGCTTCGGCCGGGTTGATTCCAAAGAAGGCAGCGTCGAAGCGCCGATTTTCTCCCTCTGCCGTCAGAAGGTATGCCTCCTTGACGTTGGTATGGCCATGATATTGTCCATCTTCTTGGTAATATCCTTTAAGGGCCGGTACCTGGCTTGCTACAAGCCTTGGTTCGCGCAGAAGGGCCCAAAGTTTGGACGATGAAGTGGCATTACCGGGAAACCGACATCCAGAGCCAATAATGGCAATCTGCTGTTCCTCGACAGCCATAGTAAAAGTATTGTTCTCGCTAAGACGAGTGTGGATGCTAAAAAGAAGCAGGGTTCATGACCTTCTTAAAGACATTCATCTAAAATGAAGAACATGTTCGGTATGTATAGACAGACTCTCGTAGACAGGATAGAGTTTACTGTTTAATTCCACCTCGGGACATCATCTAAGTACAGTTATCTATTTCCATTGAACTAGACCTCAGCCTTACTTGCTTCCCCGGTCGAGGGCTCGTCGTATTAAACCAACTACACCGGTCTAATAGAGCCATGTAACGAGACCTGTTAGATACTTTGCGAATAATACGTGATAAGTACCCCGACAGCCCTTAACTATATTACCCAACAATCTTCTATCGAGTTGGAGAAGGTTGATTGGGTGTCAGCAAGCAACTGCAGAATGCTATAAATAACACATTTTGACTTCATGGAAGAGACAAGGTGTACATACTGTGCTTAATACAGAGTTGCAGTAGAATCTGTCTTCTGCTAGTTGTTCAAAATGGGGTATATATTAGGTACCCAGGTGTACGCATAGGGCATGTTAGGACTCTTGCATACCTACTTGCTGTGCCGCCGCTGTGGAGTGGCGCTATTCGGACCGTACGGTGTAACACGGCGGTTAACTAGATACATAGGATTCAAGTTTGCGGGAACTGCCGCCGGCAGTGGTGATCTCGTGGGGGCTGATAGAGTCGCAACTGATGCGTTGCCAAGAGGTTAGATTACTGCATGTTAGAGAGAAGAGGGAAGAAAAAGAAGAAAAGACTGTCCCCCCTCCCTACCCCCCCAAAATTATATCATGATATAGGGATTTGTGGTCGTCGATGCTTGCAAAAGAAAAGAAAACAGTAAAAATGGGGTTTGAGTTATGGAAGAACTCTACAGAATTCGCGCAGCTTATTGTGCTAACAATATTTACACCCATTGGCATCGGGCTAACGGTGTTACGTTTTGTTGCGGCCTATCGTGGCATGCGTAAACCAGGTCTTGAGGACTGGATGGCCGTGCTGGCTGCCTTGTTCTTCATGCTAACCAATCTTGGAGCTCTGATAGGTACGTTGTGTTGCTGCTATTATCATCCAACTTGCCGTTGTTAACACGCTGCGTCGCGTGTAGCAATTAGCATTCTCAATGGGCGCCAAATTGCCGAGGAAGTTGCTCAAAGTCCACTGGACTATGAGCATATGCGCAAGGTATGTTTCTCGTTACTCTCATAGGCAAGACTACGCCTTTCGTGATGCCTCCTTTTATCCCTTCTCTTCCTGTCTCGATAGGATAATCACACCAAATGTAGTGGGATATTGCCGCCCTTTACTTCTACTTTGCGCACACGCTCTCCGTGAAGCTTAGCGTCCTCGCTCTCTATTACCGGATCTTTAGTGTAAACCGCCCCTATAGGATCTGGATCTACTTGTTGGGAGCGGCACAAACGGTTCTATTCATCATCTTTTGCATCTTCCAGGCCCTACAATGCAGACCGTTTAACAGATATTTTGACCTCTCGATACCGGGGACTTGCACGGACGAAGGAACGGTGATAATCGGTGGCGAGACGCCAAACTCGCTCATCGATTTTGCTATGGTTATTCTTGCCATGTTCATGATCCGGCCTCTTCAGCTCTCATCTGCTATGAAATGGAGGCTCAGGGTTCTTTTTGGCCTTGGCGCCCTGTCAGTCTAATTTTTTTTCTTGTGACTGTTTGGGGCTACTTGCTAACTACAGCGATTGTCTTAGTGTTGGAATAATAGGCTTCATCAAAATCGCTATTACTTACTCCCCGAGCAACCTCTGTAAGCCATATATGGCCCTTGGGCCCCTTTTCACACTTACACATACTAATTTTCCCCTTTACCAGACGCTTTCAGTATGGTCTCCATCTGGACCTGTGTTCAGATGTTCGTCTCTTTGCTCTGCTGCTGCCTACCCGTGCTCCATCCCATCCTGCCGACCGCCGCGTTTTGGAGCCGGTTCTCCTCGCATATGGTCAGCTATATGACGTTTAGGCGGGCTTCGGGAGCACGAACGACAACACAGTCAGCAAAAGAGTCAAGCAATGGTAAAGGGTTCCATAGGACAAGAGAGCCCCGCCTGGCCGCCTGGGAGTATCTGGAGGACAACAGTGCCCGGGGCCTCTCTTGGCCTGAGGCGACACACCAGACAGATACTTATGCCCTACGCGAACACAATTTGCGAGGGGCACATTCGGAATCACACAGCATACTGGTGGAAAGGCGATTCGATGTTGTCTAATTGGAGGGTTGGCTACTGTACGGAGGGATTGGGGGCCGTGTTGGAAGGATTGGGGGTTGTATTGGAAGGATTGGGGGGCGTATTGGGGGGCGTATTGGGGGGTTGGTGCCTCATACGTGAGCATCTATAGTGAGGGGTATAGCTACATAGCCCACACTCATTGTTTGTGTTTGTGTTTGTGTTTGTGTTTGTGTTTGTGACACCAAAGCGTTACGAGGTTTATTGCCAAAACAAGGCATATTGTTTATTATTACATGTAACTGGGTATCTAAATTTGATAAAGCTTCCGAACAGCATGCCACCTCACTATCTTCCTTTCAACCTAGGTAAAATCCAGGATTCCATAAGCGTACTCTTAACACATCGCCATACGCTATACGCTATACGTTACTCCTAGCTATGCCGTACCCCGCGATCCGTTTGTTGTTCGATATGGGGACAGCACAGCAGCTGCTTACCTTCGTATTTGGAAGTGTATGTCTGTCTACTACCTGTTTTGAATCGAATTTTCTTCCTTACTGTCTTAGGTTGCATTTAGTCTAATACTTCGATCAATCTACCGCGTATACTTCCACCCATTGTCCAAGTATCCCGGCCCAAAAATCGCGGCCATCTCAGATGTTTGGTATGCATACCATTCGTAAGTAATACCCCTCCCATCCCTTGATGACGACATAGGATACTGTGGCTCATCAAATATATAGATTGGCAGGACGATGGCCCTGGGCCGTCGAGAGTGCGCTCAAAAAGTATGGTACGTGCGAAGCCTTGCTGCCAATGTTGCTTCTTTGCCGGATGCTGACTAGTATACCTAGGCGACGTTGTCCGTATCGCACCCAACGAGCTGGTTTTTGTCACTCCGAAGGCTTTGGCTGGTAAGCGTTGCAACAGTAAACATGTTCTCTACTCGGTGCTATCGGTTGATATAGACAATACAGATCTCTACGGCTCCCATAACAAAAACCAAGAGCTTTTTCCAAAAACGCAGATTAACAATCATGGAAATGACGAACATGGCGGTCTTATCTGGGAGTGGGATCCCGTACGACACCGTCAGGTAGCTAGAAGATTGTCTCCAGCTTTCAAAGGGTCGGCGCTCAAAGCCAAAGAACCGACTTTACATAGATATATTGACCTTTTCGTTGAACGTATGAAGACGCTAGGTGGGAGGGTTGAGGGGGTCAGCCTGCCTACATGGATTAACTGGTTATGCGTGGATATTTCGGCCGATATGGCCTATAATCGGGAGATGAACGCTCTAAAAGACAGTAAGTTACTTATAGACAGGTTCCCTTTCTTTCCGCATCTTGAAAAACTATACTGATTTCTTAATAGTGAAAACCCCGCCGTATCTCAGTCTCCTTTCAGGTTTTAATAAGGCCTTAGTCGTTATCCAGATGTCATGGAGATTTCCTTTTCTCAGCCCGTTGAAATATCTCATCCTATTCACCACCATGAGGCCCCATTCCCACATTAGGGACCACAGCCGTGAGCAGTTGGAACGGCGTATTCGACGTAAAGGTTCTGCTTTGCACCTCGACTTTTTCGAACAGATCATTCCAGAAGACCGCGAACCTCCAAAAGACCGAAAAGAGCTACGGCATTTGGAACAAGTTGCAGGCCAGCTACTGGTGGCGGGATACGAGCCTCCGGCGTTATGGTTTTATTTTACTATCTATTATCTCCTTAAGAACCCTGATATTCTGCAAACATTAACAGACGAAATTAGGGGTGCTTTTAAGGCTTACGACGACATTACGTCAGATACAGCTGCATCATTAACTTACTTGACAGCCTCTTTAAAAGAATCACTCCGAGTAATGCCAGGCGTTCTTACGGGAATGCCGGTTGTTAGTCCAGGAGCTTTAGTAGATGGGACCTTTATTCCGAAGGGGGTAAGCTACCCAGATTTTATTCTTCCCATTTTCCGTTCTCGTATTATTTAGTAACTGTCAAATATGGTTTAGGTTATTTGTCAATCCAGCTCCTTTGCGCTGGCACGTAGCAGATATAACTTCCATAAACCATTGGACTTCCGACCCGAGCGCTGGTTACCGAAGCAGCACCCACTCTACGACCCGCAGTTTGCCGATGATAATTGTAAAGGCTTCCAGCCGTTCAGCCAGGGCCCTCGGATGTGCGCAGGGAGGGAGATCGCCTGGTGGCAAAGTAGGTTGTTTATAGCTAAGGTTTTGTGGACATTCGATCTGGAAATGGTCTCGGGACAAAATATCAATATGGACAAAGACTTGAGAGGATGGGGTATGTACGAAAAGCCCGAGGTTCGCGTCAGATTTGTGCCGGCAGTGCATACTACACGGGCATAGCTTGCGGTCTTGGTATCTTAGGTCTTCGACACGAAATCCTCTTCCGTTGCCTCCAGGTATCTTTTCAAATTCTATCGAATGCGAAACATGTGGCGGCCAGGAAGTACTTGCCGCTCCTCAGAACGGTACTTCACGGATCCTCAACTAATAAATAACGATCTACTTGAATTCCGCTCAAGTATCATGTGTAATAGTCATAGCCTGCCTATCGTGTATCCATACCTCGCCTAATGGCTACCCTGGATTTATATGCAGTTGGTTGGCGACTTATGCAGTTGGCAATCTTTAAAACAAAAGGCAACGTAAGCGCTAACCCCCACAGCTGAGATAATGTTACACAACTGATACGTACTATTAGTACGTTGATATGAAGCAATATTGCTGAAATTCTTGATCTGATTGTGTTGAGATCGTGGGAACGCGTTATTCACCCCTAATTACAGAAAAATAGGGTTCTTAGGTCACCTGACAGGGATGACTAATCTGACGATTACTTATGTAATATACAACAACATAATTGGACCCTCTAGTCGTTAAAAACCTTTAGGTAAAAATTCAAGCGAGCTTATTTCAACGTCTCTTAATGATGTACCCATCTAAAGGAGAATGTGCTACATACATGTACTTAACCTAGGTACCTACCTACCTATATATTAGGTACATATGTGACCCCAAAGGATTACCCGATGATTGCAACCAGCTTTTTACCTGAAACCTGTCCATTAGCCAATATTTCTAGCCCTTTTACAGCCCCCTGCAATCCTCCGTCCAACACCTCTATCGGATGCGCCTTTAGTCTCCCTTGGTCCAACAAACGCTGAACCGCCCCCAAATGCTGCACCGCTAACTCGTGTTTTTCTCTACTCGCTGGCCGATCATACCCTCTCTGCCCCAATGTGATGTCCTCGCCGTAGATATCGGCGGCTAGGACAAATGCGGAGCGCACAGCCTCTCGCGTAGCTAGCAGCTCGTCAGGGACGCGTTCTAGCAACGCACAGCGTCCGCCCGCGCGTTGGATTGCCGCGTAGCAGATAGAGACGCTGTCTGCATCGCTAATGCAATCTAAGACATACTTGAGCCGTCCATTTGTGTGCGTCTTAATTTTGATAGCGACATCTGGTGTAGAGTAGTCGAACACGGCGGAAGCGCCCCTGTCGCGGACTAAATCGAAGTTCCGCGGTGAGCACGTGGCGATGGGATCGTAGCCTGACATCCTCAGAAGTTGTACGGCGATTGTTCCCGTGGCCGTACTGCCGCCGTAGACGAGCACTGGGATAGGCTTCTCGTGGTGGACCGGGGCGTCTAGAGTCCCTAGAAGACCAAGGGCGTCTGGAGACCAAAAGGCTAGGATACAAGTCGAGATCGCCGTGGCCAACGTCGCTGCCTCAAGAGGCCCCATAGTATCCTTATGTGTGGAGGAAGGGGGGCTAACGCGTAGCAATAGGTCGACAGGCGCGCGTACGTATTCGGCAAAAGCACCGTTGACCTTCCGATGTGTTGGTGCGAAATTGAAAGCGGCGCCACTAACCATAGTTCCAGGCTTCAAGATATCGGTGTTAACGTCGTCGGCGGTCTGGACCACAGTACCGGAAAAGTCAGACCCGATATAACCGCCCGGGATGGGGAAATTGTGGAGGATTTTGTGGTCAGAAGGATTGAGAGCGACGGCATACGTCTTGACGAGCGCGAAGCCAGATGGGAGCGATGGGATGGATGCCTTGGAAACGACACGCGGCTGTCCATTCTCGTCTTGTTGGACGGCTCGTTGGAAAGATGGGAGCTGTGTTGCGGCCATTGTAGCTAGGAAGCGCACTTATGACTGGTATTGGTATTGGTGAGCATGCAAGGTTTTTTTTAATTTATCTTCGCCTTCAAGTTTGTCCTATAAATAAAACGCCTCGGGTATAACTAATCGAATTTAATTCCAGTGCACATCGGGCGTTGGTAACTTGGCTTCGAGTCGCACAACCAAAATTAAGATAAATGGCAGCAATTGTATTAGATCAATATTGGGGGCTGAATGACATCAAAAAAGATGCCCCATAGGTCATGTTTTTTGACAGCATTCTGCTCAGGTAACACTCGGGCCCTTGAGCAAAATAGGCACAGCCCTTTGCTTAATGGGCTGTTTGTACCTGTTTGCAGTGAGAAAAAAAGATTTTGGTACTGTATACATGCGTCTTTGCGAAGTGCTATGTACCAGGCAGGTAGTGTTGGAACGCAAAATAATATATAAGTACATGTACGAAGGCTCGGGGCCAAAAGTCCTGCACATCTGGTCTTGGCAAGCCATGTATGAGTAAAAAAGCGACCGCACGGTATTACTTGAGTTATAGTGGTTGATGTCGCTATAGACATACATAGTGGTAAGCCACTCAAATTTAGCGTATGGGCCACTATCTAAATTTTGGCTTAGCAGGTAGTCGATACAGTATTAATAGAAAATGATAACTTTTGAATACGGTGCTAACCTAGGGATCTCTAGGTTACATACCTAGGTATGCAAGACTTTTGGCCCGGGCCTTCGTAATTGCCTTATTATTCTTATTCGTCCCTATACCCCCCTAGCCCCCCCCCTTTTTATAATCTCTAGAAGACAAAAATCTCAAAAAGAGAAACGATGGCTGATGGCGTTGTTGAGACTGATACGACCAGAACTGAGGCGACTAATGCTCCTGCTGTAGCAGAGATGGCAGGAGAGAAATCACCACCCCGTGCCGAATCGCAAAATTCGACGCCACAGTTGACCGAGACCGAGGCCCAAGAGTCTTCTCCGCCGGTTTTTAAGCCTAGTTTTCGAGTGTATGCCATCATCGCCGGGCTAGGCATCACAAATCTACTAGCAGCACTAGAAAACACGGTTGTTTCGATCGCGGCGCCTGTGCTCCTGACGGACCTAAAGCTCGGTGACAACTTCATCTGGGTCATCAACGCCTTCTTTCTTTCTAGGTATGCACTGCAACCAACTACGACTAGTTATCGCCGTTAATATTTTTATCGCCAAATTAGCACCGCAACCCAGCCCTTATTCGGCCAATTCTGCAATGTCTTCGGTCGAAGATATGTCATGCTCACGGTCGTCGCCATATTTATGCTCGGCAGCGGCATCTGCGGAGGGGCCATGACAGGCGGTATGTTAATCGCGGGGCGAGCTGTCCAGGGCGTCGGCTCAGGTGGTATCATCATGGTGTCGAGCATCATCATCAGCGACCTGGTGCCGCTTCGCCAGAGAGGCTACTTCTCGGCTATTCTTATGTCAATCTTCGGCATCGGCTCCGCGCTGGGCCCCTTTATTGGCGGCGCCATCGTTTCTTCAACGACGTGGCGTTGGATTTTCTACATGAACCTACCAATCGGCAGTGCAGCATTTGCTGTACTCTTCGTATTCTTACGTGTCAGCTACAATAAAGAAATGTCGTTTTGGCAGAAACTAAAGCGTATAGATCTAGTTGGTAATTGTATACTTGTAGCCAGTACGGTGTCTGTCCTATATGCCCTGAGCTACGCAGGCACGCGATATCTTTGGCAGTCATGGCACACACTCGTTCCGCTCCTCGTAGGCTTTCTAGGCCTATTTATCTTCACGTTGTTCCAAGCCTTTGGTCTTTCAGCCGAACCCCTCATGCCGCCACGCTTTTTTCGAACACCCACCTCGGTCATCCTAGCCATTAACACATTCCTCTACTCGGGCCTACTTTACTGGTGCATATTCTTCTTGCCCGTCTTCTTCCAAGGCGTTCTGCTTTACTCACCGCGTCGATCTGGCGTTGCCATGCTCCCCATTTCGCTTCTTGGTGTGCCTGGTTCTATATTAGGTGCCATTGCACTCGCCCGCTGGGGCCGCTATAAGCCGATTCATATAGTCGCGTTCGCCATCCAAACCCTCGGACTCGGCCTATTTACGCTGCAGCGGGAAGAGACAACTATTGCTCAATGGGCTATATTTCAGTGCATCGTCTCTTTTGGTGGAGGTATGGTATTTACAACGATGCTGCCGGCCTTCCAGGCGTTTATTCACGAGCGTGATCTGGCAGCCTGCACAGCGACCTGGTATTTTATCCGCCTGTTTGGCCATGTTTGGGGAGTAGCGATTCCAGCCGCCATTTTCAATGACCATGTAAACGAGTTGTTGGCTCAGGGAGCTATTTCCAACCCCCAGGTGGCCCAGATCATCGGAGCCGGAAGCGCGTACCAGGAGGCATCAGCTGACTTCGTTCATCAGTTTCCGTCGGAACTGCAAACCGAACTCCGCGCTGTTTACAGACAGGCGATTCAGCGTGTCTTCCAAATTGCCATTGTATTTGCTGGAGTTGCGTTGCTATTGACTCTGTTTGAGAAGGAGGTAGAGCTGCGCAAGACACTTGAGACCGAATTCGGTCTGGAGGAGAGAAAAGACAAGAAAGCCGGTGCTGAACAAGATACCGAGAGGGGCGGCCAGATAAAGCAGACGTTGTCATAGGGCAGAGAGATCTGGTTATCGAACCAGTAAGACCATCTCCAAGGAGGAATTTTCACTTAAACTCGTTGTTTCTGCTGCATAAAACTGCCTGACTTCTTGTATTAGTCCTTGTCGAAGTGAAAACGAAACTACAAATGCGATTCCATTTTGCCTAACCTAGTGCATTTTGAGGTAATATGTCGTTATTAGTAGACTGTAGACTACTTAAGGCAACTAATATAAGAGATTGCCAATGAATTAAACTAGCCGTAGGGCTGATACTTCAATGGTTCAGGATGTTAGGATGTGGTTTCCGTGACCAAAGTCTATGTGTACCTAATGTACCTAGGTACCTGGTACCTATCATGTAGATGCATTCCATCCCATCCCTTACCTGCAAGACTTAATTCCCGGTATGCCGCCGACTGTGCGACCCTACCTTTACGCCACAAAATAACGATACCGAGGTTCACATGCAGAAGTGGGGGGTATTTAAATGGCATATAAAACTTATGTTCTTGTACTTGATAATTCTACCCCATCATCCCCTTTCTAGCTTTGTTGGACGTCATTCCGACCTTAGTAAGAGTTTATCGGAGAGTCTCGCCATGGCCTCAAACAAGGTAGAAGGGACCTATATCCCTTTTTCTGAAGCCATAAAGGTCACGAAATTGGATTCCCACACGTATAAAGTCTATCTTAACGAGGCCTTCTGTCTGGGTACAGGTGCGTAAAGAAACCACAAAACAACTAACCCCTCTATCTAATTTATATAGTCTTCTGATTTCAACTTGATCTAGTTCCAAATGGGGGTTATGCAGCCTCGTGTATGCTCGCCGCGGCAAGTACGCACCTCTCCTCACGTAACCAATCGGACACGCTCACTGCACACTTTGAGTATCCTAACCGAACGGCCGTTGGGCCTGCTATCGTGGCAATCGAGGAGGTGAAACTGGGCCAGCAATTATCCACACTCCATTTGACTCTCTGGCAAGACGGACTACTCTCACAAGCACCGTGGATCACCCCGTCCGTCTCGCGACGTACCGTGCTCGCTTATACAACCCACACGGATTTGCGGAGCTTCGCTGGTATCTCGCTACCCACAGGCTACGAAGGAACGCCCGCCGCGGCGCTTCCTCCCCTACCAGACTTCAAGGCGCTTAAGACCATCGGCAGCGACGACGCTTGGGAGGAGTCCAAGGTTCCCGGGCCCTCCAGGTTTGTACGCTCGTTGTTGAATTGGCACTTCTACCTTCCTCGCGCAGGCGCTATAACGCCCGGAGTCCTGGATATGTGGATTCGGCTGGCGAGCGGGGAGTGTATCACGCAGAGCGCCTTGGCGTACGTGGCGGACTCGTTCCCGTTCAACCTACATCTATTCCTTGCGGCACCCGAGCTGCGTCAACTTCTAGAGTCGCAGCAGGACCCGGGCGAGACGGCAGAGAAGCAGGCCCGGCGTGAGGAGCTGAAAGAGAAAAACAAACAACGCGCGGCCTTATGGTTCCCAACTGTGGTAATGAACTTAGAAGTGAAGACAGCTCTGCCGCAGGAAGGTGTTGAGTGGTTAGCTGTACGGATCACATCGAAGCAAATCAAGGATGGGAGGTTCGATCTCGATATGTTGATAAGGGACGTGGAGGGCGAGATCGTGGCATTGAGCCACCACGTTGCGATGATCTTAAGCGTTGAGAGGAATGTTGGCAAACGGGACTCTTCGGGCAAGGCGGCGTTGTAAAGGGTTACGAACTCGATGTAATATTTCATCATATTCTTCGCGGGGACTTATACATGTTCCTTGGCCGGGGAAAGTGTATCATAAACACTACATTATAACTTCTCACCTCTGTCACGAGGTGGAACTAAACAGTAGAAACAACTCTAACCTTAGGTATACATACTGAACATGTTGTTTGTTCTAGATGTATTATCTAGAATCCTGACAGCCTATATTAATTACGATGGCGTGGTCTTGAATCTTGAAATTAGAGATCCTTTCAAGTTTCAGCCCTATGGAAATCGCCGGCAATATGAGGTTGAGTTGTTAAAGTTTCCAAATACTTAGGTCCCTCAGGCAGGTATCTATGTACCTTAGGTACATAATATAATCCAATAGTTACGTAATCCCAATCGCAAGTGGAACATTGAAGTAACACAAGCATTTTTCAAGGCAACCCACCTAAATCACGTGATATAAAAATTAGCCCGTGCCCCTCGCCTTCGTAAACCCACAGAAAGTGGCACAAATCCAAATTCTTCTTCATCAGACATCGTGGTTTTTTTTTCACCGTCGTCACTCGGTAGCATCAATCTCCTCAATCCCTTTTAATCAAGGAGATTGCCCAAGATGCCGCCCCCACCCCACCAAAAACCTGAGAATGTTCTCAAGCGAGCGCAAGAGCTCATCGGTGTCAACCAGGCTCCCGCCGCCCTGAACCTCCTCCACGATCATATTACATCCAAACGTTCACGAAATGTCCCCATCGTCTCTTTGGAGCCTGTGATGCTCCTCTTGGTCGAGCTTTCTGTTGAGCAGAAGAAGGGAAAACTCGCCAAAGATGCGCTCTACTCTTATAAGAATATCGCTCAGAATACCAACATCAGCACCATCGAACTTGTACTCAAGAAGTTTATTGAGTTGGCCGCAGAAAAGGTTACAGAGGCACAGAAGAAAGCAGACGAGTTGCAAGAAAGCATCGAAGCCACCGTTACCTCAAGTATCGATGATTTGGAAGCGAGCGAAACCCCCGAGTCCATTCTGTTAGCCACAGTCTCTGGCGAGCAGTCCAGAGACCGCACCGAGCGTGCTGTCGTCACACCGTGGCTCAAGTTTCTTTGGGAAGCCTACCGAACCGTTCTCGATATCCTCCGAAACAATGCTAGACTAGAGATCCTCTACCAGAGCACCGCTACCCAAGCTTTCGACTTCTGCCTTAAATACCAGCGAAAGACGGAGTTCCGACGGCTCTGCGAGCTTCTGCGCAACCATGTCCAGACCGCCGCCAAATACTCGAGTCAGATGCATGCCATCAACCTTAACGATCCCGATACACTACAACGACATCTTGAAACTCGTTTTCAGCAGTTAAATGTCGCCGTCGAACTTGAGCTCTGGCAGGAAGCGTTCCGAAGTGTCGAAGATATCCACACTCTCCTCAACCTCAGCAAGCGGCCTCCCAAGAACATTATGATGGCCAATTACTACGAGAAACTCACTCGAATCTTCCTCGTCGGTGAGAACTACCTCTTCCATGCTGCCGCTTGGTCCCGATATTACTCTCTTCTCCGACAATCCGCCGCTCTTGTAGCGACCGGCCAGAGTAAGAAGTCCGACAACCCTTCTGCCACAGAGGCCGACCTCCAGAGAGCTGCTTCCTTTGTTGTTCTGTCGGCTCTTTCGATTCCTGTCATCAGCACCTCTCGATCTCGGGGCGCGATGGTAGATTTTGACGAGGCTAAGAAGAACAAGAACTCGCGCCTCACCCATCTACTAGGCATGGCCAGCGCGCCTACTCGTGCCGGCCTGTTCCTAGATGCTCTTTCTAAGTCACTTCTGAAGCGTGCGCGCCCGGAGATCCGGGACCTCTACAACATTCTCGAGGTCGATTTCCACCCTCTATCTATCTGCCAAAAGATTTCTCCTATTTTAGCCAAGATCAGCGCTGATTCCGAAATGGAGAAGTACATCTTGCCACTCCAACAAGTCATCTTGACTCGATTGTTTCAGCAATTATCTCAGGTATATGAGTCTGTTGACCTCGCCTTTGTGGAGAGCCTTGCCAAATTTCCGGATCCTTTCCAGATTTCTCGTGGAACTATTGAAAAGTTCATCATGAATGGAAATAAGAAGGGTGACCTCTCAATTCGCATGGACCATGCTACCGGAGTACTCAGCTTTGATAAGGATGTATTCTCATCCTCCAAGGCTGTCCATGCTGGCTCGGCAGCTGGTTCCGCAGAAAGCCCCGTTGGGTCTGTGCAGCGCCTCCAAAACACGCCTTCGGAGATTGTCCGCTCGCAGTTGACTCGTCTCACGACTACTTTATACACGACTTGTTTCTATGTTGATCCGTCTTACAGACAACGCCTAGGAGAAGCTCGGCAGGCTGCATTGGCCAGAGCTAAAGACGGCGCCGAGCAGGAGCATCGTGAAACTCTGGCCCGTAAGGAAATTATCCAGAAGCGAAAGGAAGAGGCATCCGAGCTGCAGGCGAAGAGGGAAAAGGAAAAGGCAAGACAGAAGCGACTTCAGGAGCAAGCATTGGCCGAAGCTGAGGAGCGACGGCTGGCTCAAGAACAGAAGGAGCGTGAGGAGAAGCGCCTCAAAGACGAAAGAGATCGTGTCCGCAGGGAGGAACTTAAGAAACAAATCGCCGACCTTAAGATTGGTCCAAATGCTATCGACATTGATATCGAGAACATCGACGATTATGACAGCAACCGTCTTCGTGCCATGAAGCTCGCCCAGCTCGAAAGAGAGAAGAATGATATTAATGAAAGGCTTCGGATCACCGGCAAGCGTATTGACCATCTTGAGCGTGCTTTTAGGAAAGAAGAGGTCAAGAAGCTTCCTGAAGATTATGCTAAGCAGCGAGAGCGCGACTTGGCCGCATACGAGGCCATGAAGGCAGAGACGTTGCAGGAAGCTGAGGAGAAACACAAACAAAGTGTTGAACTAAAGCATCGTCTAACCCGACTCATGCCCTACTATGAGTCGTTCAGGAAGTCTCTGCACGATCGTCGCCGTGATGAGTTCGAGAAGCGTCAACGTGACGCTGAGAGAGAACTGGAGAAGCAGATTACAGCTCGAAAGAAGGAATACCGCGAGCGTAAGCTGCGAGAGAAGCGAGAGCGGGAAGAAAAGGAGAGGGCCTTGCGAGAGGCCGAGGAACGCGCCGAGAAGGAGAAGAGAGAGCAAGAGCAGCGCGCCGAGGCGAAGCGCCAAGAGTTAATCAAAATCAAGGAGCAGCGAGACAAGGAGCGTCAAGAGGCTCAAGAAAAACAAGCTCTTCAAGAGAGGATTGCCGAAGAGGCCCTGGCCAGAAGACAAGCAGAGAAAGAAAAGGAGCGCACACAATTCAGCAGACGCGAGCCAATTGCCATGGCTCGTACCGATTCCAACGATCGGCCTTCCGGGGCTCCGCGTCTCCCTCTTGTCGGTGCCAAGGGATCTTGGCGTGAACGCGAAGCTTCGAAGAATGCTGCCGCTGCTGGTAGCAATGGGCCAAGCCGTACCGGTACTCCCATGGAGCGCACCGATTCTAACGAGCGCCCCGCTGAACGTGAGCGCCCTACAGAGCGTGAGCGCCCTACAGAGCGTGAGCGCCCTACCGAACGCGCATCTGGGCCTCCCGTACTAGCCCTTCAAGGAAAGCAAGGAAAGCAACCCAGCTGGCGTGATCGCGAGGCTGCCAAGGCTGCCGGTGCTTCTCAGAGTGGTTCCAGAGACAGGGAGAGTGCACCCGCGCCGGCTCCCACACAGGCTTCTGGTGAGACTCTGAAGCCTTCCGGTGCTCCTGGAAAGTGGGTGCCGCGGCATGTCCAAAAAAAGCAAGGTTAGGCATTGGAGGACCGGCGTTACGGAGGTTTGGGTTCAGTATGACAGTTAGCTTGTAGTTTAGATTTACGAAGAGAAATAAACTGCCTTCTAATCTACGAATGTACGAGAACTCACAGCTACTTGCATGCTCTGTTTGCTTACAACAATACATCAGGTTAAGCGAGTACCAGATCGTTACCCTAGGCATAGGAAGGATAATGTGTGTATATCCAAGGCCTTACCTTATATACCTTATCCCTGTATATAGTAAGGTATTCATCAATGGTTGTGATGGACTTCTAGTTAATACCAAGCGTCTAGCTCCTATCTACTAACTTAGTATTATGTGTATGCGCTACCAGTCACAGGTATCTATTATATTTGGGATTTATTTTTGTTTTTTTTCACGTTTATCCAAAGGATGGCCATTCGGCATCATCTCCAAGACGTAGCCAATATTGGGCTCCCATCATCCGCACGGCGTGGGATGGGATCGGCACTCAGCTCGATCGGCTTCTCATGCGTTGCTAGCTCTTTGACGGGATAAAATCCAGACAGCGTATGCTCCGTCGGAAGCTCGTTCACTGGTGCACCCTCCAGTTGCACCTTTTTCTCCGCCTCCAATATGCTGTCTGTCCCATTATAGTCTCCTCCGCCCTCTTCCTGTGGGCCAACATCCGCAGGCTCTTCTCCTTGCGTACGCTTCGAATGGCCTCTACCTAGTCGGAAAGCGTAAAGTAGCAGCCCTCCCGTAATCAAGATACACGCAACACCCACCCCAACAGCTATCCCAGCTATAGCACCTCCGCTTAAACCGCCTCCGCCTGTATTTGAAAGGCTCTGCTGTTCGTTGCTCGGCGGCTCGGTAACGGCGACCGGTGAGGTCATGCTTGTTGCCGACGTGGTAGGTGATGATGTTTTACCCCATGAAGCGGTCCAAACTGGTGGGTATCCGCCTCCTGAAAAATCATTACTAACTTCTTCCCCATTATCGTTACAGTAATTTACAAATTCCGAATGCAGCGTATCTGTACACAATGTATTTAGCTCTGCCCCTCGGCGCGGGTAATCAAGCTGCGGTAATGATAGATGGTGGTGAACACATACACGCGAGCTGCTCCGAAGAGTTGGAACATGCCCCCTGGGCACAGGATAACGAGCCTATCCCTATATACCGGATATTGCTACACAGACATTTGACATCGTCGGGTCCGGTACAGTTCGAGTTTTTGCTAATTGACGACTCAATACACGGCTGGGCACACTCCGCGAAGTACATGGTGAGATTCTGAGAGGCGACGGCCAAAGCGATCAATGCCAGCATGGGGAGGATGGCCCGTAAAGGTGTCATTGCGATATAATGCCGTCGTTCAAGCTGTCTCGTTCAGAGACAACGCCCCCGTAACACCAAGGGCTTAAGCAAGGAAACATAAAGCGGGTAAGTAGGCAATATAGCGAGCGAAGAATATGGGGGGGGACTTTCAAAAAAGAAAAGGGGCACGAGGCTAACGGATATGGTTCCCCGAAGGATTTTTTTCAGAAGAGATCTTCGGAGACAACCTCATTTGAATAGTAAATTCATGATCTGACATATTGTATTTCCTTCTTAGGAAATAGATAGCTCATGCAGCGCTCTACGTGGGGTTTAGGAGGGCGCGGCTACGGTCTAGGATATTATCAATGCGGTATGAGGGGCGGAAGGATTACAATGCAGCACGGGGACTGCGCCGTCTTAGTACGGTGAATATTCTATACTCCCTGTCCGAACCGGGTGGGTATACAAGGGGACTCGGTCCCGGGAGCCGTAAAAGAACTACGATGCTGCAATCTTCGAGAATCAAGATTACCTATATCTAGATCTCCAGACGCCATTTTTTTTTTCTCTTCTCGAAAGAGAAGTGTATAACCGCCACAAAGACAAAAAGAAATGACGGGAGGGCGATATCACATCTTCACTGGCTAGCCTTACATGTCATACGAGATACTATATATCACATTGCTAAGGTAGCAATGGTGGCTGCAGAGAGGCGGGGTCCGCAGAAAGTATTATTCATGATGCGGTAGTGGAAAAGCTGCAGGTTAGGGTAGCAGTCGAAGATACTTGCTTTTCTTGGCACATGGTCAGCTTGGGGGCATCGGTCCCGGGCGAAGGCCAGGCTACGAATGAAACATTCAGGCCTTTATTTATATAGTATTGCCTCTTTGAAAACCACTTAGACGGCACCGCAGACTCGATACTACTTTGTTAATATTATGGTAGTTATGGTGGATATATTATTCAGCCTGTTGCTTGAAGGGAAGTTGAGGGCTGGGTTGGTGAAGTCCCTGCCTCGCCGATTTTCTAGAAGCGGGAGGCCATGCTTCAAAGTAACGCAACGTAAGTAGGAGAGCCTCATGCAATAATAAAATAATTGCACATGTATTTTGGTAGGTAAATTGGTGTCACCTCGGCACTTATATATGTAAGAAGAACCTCCAATCTTGGTCGATTTCTTAAGATCAACGGTGTCTATTAAACAAGAGGACACCATTCGATCCTCTCTTTCTATGAAATATCTTACAATATCGAGTATCGAGAAAGCATCTGACAGTCAATAGCTTAGTCCTAGATTGACTGATTACTGTCTACGAGAATACCACTATGTAGCTCATCGCTTAAGGACCATTCGTAGATGGATAAAACCATCACGGCTCAAAGAAAGACTCTTAAGATGGAGGAGAACAGAGGAATTCTATCCTGTATGATAGTATGACAATGTCCTGTATCAACTGGCGGGAAAGGGGTAAGCCAACTATAAACAATGCATCTACGCGAGTTTTGCCTGTAGGGAATGCAAGTAGCAAAATGAAAAAGCCAACTTACCTAGGTAAACTCGTGGAACAGCCTCCACTTGAATAACCCTAACTTGGCGAGTTTATCGCCAAAAAATAAAAATAAAAAAAGCAGTAACTTCCTAGTGTTGTGACTAGGTCGTGACTAAACATGGACTGAACAGGTTCTTTCACTGCCTCCACCCCGGATCGAACGAGGGATCTTTGCATTACAAGTGCAACGCGTTACCACTGCGCCATAGAGGCCGATGAGTGCATGGGCCGGGTGCATCGCGTTATAAGCAAAAGACAAAGACAAAGACAAAGACGAAGCACAAAAAGCGCACGCCTTTTGAGAAATAAGGTTAACTTTTTTTTTATCAAGTTATAATGCGCTTACTTGATGAAATTCTTATAATATGGAATAAAATATAAAATATGGACCAATCACCTAATTATGAATGAAGATGGCTGTTTCCTTCTATGATGGTTACGTGACATCGCGATTGCCTTAGTCATCGTCTCGATTTATTACTTAGTATTCGGCCTGTTGCAACTTCTAGGAGCCCAAACTTCTCCCTAACAACTACCACATGTGCAATGTTGCCCAACATGGTCTATAGTCCCATTACTTGATATATTGACCAAGGAGTATATACATATATACCCACAGCTATATCATCGATATACTATTGGCTCCGTCATATCAAGCACGTGTCTTCTGAGATATCGGAGCCAGTAGAAAATGCTTGTTACAACTGCTTGTTGCAACTAGACCACGTGGGAACCCTCAGCGCGGTCGAAAGGGGTTATAGGGTCTGGAAGCTGTTTGTGTTAATACGAACTTTACTGCCCAATTCAGGGCGCCATGTCCTTCTGGTTCAAACCATGTCCTACGGATTTCGGGTTCTTATGGGGACTGCATAGGAATTGTCTTCCTACCACACGGCCAACTTTCACCTAAGGAACTGCAACAAGGCTGCCTCTAAGGAAGAAGTTCGGGGTTCGCGGAGCCAGCATCTCGCCGAAGAAGGCCTATCCCAGCTTTCTGGGCGTCATCTGCGGGGAACAGGTCAAATGTCGCTTAAAAGTGAGGCTTAGGTATGTATCGCACCACCTCGATAAGGACCCTAACCAGTTGCGATTACAGCGAGACCTGTATATGACCCTTCGATAAGCGCAACATTAGAGAAGGTGAGCCATTTTGCGGAGGGCTAGTTGGAATTGTGCCTGGTTTACCAGGGGCCGCGTGATATTGTTGATCAGTCTGCCTGTCCGCTCCTCACCTTCTCTAGCCAATCTGATGATGGCGCTGGGATGCACTGGAAGAAAGTCTCATGCAGGACTGCGTTGTTCTGCTGCAGGCTGCAAGTAGACAGCAACGGGAGACCAATAAGACAAACATGGAGTTACGCCAAGATTATACACATTATCTATGAGCTCTGTAAGCCCGTTTGTCTTTTAGCATTATCGTTTAAATGAAGCTAGGCTCGACGTACAACCATCTGACATATTTAGAGGTCGTGTTCTGCTCCTAGATGGGTTTACTAAGGGCAAGCAGATCAACGGCTGGTCTTACCCAATCTTAGAACTGATCATCCCTATCTTCTACTTCGGATTGGACAACCTATAGGCCTGAGAATATGGCAGAAGTCTATTGCACGTGTGTGATTGCCTACATGGAGGGGAGGAGGCCGCCTCCTAGAAGCGAGATGAGTTCGACTTTGGAAGCACTTGATAAACGCGCTCGACAACTCGAAGCCACATCCCAGGTCACACCACCTCCACCGTTTACTGAAACAACGTGGGACTCGCTTACATGGCGTGTGTGCCGTCTGTCGCGTTTACTGCCACCTGCTAAGGCGCTCAAGAAGGCACCGCCTTTGGGGAATGCCGCCTCTTTATCTCTCTTGAAGGGTGCCATCTCGACCATCAGCGTTCAGAACCAGATCCCCTGGTCCGTGGACGATGATTTGGAAGAAAAAGAATATATAAAGTTAGCTGCGCAATGGCTATACTTCTACGCGGGCCAACGCAATGTTGAGATTAGGCACCCTTCGTTTAAATTCGAGAACGTCTGTTCTCTAGCGCTGGATCTATCTCTCGAGGCTGAATCTGGGTACCCTTGGAATAGGCGACCGATACCTCCCCCTGGTCTCATGGCACCTCCGATGTTCAACACGCAAAGAGCAAGATGTTGTGGCTGCTGCTCCTGTAGTTGCCATAGGAACTCAAGATCGCGACGCGATTCGAGCGTGAGCTCGGACGGGAGTTCGCATAGGAGTTCGCGTCGTGGAAGATGGCCGGTCCTGGGATGGTTCAAAAGGCTCGCCTTCTGGCGTAGGAGACGCATTGCGGATGATTCTTCGTCATCATCGGGCACAATTGTGGATGACTGAAGGAATGGCCCCCTGATAGGGAGCGAATTGGGTTTCCATAAAACTTCATGTACCAAACATACCCTTGAGTTCATGTATTTACATTGGTGATACGAAAAGGTAGCACGGAGTAAAGTCAAGTGTGTGTGTGTGTGTTATTGGTAACGATAAACATCTAATATATCTAGATCAGGGACTTGAACATACGTGAAAACTGTACGACGATAATTTCTATGTAGTAATAACTATAATATATATATATCTCGGGAACAAAGCGGTTTCAGCCAACTGCCTATTCCCACTCGTATATGCACGCTACAAAAGAAATATATGCAAACTGTATAGCAATATATACCCTAACATACTTATGTGTATATGTTTCCCTTTTTCTTTTTCTTTAGACTCAGGGACGCTGCCTTTATAATAATGGTATAATATGGTATAATATGATATGATATGATAATCTTTCTCGAATCGTAGTCTCGCTGCTGTGCTCTGCGCACTTGATATGTTTAATTTGGTAAATGTAAATGTCCGTTATATCGCCGACCTCGTCCAATGTCATTACGTCAATAGGTTTGTATCGGCTTATATCGTAGATAAGTTAGGTTAGGTAGGTATATATACGTAATATGTAATATGTAAATATGAACTAGATGTATTAGTCATCTTGGCGCGTTGGAATCCTGCACGTCGGAATGAATTGAAACTCAATGTGGGCATTAGTATTCGGATATTCGGTATCGGAACGCTCTTTCTTCTTTTTTTCTTTTTCTCAACTCAACTCAGCGCAACTCAACTCAACTCATCACATCCATCTCTCGTCTCATCTCATCTCATCTCATCTCATCTCATCATCCTGCTCCATGTCCATTCCCCAGCCCCTGATCCCGATATCCGCCCTCCGGGCTCTGCGAATTACGCGTCGGCGTATGCACGCTGCTAGTATCGTTGTATACCTCGCTCCCCGGCAACTCGACGGGCGCCGGCGAGCTCGCGCGGCCGTCTTCTAGTTCTGCGAGAAGCGGCACGCCGGAGGAGCGCTTGTAATTGTAACCCCCGCCAGTTCCTCCTCCACTGCCGTTTTTCTTATCCCCGCCGCCGTAGTAGTCGGCGGGCAGTTCCTTGCACCCGCTATGCACGGTCGCGGGGCTTAGTTCCGCGACGCCGCCGAACTGGGTGTTGTAGTGCGCGTACGCGGGCGAGGGCGTTAGCGGCGACGGCGCGTACAGGCTGCTGCCGTTGTTGTGCATGGTGTAGGCTGCGTTGGGCGAGAGCTCCACGTCGTGCTGGTGTGGCGAGTTGTTGGCGGCGGCGGCGGCGGCGGCGGCCGGGTCTGCCCGCCGACGGCGCGAGTATGCGAATACGAACCAGCCTAGCAGGCCGAGCGCTGCGCTACCGAAGCCGATGCCTACGCCTAATCCGAGCTTGGCGCCTGAGGAGAGGGTGCTGCCTCCGGAGGGGGAGTCGGAGGATGTGGGTGATGCCGTGGGAGAATCCGATGCGGAAGTCGGCGAGGCGGAAGTTGGCAAGGTGGATGTTGGCGAAGTAGATGTTGGCGTAGCGGAAGACGTCGTTGCGGTGGCGGTGGCGGCGGCGGCTTGTGAGAGGAAGGCCTGCTTGGAGACGGCGATGGTGACGCCCGTGCCGGCGCAGTTGAACTCCATGGTATCGTAGACGGCATTAAGATCGGCGGGACTTTCTTTGGCGACACACTCGGCGGTATTGTAGATGAAGTTTCCCTTATTGGCACACAGGCACCTGTTCATTTCGTTTCCCGTGTTACCCGTGCATTTGCTGGCGTCGGCCGCGTCGTTTAGGCATTGCTGCGAGTCCTCGGGGTACGCCGAGAAGTCGTTAACAATGGCCAATGAAACTTGGGTTTGCAACGCGATGCTGAGCAACAGCGAGGTCGGTAACGTCAGGAACCACCTCATCCTGACCGGCTGGCTGCTTGTTATTTAGGTGCGGTATAGTGTAGTGCGGTGGATACTCGACTCGACAATCCAGGACTTCTAACTAACTAGTCGCGTTCGCAACGCTCGGCGGTGAGGACCGCTTAAGAGGGGTTGGTCGGACGCTACAAGATAGGAAAAAAAACAAAAAGATTGAAAAGAGGGAAAAAATGAGAATTGAGAAAGAAAAAAACGGTGCCTGAATGAATCAGTGAACACGGAGAAGACCGTCACCGCAGCAGCAACAACACCGGTAATTTACTTTTCCTTCAGCCTTAAAGGCCTGTCAAAAGCCAGCTGTCGTGTCCAATAATAAGAGAGGACATCGTGCATGGACGAAACAGCGCCCCATATTACACAATGTCCATCATGACTATATTTGGTTAACTACGGCCTGTTACGGGCTGCTAAAGTTTATACGGCAGAGGTCGTGTTACAAGTATGTATCCGGTTCCATGGCTCGACAGGGGAGGGGAGTCTACCTATGTATGTTGATCAGCTCAATATCCAGCCTTAGACCCTTGTCCTAGCTGCTCAGACTGCCAGGTAGGTTATTGGTCCTCATCAACAAGACATTCTATTCGTCCAAGCCGCGACACGGACTTTTGGATTGTTACCAAGCTGGCCAAGTTCCCTAGCACAAAATAATTAGGTATAATTAATTATTCCCTCGACGTCCTTGGCCCCTTTTATATTTCTCTGTCTATCTATCTATTATCTAATATCTAGGTTAGGTAAGTACCTAACCTACCTATCTAATGTACATAGTATTGTACTGTAATACCGACCCCCGTCCGGCATAAAGAATCCGCCGCTAGTCGCTAATCGATCTAGTCTCCTATCTAATCTCCTATCTAGTCTCCTATCTAGTCTCCTAAAATAAGAAAATAAGAAAATAAGAAACCGGCCTTTTCTTTTTCTTCCCGAATCCGTTGCATCATTGGATCGAGGCTCAACATGATACATACACGCAAAGATATGTACACTTGATTAAATTCAATTTCGATACACTTGTCTGAGCATTCAGCTAGATACGCCAATGCAGTAGTAATAACCCAGCCAGAATGCCGTGTCGCAGTTGGCGCCTCCATTGCCTAGTACCGTATTCCACGAACACAACTGATCGAGCGTGATTCCGTGCTCACTAGCAAAGCTGTAACAAAAATCACCCTTTTGAACTTGGTAGTATAACCCGCAGCTGTGAGTAGTGTTGGCTGCAACATCGGTTGGTACGGGAGCGGCTGTCGTTATGCATCTTTAGAAAGAGATATATTTACTCGATAGCCTGGATCCTTGAGCCGAGACGGTGATTAAAGGGGTAATGCGAGATGTACAATACTAACGCCATGTAATGCACACTGGGCACCGAATTCTCCTGAGAGATCGATGATATTTTCAGCCAGCGTTCGTAGCTTTATGCTCAACCCAGTCGGGCCTCGAAGAGCAACATCGCGGACCACCAACAAACATGACAGCGCCACATGTTTTACATGGCTGAAGTTGTCGATAGGATAGATTTGTGCTACACAAGCCACATATCTTTCCTTTCAGGGGGCAACGGTACGTAAGACTTCATCATGTTCATAAATGTCAAGGTTAGACTATCCGAGGCCTATCGAAGTGAAAGCAACGATTCCATTTAATAGGCTCGTTATTTCGAGCATGCTGCTTCAGCTAAGATTTTAACATCAGACCTCTGAGCTCAAGTAAAGCTCTTGGCTGACGATAATTTCGTTTGGCAACAAAACCAAGCTCACTCACTCACTGCCCGAGCAAGGTTTAACACACCCCATCTCAATCACGCCATGGAACCATCCGAAGCTACCCCGTGTCCATCAAAGCCTATCGTAATAACACCGTCGAGTGCCTTCAATCATAAGAATGTATATACTGCATTGGGTGTATCTAATCGTAATCCGCATCTCAACCACCAATTCTCAACCCCACCCCTTTCTAGCCTTGGCATCGCAAACAAGAACGTGTACGCCGACATCATATGGAAGAGCAAATCCTCGGAGCTGGGATCCAAGGTGGAAAGCTTTTACACGCTTTGCCAGCCAATTCAAGAGCCTCAAACTCCGCCCATGAAGTCAGGTGATCATATACGTGAGTATTCGCCTGTTTTGTTTTGTTTTGTTTTGTTTGAGAGCCGTCCTCGTCACAACTGTGACAACAAATAAAAAAAGCTCATTACCACGGGAAGGAGATCCCTTTGGGTATGAATGGTTTGGAAGTCGCATAAACCGCCACTTCGATATTGTACAGGGACAAGAAAACGCTATCAGGGTGAAGGATGTGTAGGATATGCGTATTGCACTATTAAAATGGTCCAACTTGACTACCCCGTCGTTGGCTCCCCGAATCATCCCCGTTGGTGCCATTAACAGGAAGCTTATCCGGGGATTCGTGGGCGCTCTTGATGCCGTTGACTAGTCTAGTACTCGGTAATTCGGTCGAAGGGGAAAAGTTCTCGCCGACGTAGTCTAGAGCCTCGTTCGACACCATGCTCCGAGGGGTCAAATGTGCTCCGTTCAGCACAGCTTGTTTTTGTTGATCCGTAAGGAGGTGTGTTAGACCCTGCTCAATGCAGATGCGCGCATAGTCGGGCTCATCTGGCGTGACTGCAACAAGCCCGCCCCTTCTTGGGACTCTTTGGTCTGGAAATGGGGTTTTGCTTGGCTGGTATGGCTGTGGCTTCTTCTCGCCTACCAATTCCCCATTAATATAATACTTGGATTGGGGTGCAAACCCTCCACGGCTTTCGGCATCCGGATCTTGCTTCCATTTGGCTGGAGTACTCCAAGTTGAGAGGGCGGATTCATGCTCTGGGAGCTCACAATACCAGATCGACAATTTGACGTTACGAAGATGAGGTATGGTAGGAACGATGTAGAGGAAGTCGGATTGCTTTTGACCACGTTAGTGTCAAGTAGATAGTGCTAACATGCCAATATATATGTGACAAACTTACTTTGATAAAGAACATCTCCATCTCGGAGAAACACTTCCACGCCTCACCACGAATCTGTTCGAGTCTCCTATAGCCAACTGACCAAGGATTACCTCCGTAGAAATTGGGTAATTGTTCTCCTAGGTGATACAGTTTGCCTTCTGTTAGAGCATATCTATCCTGCTCCAGACGCCAGATAACTCTCTTTGCTATATGCGATACTGGAATACGTTCCCACGCAGTATCTAAGGATCGATTAGTTAAACACGACGTCAAAAATAATTGTTTAGTAACTCACATCTTGTCAATGAGGTATCTTTCTCGCCCAAAAGTAGGGCAACTTGGGTGTTGAGCAACCACTGCTCGCATCCGTTTGCGTGACCAGTCGCCGAAGGGTTAATCGTATCATACCTTATCCCTCGCGCTATAGTGAAGAGCTCGGCTATATCCTTTTGCTTGGGGTTTGGGCAGGCATCAAGCCAACGTAACAGAGGAGGCAACTTGGATAGACGGATCTTCTCCATCTCCTCCTGGCGAGCACGCTGCATCTCGGCTTCGCGTGCAGCTCGCTCCGCACGTTTGCGCTCTTGTTCCTTTTGCTCTTCCTCCTCTCGCAAACGTTGAGCTTCTTCGGCAGCCTCCCTCTCGCGACGGATTCTAGCCTCTTCCTCTTGTTGCTTGCGTTCTTCCTCCTCCTTTCGTTTTCTCTCCTCTTCTTCCCGTCGTTTTCTCTCCTGCTCCTCTTTCTCCTTTCGCTCCTCTTCTAGTCGCACCCTTTCCTCCTCTTCTTTTCGCCTCTTTTCTTCTTTCTCCAGGCGGATTCGCTCTTCTTCTTGAAGACGTTTCTTTTCAACTTCTTCACGTCGTCGTGCCTCTGCCTCCTGCTTTTTCTTCTCTACTTCTTGGCGTTTTTGTTCGATTTCCTTCCTCTTCGCTTCCTCAGCAGCTATCGCCTCAGCTTCGGCTTGCTTTCTCTTTGCCTCTTTGCGCTCACGATCGATCTGCGCTTCGCTCTCTTCAACTGAATGTGTTTGGGGTGCGTCACGCATATCCACGTCAACGTCTTCGGAGGCTACAGTGATGCTAGTCTTTTCTAGTGGGCTTGCTTTATCTAACTCTCTACGATCGCGACTAGTCTTCTTAGCCTTTGGCACTTCTTTACGGTCGTCCGAGGGTCGCTGTGACCTAACGGTGTCCCGCGATGGGTCTCGTTTCTGCTGTCGACTTTCGGGGGAAGAGTTTTGAAATGGTCGTCTTTCTTTGCTATCGTGGTCTAATCTCCTTCTCTTAATAGGAGCGTCGGCATCGTCTTTATCTGCAAGCCCATGCCGAGGTGGCGTAACACTAGATCGAGGCCTCTTAGCTGAACCTTCACCTACAGACAACCTATCATTAGACTCGTCACGCTTTATTGCCTTCGTTCGATCATGGTATTTCTCGGAGAGCCGATCTGGTCGCTTTTCTGGTACATCTTCATTTCTCGGATCGCCACGCTCGGTAGTTGAGTTGTTTGACGCTAAGCTCGCGCGCCGCTGCTTTTCCCTGTGCCCCTTCAATTCTTTACCTGAAATAAGCTTCCTCCGCGGCTTTGCAGTTTCGGTGTCAGAGGAGTTAATAGCGGGGTCCGAGTCTACCAATTTTGACTTCGACGGAAGGGTCTTAGACACAGCAGGAGAAACCTCGCGATCTGATGTAGCAATACTTGAAACTCGCTCTTCCTTCTTGGGGCGTCCCGGCCCACGCTTAGGCGAGGTTTGTTCGTCATGATTGCCAAAGGAAAGAGAGCGCCTCTTCTCCTTAGGACTCCCAGAAACTTTAGTAGAGCTGGCCTTCTTTTTAGAATCGACATCTCGGGAGGGGCTAGATGGCCGACGCTTATGCGATCGAACAGCGTCCAAGTTCGACTCATTGCGGTTAGCACGTCTTGATTCTGGATCTAGTTCGCGATCACGGTCTCGCCTGCCCGGAGACTTTGTCTTGGAGGAAACTTTGGGCGATTTCTTAAATTCGTCGTAAGCATTCTTTAGAAGATGCTCTTCCTCCTTCCACATAGGTCCCTCCCGACGTCTAGCTATTTCGTAATAAGTCTGACCTTTATAACGACGAGTCGGATCAAAATTAGACGCGTTGAGTAAAAGCTTAATAACCTCGATATTCTCTCCACCAATAGCGGCTAACATTGGCGTCCCGTGTTCTGTTGGGAGACCCGGGACAGGTCGTAGCGGATCTGGGTTCGCGCCTCCTAAGGCGAGCAGGAGTTCTACCACAAAGCTATGGCCACCGCGAGCTGCATTGACCAAAGCCTCAGGGTCATCACAGCGTTCCTTGACTTGCAGTACGCGAGTCACCGTCTCATTGTCACCACGCGCTGCAGCTTGTCGGAGAGTCTTGTCATCGAGATTCATATACAACAGATGATTGCTGGTCTTCGTCGACCGTACAGCACCGCCGCGGCGTTGAGCCGCTAATGTGCTGCTGCCCGACGCCGCGGGTGAACGACGGGGACTTTCAGGTCCGTGGGAGGAAAGGGTATCCGGCATATCGTGAGGCGGGTGGTCTTCAGAAGTTCGCCGCAGCTCGCCCACCCTCTCCTTCGCCTCTCGCAACGCGGCTCGAATTTCTTCAGCGTTCTCTAGCTCGTCGGGTACTTTCTCCAACGGCTCGTGTCCTTCAGCATCCGCCTTTCGGGGGTTCACACCAGCCTTCAGCAAGAGCTTCACGACACCTAGATGGCCGTTCTCTACAGCATCAAGAAGCGGTGTCTCCTTATCACTATTCCGGCAGTCCAGGTTGCATCCCGCGTCAATAAGAAGTTGGACAATTTGTTCGTGGCCATTGAGAGACGCAACTTGCAGAGGCGTGTTTCCAGCGTAATCAGCAAAATTTAAATCTTCAGGTCGCTCGGTCAGCCGCTTTTTAGCAGCTTCGTATTCACCTTTCGCACAGGCCTTGGCGAGCAAGGTCTGCCCATGATTATCAACATGCTTCTTGTGGGCTGGCATCCTTGCGGGAGAGATTGTTGATTCACCAGTGACGGGGGTAGCTATACTTCTTAATTTTGAACTTCGAGGATACGGGCTTCCACTAGCAGATGAATCGTCGGAGTGATAATCGGTGGATTGAAGGGGTGCAGGTATACGCCTTTTCTTCGTGCTAAAGCCATTCGAAGACTGAGATGGAAGTTGCGTTGAAAGGCTACGTCGGTGAGCGCGACCATGAGGTGACAGCGATCGGTTGCGAGAAGTGGATTGTCTGTCGTGGGGAAGTCGGACTGATGAGGGTTTTTGGTCCTTCTCCCTAGCAACAGCTTGGTTGTCAAGGCCCGCGTCTGAAATACGCGGTCGACGAACCTTCCGCGACTCGCCTTCGTCGTCAGATTCTGCCTTGGGTGCCTTACGCTTGCCAGGCATTAACCTATCTACGGATTTCGACTTGTGTTTGATAGTATCTTTAGTAGGTCTCGTCTTAGATGATTCGGAGTCTGATTCCGAATGTGCATCACTGGACCTTCGACGCCGGTGGATGTGTTCGTGGTTATTGCGACGGTGTGGAGGCGGAGAAGCAGGAGCAGAGCTAAGCCCACTTGATACTTCTTTACTTCGTGGTTGCTTCTCTTTTCCAGGTAGTCGCTTCTTCCTTTCTAGCAAGGCTACATCCTCGGAAGGGCCACAATTGCGATCGCCGTTTTTACCATCCTTCAGATACTTCCTCGGAGGCGGCAAAACATCGTCAATCTCACCATCGCTCCTGTCTTCATGTTTTATTACCTTTCGAGGTTTCGACGGGGAGACACCGTCCTTGCCTGGCAGGACGATTGTCTCGGCGTCCGAGTTCTGATCAGGTCCAACATCATCATCCTGCGCACTGGGTAATATCGGCACGGATCGCAACTCCTTAGACGTGGAAGGGGGTTTTGTAGTCAGGGGAGGCTTAATGTTATTGGTTGTGGCGTTATTCGCTGTCACCGTCGACTTGGGATCTTCAGACTCAGCAAATCCCCGCTTCGGCGAGGCAGCCTGTTTCGTGTTTGCGGACTCGACAGCATTTTGCGCATCCATAGCATTCAATTCATATACCGAAATACAATACAGTACACCATGATGGCCACTCGTGGGTGACGATAGGGACAGAATTCGTATCGAGACTCTGTACAAGCTTGACGAATATGGACTACCCTACAATGGTACGAGTACGAACATAAACGGTCGGTCGCGGGTCAAACGGCTAAGGAACTGATAGAAAAACAAGACTTTGGACGGTCTTGGACTGGAACTGAGTACTAAATGGGATTGAAGAAATGTGCAGTTTGCTAAAATATCGCTGATAAACACGAGTTGTCGCAGATAATGACCGTCATCGAATGTGAATAATTTTCGGTGTAGGGAAATTATTTGCAAAATTGAAAAAGTACGAAAAGGATGCAGCAAACCAAAAGCACCTAACTGGGAGAAATACTAGGTTAACTACCTCTTAGGTTAGATAATAATAGAGTAGCAGGCAGGTAGCAACATGTAGGCAAGGTAGGTAGTAACAGATAGGCGGATAGGTAAGGCAGGGCAGAGTGGTAGGCAAAGCGCATAGAGATAGGAAACGACAACTGAACATTGGCAGCAGGAAGGCCAGACTGCCAGAGATGAGAGGGAAAGTGAACGGGTACTGGAATACTTGATGTAGGCTATGCACAAAAGTAGCCTAGCGGCTTATGTTAGTGTGGTAACACTAGGACTGTTTTCCTTGTGTAGCCATTGAAGATCAATTTCAAGATCAGTCTAACAAGCCGGGCTCTTTTTTTATTGGCTGCCGACCTAAATACGGATGGGTCGGGTGGCCGGTATTTCCGCAAATTTGCAAAGCTCTGAGTTGCTCTTGAGTTGCTTCCTTGCCCCCCGACTGCGGCAGCCCCTGCTTACTTTGCTGTTCTGCCAGCTTTCACTGCCTGTCTCTGCTCGTTTCCGCCCCTCATTTCCCCAGTTCTTTCCAGGCTTTTCCTTCCTTCGACTCTATGAAAATTCTCTCTTAGCAGGGTTCGTTTATTAATTATCGCTACTATGTAATAAACTGCACATCCCCTTCTCCAATCCAAGATTCTATCGAATCTGACCACTCTCCTTTTTGTTCGGAGTGTTCAGCCCACCTTCTTACTGATAAGCTATCCCGTGCCGATCCGCTTCCAAGGTCCATCGACTGCCTTATTTATCCCAAACGATTTCGAAATCGGTTTGATACGCAAAACCTAGCCTCGCATGGGTCTGTGAATTAGTACCACGTGCTATCAGATTCAGATTGCGTATTCGACCATTACAAAAGGGCATACATATCGTGATATTAAAAAAAATTTTTAAAAAAAAAAAAGGTTCTAACCGCGTTTCCACACCAACCATAACGCCTTTAGGCACCCGTACACTAACACCCAATTCGCCCGTTCTCGATAGTAATACGAGCATCCGAAATCTTTAATCCGACGTCTGCCGAATAGCCCTGGTGGATATTCATTATGACCAACAACGAATTTATGGATCCTACCCCCGCTAACCTTAGGCTTCCCGATTCTCTTGATGACGTCCGAATTACAAGTTTACCACAAGCCGCCTACTACATCTCGGATTTTATTACACAAGAGGAAGAGCAAGCGATTCTTGACAAAGTACGGTTATGATATGGTCATGGAGACGATGAGTTCCGTACCCCTCGCCTAACAGTGACATAGATAGCATCCGCACCGAAACCACGCTGGAAACAATTATCCCATCGCCGACTACAAACCTGGCCGTCCGATCTTGTGAATAATAAGTTGATGGATGCTCCCTTGCCGAGTTGGTTGAGTGATCCGATTGTGCCGCGTCTAAAATCGATCCGACTCTCACAAGGACTCGATTCGCCCGATATCTTTTTTGATAGTCCCCACCAGAAACCGAATCACGTCCTGATCAATGGTACGTGTAGAGAAGAGCGTGCGATGAGATTCGGTGTATCCTTCAAGTCGCATCACACTGTCTTTTCCGTTCTTGCTTATTGTGCCCATTCATCCGAGAAGAATTTTATGACGGGTCTAGAATCCAAAATTCCATGTTATGACATATAGTATTAATTGTATTCAGAATACCCTCCCGGCATCGGCATAATGCCTCACAAGGTAAGCGAGTAGCATAATTCAGGAAGGCTATGATGACCTGCTCATTCCAACTGCTTATTCCAAAACAGGACGGGGCCGCGTATCATCCTCTCGTGTGTACTGTGAGCCTCGGTGCTAGTCTCTGCCTCAACATCTACAAATCCAAGGACGACGGCGCCCTGGATCCCAACCCAGCGTGGAGAATATTGCAAGAGCCTCGAAGCCTGCTCATCACTACCTCTGATCTTTACACAGATTTTCTTCATGGTATCGAAGATATCACGGAGGATATTGAGCTCTCTAATAGTACGATTGCCAATTGGGAACTCCTACAGTCACCTGAGGAATTTGCAAATGGTTGCAACGTACGAAAGACGCGTACCAGCTTAACGTATCGAGACGTGATGAAAATATCTAAGTTGGGAGGCAAGCTTGGGTTTCTGCGGAAAAATTGATATGTCCAGACGGGTTTGATTTCAAAATATACCTGGTATCATTTTCCATTTCCCTTGGACGCTTTCATGGCCGAATTTCTCGCTATACCACTTCTTGGTTCCGTTTGCAGTAACACCAAGATTGACTGCGACAAACAGCAGGGTGCATATCAACGTCCTGTTGTACAGTTGGCCCACGGGTGCTGCTATCAATGCTAGAGAAAGATATAATACGCATTCGCACGTATAATGCGGGCACACCAGGTACTGGAATAAACCGTCCCCCGGAAGTGAATATTTCTTCAATCGAGACAAATAGCTGTGGCATCTGTATTGCATGAGCCATGAGGCCCAAAACGTGATAAGCCCGAAGACCGTATTGAATGATGGTATCTCAATACTGAATGTTCTTCTATCGGAGGACTGAATTGAACCTATAATCATTACTTTTTAGAAGATTGTAAACGAAACATGGCCATAGTACCTACGAGATCCATGTATCCAAATAGAAATGCCCGTGAAGAAATAATAGGCAACACCCAACAACCAATGGATAATCCACATCTCAGAAGGCGAAGAGCGAACAATAGCCACACATTCGTAGAGACGTCTAGCACCTTGCAAGCTCATCAAAGCCCACATGATGACGACTTGGTTGATCGACATTGAGCATGTCTCGCTCGGAGTCTGGTTATTGACTACAAACTCAAGTATCTTTCCATGGCTAAGGAATTGAACAGCCCAGAAGATGGAGCAGAACACGGAAAGAATATAGAAGTGAATAAACCATGAATGAGGTACTTTACCCACAGATGTAGCCCAGCTAAGAATACTAACGAGAGGTCCGTCGCGAGCCTGCCTTCCCTCCTTGTTGTCCGATGTGCCCGTAGGTGAAGATCGAGCCCCATATTGAGTCAGGAGGCGTCGTGTGGACTCGGGAGCCACGGCAATACCTAACACCGCTGCGGCCGCGAGGACGTAGAAGAGTTGACAATATGCGGCTGGACTTATGCTAGTAAAGTGCTTGACTAAGTCCGGTATAGCCATCTTCAATTCAAGGAGCCTTGTTTTCTCTTGTGTGAACTGACACCTCGAATAAAAAGAAGATGAGAAGATGAAGTCATGAACTAACCGCCAATCTGCAAATCCAATTTAGTGTAAATTCGGACAGATATGCTTTAATGCACACATGGGCTTATCGTAGCATATGCGATTAGGCAATATATAGCTCAGACTTCAGGGGAATCTATCACCAGGCAGCTACTTGAGACTATTGTGAGATAGGGTTATTGGAAACGGGCTATTTAGGTGGTGCTACATGAATCAAGCACTCATCATGATCCCACTATAGCCTTATAGGCGCAAAAGTTACATCGCCACAACTGGCCTTTAGGAGGATTTTCACGAGATCGAGAGTTCGAGTTCCTAGACTCAACTCCTTCGTCTTGTTCTGCGCATTTTTACTTGCAAAATCGCCATCGTCTTGTTCCACGGGAAATATTATACGAAGCTACTAAGTTACAATATAACCTCGGCCTGAGTTTGGACCCAGTGCCAGCCTCCAAGCTTAACTGTACCCGGTCTTCATGTTCATGCCCGTATTATTTTCTAGACTTGTCACTTGAAGGTTTAGGAGGATTAACTAAGAGTAGATAGTTTACCAGTTCACTGAAGCCATTTTTGAAAGAGACATTTAAAACCAACGAGTTCTTAAATCGCCCAGATACTGCACCATGCTGTTCGCACTCAAATACGCAGACGTCTTTGCCGACTGCGTATATTTTACCAAAGGCCCTCCCGCGTTCTGCTACATATCCACCAGCGCGAAAGACCCTTTATAGTCTATCATACAGCTTCTCGAGATAACAAATGGCATAAGCATCTCTGTTGAATTTATCACTAACAGGTTAACAACCTCCTGGACGAATAGTAATGGTCACGAGCTCACATATTTCCCGGGGTATATAATAGCCGGATTAAACATATCATAGAGTATTCATTACTTCATCACAGGGACATTACCTAAAACATCCAACACGTTGCAGGTAAGAGGAGCTAAGCATTCGAAGCAACAATGGCGAGGACTTTAAATTTAAGGGAAAAAAAACTACTAAACGCTCACGATAGTTATCAGCCAGGCGATAGATATTCGTATCAAACTGATATCGATATATATTGGAACTAAGGAGTTGCTGATTGATCACTTGACTATGATGGTATCTTTGGTATATGCTTAAATGGTTCAAATAGCTCTCTTATGTCTCCGTTGCGAGAAATAGTCCAGACCCCCAGATATACATACTGTCAAGCCCCGGTTTACATGGTGACTCCGTGGCAAAATAAATAGCAGGGCTAGTTTGTGTGCGGCTTACTACCTGACGGTCAAAATGACCATATTGATACAAAAGCCGGTCTATTATCTAGAAATCTTCAGCCTAGAAGAATGTAGGTGAACAAGCCACCAGGACAGACCACTTCGTGAGAAATGTATACTCAATTGTAGGTCACAATCAATTAGCCAACCGGCAACCGCGGGGCCTGTTTAAATACATATCATATATGAAGTCATGTGTTAAGAGTTGTTCTTTTCCATAAGTATTTGTTTACTAAGATGGATTATTCCACGTGCTAGAGTCAATAACAACCTTAGTCTAGATGTGTTAGCATGGGGTGCCTATATTCTCACACCCCGTAGTCTTTTTACTTGTGTTTCTCCCCGAGTACAGGTCTAGATCATGCTGGATTCTGTATTAGTATCTGTAGTTGTGCTTTTTAATCATCCCAGTAGACTCCTAGTAGATGAACGTGATCCCCGAGTTCCTTTTTTGAGACATCAGCTCGACACCCCTTGCATGATAGCTCGCTTTTAGAGAACTTTAAGGTTTCTCCCTTACTTCCACGCGTTCTCCGACGTTGGTATAAGGGCTAGACTATCCACCGCTACGGATTCCGTATCTTCCGCGTGCCATCCGATCTTGGGCTACATGGCCAACACTCACGGATCAAAGGGGAGATGGCGTATTTACCAGTTGTTGTTGAATGTATATTGCAGGGGGAGAATGAGCTGATTCTACTAGTATCTAATATGTGTGTCTAGGATACCCGGTCGTCTTTTGATCATATTGTTGTCGATGTTCTAGATGGAAAGGGAAAACTTTACATCAACCTATACTTCTAAGTTGCCTCAAGAACTGCTCCTATTTATTCCTATATCGATGGTCTCTGTTAACGATGAGTTGCGATTAAAAGATATTAATAATCGGGAAAACCGCGGCAATTTGCGGGGCTGACATCACAGGGCAAAAAGCATTCTAACATTCTTCAATTCGCCCCACCAAAAATGTGCATCGAATTTCTCAAGTGACAACTTACCTTTAGAAGAGACTGAGAGCGGCAGCCCTCACTAACGTAGTGCAATTAACCGCTTAACATTCTACTTGGCTCTACTGGTCCACCAAAATGTCGACTACGGTGGAAAAGGTGAGTTCGCGTAAATATGTATGAATAATTTGGATGCTAACCTACCTGTAGATTAAAGAGATCGAGGCCGAAGTAGGTGGAATAAGCACCCCGAAGCCCGGATAGGGTGTACTAAACCTTCTGATTTGATAGATGGCCCGAACTCAAAAGAACAAAGCTACTTCATTTCATTTAGGTCAGCTAAAGGCAAAGCTGGCTAAACTGAAGCGAGAACTCCTAACTCCCTCATCGAGTGGTGGTGGCGGCGGTGGTGCCGGTTTCGATGTCGCCAGAACTGGTGTTGCCAGTGTCGGATTTATTGGATTCCCGTCCGTGGGAAAAAGTACTCTAATGACCAGGTTGACTGGCCAACACTCCGAAGCTGCGGCGTACGAATTCACTACCCTGACATCTGTACCTGGACAAGTCATGTACAATGGTATGGCATCAATGGCCCCCCCCATAATACTCCCCCTTTAGGCGGGCTTTATTGTATTTGTATTTGTATCTGATACTGATACTATGTTGTACAGGAGCTCCATTACAGATGATCGATCTCCCTGGTATTATCGAGGGAGCTAAGGATGGCAGAGGTCGTGGCCGTCAGGTGATTGCTGTCGCTAAGACTTGTCATTTGATATTCATTGTGCTAGACGTGAATAAGCCCCTGACGGACAAGCGAGTTATCGAGACGGAACTAGAAGGATTTGGTATTCGTATAAATAAGGAACCGCCAAACATTACCTTCAAGAAGAAGGACAAGGGTGGGCTTAACATTACAAGTACCTTACCCTTAACCCACATCGACCATGACGAAATCAGGGCCGTCATGTCCGAGTACCGTATCAACTCAGCAGATATTGCGATTCGCTGTGATGCTACGATTGATGATTTGATCGACATCCTGGAAGCCAAGAGTCGTAGCTACATACCTGTCATTTACGTCCTCAACAAGATTGACGCAATCAGCATCGAGGAGCTGGATCTGCTGTATCGAATCCCCAACGCGGTACCCATTAGTTCTGAACATGGGTGGAACGTCGATGAGCTAATGGAGGCCATGTAAGATTCGACCCCCTTACAAAGACGTGTAGACGTGTAGACGTGTAGCGCACACATGGCTAATCTCCTTTTTCTTGCAGGTGGGACAAGCTAAAATTGGTCCGGGTTTACACGAAGCCAAAAGGAAAGATGCCGGACTATTCAGCGCCTGTTGTGCTTCGTTCCACTAGGTGCACAGTCGAAGACTTTGTAAGTACCTCGCTTCGGTAAGCTTTGACCGGTAACAAACTGGCTGACCAATGAATGATAAGTGCAACGCAATCCATCGGAGCATAGTCGAGCAGTTTAAAACCGCAATAGTCTACGGAAAATCTGTGAAGCACCAACCCCAACGCGTGGGGCTTGCTCACGAGCTGGCCGACGAAGATATAGGTATTATTACTCGCCAATTCCCCATTGCACTTGCACCATCTTGGATACTAATCTCGTCCCTCATTAGTCACGATCGTCAAGCGATGAGTGGCTAGACTCAAAAGAGCGGCTAGGTCCCCTATGCGCTCTCGGCCCACACGCGACGGTGAAGGGTGTCAAGTGTCGAGGTTGGCACCCTTCGTGTGCGCACTCCCGAGCTCTCGATTTCTATATAGCACAATGGATAATGATACCAAGAAAGCGTCTTTATCTCATGACGCCGTTGGGCAGCTTCAAGGAACAGGGGATACGGTTGTCTGCAGATTTACGGATCAAGGGACAGGCCGCAGCCGATGCGGCGCACCATTGACGGGAAAGTATTGTTTGCTTTTTCTGGAAGGGCCCGATCATGCAAAGAATGATACAGTAGTGGGCGATTTTGCATGCGAGGATCTGGGAATCTGGGAATCTGGGAATCCGCAGGTTCCAGGCCTACGAGAAGACAACTGGGCTCCAATTTCGAAATTGCAATTATATTCCCCTTTTGCGGGGGAATCCCACGATGCGTACATACATACATAGTAAGCCGCATTTTGAATTCAGGATGCCTGAGCGCACTCCGCATGCTCCAGAGACCCAAAGCTGCAAATCGTCACCACCTGCATAACCGAAGGCCTCTCTTAATGCGACCATGTCTCCGACGAGGCGTGGGGATGCATGAGCGGTGCCTTACCTCTCTCTTGGAGACCGTTAAGGCACCACCCCTTTGCAGCAAGTTGACACGCATATGCTGAACGACGAAGTAGTTTATGTTTCTGGTGTTTATTTGCGCCACAATAATGATGAGTCCAACAATTTATTGCCGGTCGCTGTCTTGGCCTTCCTGTCTTATTGTTGCACCTTAAACGATCGGAATATTTTTAACCACTCAACGTCTTAGCATAGAGATTATCCACTCCCTAAAAGGGCCACACGGCAAATTGGTACCTGACTCCAACCTTTCACAGCGCTCCTCTAGCCGCCGACGGCACATCTGACAGCCCCTTCGTGGAGAAAGTTCTCGATCGTCTGGATTTTGGGGGTCAGTATGGAGCTGTAGGCCACCACTCCTTACCCAACCCTTTCATTCAACGTGCTGTTTAATTATTATTGTTACTATTATTTTATTTCCTGAGACTATCGGTTTTTTCCCTTTCTTTCTTGGTTCATTATCCATCTACCTCATGGCCAAGTAGGCCATGCGAGAGGCCATGCGAGACAACCTTGCCACCACACACTTACAACCACACGTCCCGAATAGTAATAGACCTGATGACAAATAGCGCCATTCTTTTCTTCTTGTCACCGTGTTTCGATTCGTAGGCAACTTAAAGCGATTGAGATGTTACCGTACACACACTCTCACATTGGGGGTTGTTACCGTAACTTCCTATCAAAATGCCGGGCTGTCCATCGCCCAGCAGCCTCATTTTTTGAGCTGTGGTAGCCTTGACCATCCTGTGGCTATTCACCAAATATCTGGCTGCAAGGCG